TGTACTTGTTGCCGGGCACAGCCCATGCAATGCAGCAGATCTGCCAGTCACAATTTTGCTGCATGATGCTCTTCTCCCAGAATCCAACGGCTCAGGTTTCGATTGACGGCTACGTTTCTCATCGGACGGATGAAAGCCTGAGCTGTGGCGGGTGCTTTCGCCGTCGATCGTGGTCTGATATATCGACGGTCGGTACGACGGTCAATTTCTCAGTTCTAGCATTGGGTCTTCCTTAGTAGTCATTTTCGCAGGTTGTGAAGATTTTTGGTGCTTCACTCGACGCCTTCAACAACCCATCGGCGTATGAAACATATGCTTCTCACAACTTAGAAGTCCTTAGATCAAGTGCTTCGAAGGTGCTTGGTAACTAGAATCAAAACGCCGAGATGCTTTATCGCTAGTTGAAGTTCACATGCACGTCTCCTTATTCACAACCAGCTGATCGACGGCTGGAGCTAGCCTGTGTGGGACCTGGATCGAGTCGACCATATATCCATGATGCTGTGCCAAACTTCAATGCCATCCCGTTGATGCGCACTTCTCGTATCGCGCTTCAAAAGGCATCACGCATTAATCACGGCGCATAAAACAACAGAAACAAGACCCCTTATATTTATGGTATTGGGCTCTTAGCAATGATGAGATTTTGAATTCCACCCGCCTGGACTTTAGCAATGAAGCATACCGTCTCTCTGCTCTTAGCAACATCTGGTTCCAACCATTTATTTGGTATGCTCTTGAAGCGCTCTTGTCGAAAATTACTTGAATGAATATATCCAAAATTTTCTGGATAAACAGAAAAACTACGGTTTCTTCTCAAAAACATGGGTCCGGTTTAGCACCCTAGTTGCCGCCCCGAGAGTTGATCAAGGGTGCCCTCTCGAAATCAATAAAATGTACTTCATGAGAGTGAGATGAGAGATATATAGCTCCCCGGCCTGCTAGCAAATGATTGAACCATCAGCGTGCATCTGTCAGCCGTTGATCAGGACTGCTAGCTTATCGTAACCGACATCAGAGTTACATTTTCCAACGAATCCTTACCATCTCGGATATCAGCAAGCACGCTGTCTACTTTCGTTGAAGCTAACTGCTATCTTCTGCAAGGCAGAATCTGAAGGGCGCCTCTCAATCTGCGCGTGCGAGCATCTAGTCCGGCATCAAGCCCCTTTCCGGAAGGCTTGTTGTTCCGGCGGAACCGCTGCCATCTTGTCCGGAGACGCCCCCTCGGCTTCGCTCAACGCGCGCTGCACGAGTCGCAACGCGTCTTCCCTGTTCTGCCACGTCATCCGATCCTCGTTGCTGACGTCATTAACTGGCTCCGGAAACGTCAGCAGAACCGTTCCTGGCGCAATTGCCGCCGCAATTTCTGACTCTGCAGTCGCGCCTGATAAGGGCTGTACTGTAGGGAGTTCCGGGCCCAATGGACGGATTCCGGCGGCCTGAGCGGAAAGGTTTGTTGGCGCGTCCAAAGGCTGCCCCAGTAGGATGTCAGGTAGCTCCCCTAGACTTTCCGCAGGACCCCGTTCCGTTGCATTCCGTTCAGTTCCGCTCGAGACTACGACCGGTCTCCTGCCTCTCAAAACATCGTCCAAAAGACCTTCGAGCCGCGTTCCCTGAGCGGCTTCCGGCCAAGGTGATTCCGCTGAAGCGCTTTCCGGGCGTCTAGGGCGGATTCGACTTCCGAGCGGTTTGTCTGGCACGCCGGATTCCGCCTGCTCCGCCGGACTCCGCTGCCTCTTCACGGGCTTCCGCCGGGGCTGCTCCGCGACTTGCATGACCTTGCACAAGACCAGCGGCTCGTCTCGAGAAATCTGCAGACATCGCGCGCGCAGTGAGAGCGCCGCAATTCAAGAACGGCGAAGTGGTCAAAGATACGGCCTCGACTCTGCATGAACGGTTCTACGATAGTGAGTGAAGGCCTCGCTCATGAAAAGTGTTTGGGCCTTAGTAATCGCCTTCCATCTCCAAACCAGGTGACACTTAGCTGGGGACGCTCCAATTGAGAATCATACAAGCTATCCAAACGCTGACCGCGAGATCTTTCGAAGCTTTGCAGATATGTTTAAGACCAGTTTCGTTGATAGACAATTTCTGGCTGAACAGGAACTTCCGTTAAAACGCTTTGGCAGAACAGCGAAAGGTGCTCAGGCCGTCTTAAGACTTGTCTTTCACTGCAAAGGATAGGGGCGACATGCACCTAGTGATCAGAGTGCTATGTCGGAACCAAATTAAACGAGGCTTTGTCTTTCTGTTAGAAGTAGGTCGAGGAATTTAGAATCTGCTTGCGAATACATACTCAGAACGACTCTGGATAATGAAGACAGGTCGGGCAGTGTCTTCCTCTAATTTCGCGTTGACACCAATGTGACGTTGAAAACCCTGTTTTAAACCATTACACTCAATTGTTCTGCGGTTCACGTCTCTGCTGATGGGCTCCTGAAAGAGCCAACGTCAAAAGGGAACGGCGTCCGAAGGAAATGGTCGGCTGTTGAACATCACATCGTACAATTAGACCTAAACAAATCCTTGCTTGAGCTTACCGACTTCTACTCAAAGAGGCCTCAATTGATAAAGCGACGAAGTTATATTATACGACGTAGACAATTTTGTATCCAAGCTGACGCACCTGGTACTCATGCATCTGCCACTTGAGCCCGGTAGCTTTTCCCGGCCCCGCCGTTTTGTGGTTAAAGATCACCATCTGCGGCCGGTTAGCTGTGTACTCCCCCGGAGCAAAACTGGTCGGGTTACGCTCCTGGTCCCACCAACCGGAGGCCGTCTTCCGGGACCACTGGCCGTTGCGAGCGCGGGCGCGCGTGCAGAAAAAGAAGCGCGCGCTTTCGCGGGTTGGGGGCGCTTCTGGGGTTGCTGGTACGAGATAGGGACAGGAATCAGCGGAAACTAAGGGAAGTCTCGGGGTAAAGCTCCGCTTAAAAACGAGCGGACTCCGGAAAAGGGCTTCGTATGACGCAACGTGAACGGATCGAACCCACTGCTGAATTACTTGGTTCCCTGTATGGGTGTTCTAATTGGTATATTGTGAGACAAGGAATCCATTGGCTTATGAAAAGGCTCGAGAGTGGAAGGTTTGTGGAGAAACGTTGGTAAGGCGACCGTTTAGTGGTTACTCATGGGGTCAGCATTCTTTACACGTGATCAAAACCAGAAACATATGCATGAGAAACCAGATCGAGAGGCGCGGCGGCTGAGGTGAAGTAAGGAAGACGATTGTTTTGAACGTTCGTTGAATGGTCCGTTGAGTGGGATGAGAAAGCCGGTCGTGGATATTAAGATTGGAAGCTAATAGTAGGAGCACTGCGCATGTCGTCATGCAAATCGGCCGCCTCACTCAAGGCCAATCTTGACTGGCTGCAGAAGGAAAGAATCTGGCCCTTCTTATCCTCCGAGACGAATAGGTCCAACGGCCCAAGCTTTTTCATCGGGAGAGTTTGAGATTGTCTCAGGCGTCCGAAACTGATTAACTGCCCAAGCTTTGAAAAAGGTATCCAACGCTCCTCGTGACTGCAATTTTCAGCCTTACCGTCGGAAGCGTTGAACAGTATCTCGGGATCGAGGGCCCCCGGCCCCCCGGGCAGTTCCGTGACGTTTGCGTGCCCGGTTCCTTCCTCAACCCGCTTCTGCAGAAGGCTCAGTAACTCCGGGTCGGTGGGTCGGAAGCCCACCCCGAGGGATCCCTCGCGAGCGACCTGGAAATCGAAATCTTGTATAAAGTAAGAAATGTTTCGCTATGTTGTGGGTCGGCCAAAGCATTCAGGACTGCCGCAAGAGCCTGACCGTGCTGCAAATCCGTCAAGCTTTTCGTTGAGGGGCCAAACGAACTTTGAGCGTAAGTTGCGGCAGTCCGAAGCAGCACTGCGCATTGGCGAGTGATTTCTTGGAAAGTTCGTTGCGTCTAATTCGAGACCTTTGCTCTGATACAGCCTCCCTTGCCCAAGGCGTGGCGAGCATCATTTTGAGCTGCGCAACCCTTTGTGTTTGTCGCCGAGCAAGGCTTTGCCAGCTCGGTACACCCGTTTCTTACTTGATCGACCCGGAAAACTGGAAGGTCACATGCAGCAAAAATGCAGCAAAAGAGACTGACCCGTCTGACGACGTCAGCTGACCCTCTCGGCACCGGTGCGCTCAGCAGCTTTGCCGACTCCGTGGATGGCTCGAGCGAAGCGTCTTTATCCTGCATCTCTGTTCGTATTATGCAGAACAGGAGAGAGAGAGTCCGAGTTGGCGGGCGAGCAAAAGCTTGTGTAAAGTGCGGGGATATCTTAAGAGATGTTGGCATAGCTTCGTCGTTTGATCAGGTGGCGGAAAAAACTTTGGGGCACTAGTATCTGCTTGTTAGCGGCTGCTTGACAACAGAAAGGCGTGAGATTCGGAATGGATTCAAGGAGGGATTTTTAACCAAAGATGCACTGAGGTTTTGAGGTCTTTAAGTAACGGATACTGATGTGTTGGAATTAGAGACCTGACAAGAGCGGAAGAGAATGAGAGGCGAAATGAAGGTGGGCGCAGCAAGGAACGGACTCTTGAATGCCGAGATACAAAGTGATCGCAACTGAAAGTAACCAATCACGTGAGGTTCTCAAATTCGAAGTGGCAAGGCATCAGAGCGGAAGCTTTCAGCCCACAAACGGGCGGTGATTTAGCATGAGGAAGTCGAGCGGAATGAAAAGGAACGCGTGTGCTGTGTCCCATGTGTTGTGGGCAGCATAGGGCTGGCGTTTGAAAGGCAGCATAAAGAACTCAAGGTTTTCGAAGGCCCTTCTTCATTAGGAAGGCTCGAGCAAGCTATCGCTTGATCGGCGGCTATAACTTTCAAACCACTTGTACTCGAAGAAAATGCTCGTCCTAATTCGAACGCTCTTCAAGCTTGCTGGAAACTAGAGAATTGGAAAAGAGGTTGATAAGTCGACTCGGGTGAGATTCTAAGACCCCGATCCCTGCTTCGAAGCTGGTGGCAGCGTTAGATGCACGCTACGAACCACGCGCTTCAGACCAGCTTCTGGCATTAAGCAAATTACACGGCGGGGAGTCGAAAGATGACTAGGTGTCTCTTACTTGCTGAAGTAAGAGACACAGACAAAATCCAAGGGGACGCCCAGATAGAGCACATGTTGATTTCAAGGCCTGATTGTAAAGTGAGCCCTTCGGATACCTTACCTGTTCTTTTCGAGACCTTCGCCTTGTTGCTTCAGATCACCCTTCCCTCCCGTTTGAAGCCTTCCCTCTCCTTCGCTTATCTCCGAAACAAACTTTTCGACCCCCTCTGCGGCCATCCTTTGCGCTTCCGCTGTAATCGCCGCCTCTAGTTTCGCCCTCAACCGGTCGCTCATGCCCTCCCCCGGGGATATCTGCACCTGCCCAGAAGCCTCAAAAAGTCTGCTTACTGGGGGGGTAACAATCCGAGGCAAAGTTTCCCCCTGTCCAAAGGTTTCCGCATCCCTGCTCTGAGGGTGTAAACTTTCTGTTAGCAACACCCCCTGCCCAGAGCGTTTATCTGCGGGGGACTCATTTAGCAACCTCTGGTGGATCTGGACAGGTAGTGGATGGGGTTGACTCATCAGGCCTTGTATAGAACCCCCTTCTACATTCTCCTCCTCAGTTCGAGGGACGTAAGCTGTGAGGTCCAAGGAAACAGGGCCTTCTAGCTCTAACCGGAAGCCAAAACGGACCCTGCAAGAGTCCCCCATCTTCTCGCTTTGTGAACGGCTCGATGGTGAGCAATAATATGCCAGGCGCCTGCGCCACTAGCCGTTTGCTCAGCTTTGCTCAGCTTCGTTTACCTCTTTGTCGCGACTGGTCCTTTCAGCAGTGGACACTAGACCCTCCTACGGCTCTGTTCTTTGAGCACCACTTTCAAGTGACGGTTACAGAGGGCGCCGCCGTGCGAGCCGCCACATCAGCTGACGTCACAGGGCAAGAAAGCCCCGGTACTATGGCTCCCCTACCGCTTCGGTTTTGCCTACGTGTTTGAGCTCCTCAGTACAGTGCTTGCAGAAAGCAGTTGATAATATTCCGTAGACCCTCCTTTGAGTGGTAAGAAACTGTGGATGTAGAATTATGCTTGAAGGAAGTCGAAATGCTCGTTAAAATCCGCTTTTTGATCTCTGAGTGCTTGTGTCCCCATATTCGAGCTCCTAGTAAAGAGTAAGTCGGGCAGACTGGCAGCGTAATGCCTTGCGTTCAGACTACAGGATGTTGCAATGGAATCAGCATTCACTGGTTCACGTTTCTCACTGCAGATTTAACTGGTACCTCCGCCTTTGACTGACTGATTGTAGCAAAGATGATGCACGGAAGTCGAATGACAGGTGGACAGGTCCTGTGGCTTCCGAAGGAGCGCCCCAAATGATCAGCAGTAATCAGCCGTACTGCAGAAGCCACCACATTGCAAGATGCAGTCAATGATCAGTTGAAGAGCTCCTTGATAGCGGAGCTGCCAACACAAGCTCGAAACGTAGTCTAGTCAATGAGACGATCTTCTAGAAGTAAGTACGGAATATCTGGCAACGAGTCCTTAAAGAATAAACAGCTGTTCCTTGGGTGTTGTTGACTCTAAGCAGATTGATGCTATGACATTTTCCGACCAGTTGGCTCAGCTTACCTACCAATCATATATCCAACATCGCTGACGTGGAGTCACTGCTTTTATGGAAGGATTGCATGGATCTCGATCGTCCTGGTTTTAGAAGTCGACACGTCCTCACATGTACTGATCTCTGGCGTCTGGACCCTTCTTTCGAGAAAGTCAAATTGGAAGAGACCACGACCTGATTGGGCAGACGACGTACTACAGGTCAGAGCCTGAGTTGGCGCATTGAGCTCGATTCAAAGTACTAGTCCGGCAGCTGCCTTACTGGGACCTTGATCCGTTTGTCAAACTTGATGCATGGAGACTGATGGGAGACTGATCAGCTGATCCGCTTCAACAACGTACGTACGGTCTCCGGATCCTACTCCCACCCGCTGTAGTACAGATGTCATTCAACGTACAGTAACAGACAAGTACTAGAATTCTGTCATTAAGGGGTCATTGACCAGTCTCGGTGTTCCAAGTTGGGCAATCTTTGCCGTTTCAGATTACGTGGCTGATAGCGCCTGTCTTGATCAGCTGCAGCGCTGTGAGGACGGAGTCTACCAGCTGTCCACCTGCTAATTGAAGAGACAACCCGTTGCAGCCGTTAGTGTTGGGCCAGACTCATAACATACATGTTGTGTTGACGTGATCAGGGACGGTACTCATGCACGCAGCTTCGCGCCTGCGAAGGCGTGAAGGCAACATCTCATGCTGTACTGTATATGCACAGCGCGATCTGCAGGCTACAGTTAAACTGTCTCAGCTGACTTTTTCGTTCCAAGAAGACTTGCTCCAGAGCTGCAATTGCCAGTGGACTGCAAGTCGGAAGTGGATCGTGCCAGACGTGCTGGTGCTGACTTTTTGCAGCTCTTACATCTTCTTTACGCGCCCGTCCATGGCATGTATGCGTGTCATTTTGTGTGTCATGGCTGCAACTGATCAGCCCTTCTCGAATCTCGACTGGGGGTGCCCAGTCGGTGAAAGACAAGCCGCCCGGTTCGATTCTGCCGGTTTAATCACCCGAATTGCGGCGAAACAACAACGGAGCAAGTATTTTCCGGCCTAAAAACCGTCACCCGCCCCGTCAAAGAAAGCCAACTCCCGGGGACCGTTCCAGGGGCCGGCCGGCTGACAGACTCGCAATCCGACAGATTGGCCCACTGATTGCCAAGTGTCAACATTCCGGATTTTTAGGCGCCTGAGCTTCAAATTCAAGAATCACAAAATAATGCACTGCGTCTGAAGTTCGTTGTCAACGAACAGAATTCTGCTTGTGACTCGTGAGTTGTGGGGGCGCTTGCAACAATGCAGCAATGCTGCTGACAGTGACAAAGTCAGCAAGCCCGCCTTGAAGTTGAAGTTGAGGACATTGCAAACCTCTGAAGAAACCTGCAGAAGTATTTTATATTCGAGGTTTACCACCTTAGCCGCTGGCGGGTTGGGCCTGGGTTGGGCTCTGCTTATACCAGCTTTAAGCTGCATTTGCAATTTTCGTTTTGAAGTCATTTGTATGGAACAAACGCGTACACTAATCGTCTCAGAAAAGATCAAAGCTCTGCAATCATTTACAGCGCCCTCCAGGGCAATTTCCCACTTGCGAGTTTCTCCAAGCGTAATCTTGTTTTGGAGGAGTCCCTGAGTTGCTGGAGCGCCCCAGAGCATTTTGGCATGACACCACCTCGGGAGACATGGTTTCGGGTGGTGTGGTTTTTGCTGATGCTAGGGGCAGGCGGCAACGTAGTAAAAGGTAAATTTACCCTGGCCGTTCCGCCATCTTTCATTTACATTTTCACATTGTTGTTTTTGTTAGTATGTTCACATTGTGCAACAACGTCCTGGACAATTCTTGGAGAGCGTCGGCTTCGATTGTTTGTTTCTCCACCTCGGAAGTGTTGATTGTCTGATGGAAATTGCCATGACCGGAGGTTAGTCGCGGTCTGTGGCAGGGTTCGGAATTAAGGTGTCTATTCTGCACCAAAATGGATTTGCAGAGGAGTTGTTGTTTGATTACAACGCTCCCAGTTGTAGGCATCCCTCACCTTGATAGCAACCAGAATGCCACCTCAGTTTGGGGCTGTCATGCGCACAATTGTGAAGTGCTAACCAGTTGCAGACATTCTGAGACCGAACAGATGTATCATAGTCAGTCGCTTTCATCTCACTTGGTGGACTAGAAGCTCGAAACTATAATTGACATGCTGGTATCTTGGATCAAAGTTGCGTCTGTTCCGAGTTTTCTTCATCAGCCCAGGCCTTCTTGCAGGCCATCGTATTTGTTGGCCGTCTCCCCGCTAGAATACGGTTTGTTTAGTTCAGCCGATCTTTCTCCATATATTTCCCAATAGTTTCACTTACAAAACCTCTTTATTCCCAGCACCACCCGATAGCAACTTCTGTTATTCTCGACCCTTGCTTGGTTAGCACCTGCCACAGAATTATTGGTGAACAGAATGTACTTTCTGTAGTATGCTTCTCCATTCAGGGAAACCATGCCGCAGACTTATATCCGGATTCTTAGAGAATATGAAGTTGCGTAGCAGCGTTCACTGACCATCTGCTCAACACAGGAACGCCCTTGGCTGTCAACCCACTCAGGGCATTAGCATTCCTTCTTAGTCCTCTCTTCACAGTCAATTTGGCTTTGTTTTTTGCAATTTAATTCAGAACATGGCGCTTTTCAGCAACATCATGGGGAACACGAGGTTAACCAGGAATTTGACCTTTTAAAAAGACGTTTCTGTTTAACAACTTTTAGAAAATTCCTCCTTCTCAGGAAGCTTTGTGCCGAAGGAAATCTTAGGGCCAGATTCACTCCGTAAGATAAGGCACAAAGAAGGTAACTGCAAAAGACGTCAAGACAATTTGAGAGATAGCGTGTAAACGGCATAGGTGTTATGTAGAAACCTCATCATTGGATTTTTTGGGTGCAGTGGTCGCGCAAGGGGGGACTGCGTGCTTTGGAGACGCAGCCGCTCTACAAGGAGCGCTGCGGACAGCTCGAAGGGGGGATCTCATCACCTTATGCGGGCAAGTGCTACCTCACTCTTTTGTGAATCTGTTCATGTCCCCACTATGGACTTGAGACACTGCTGGTGCTTTTCTTACAAACGCAGTTGGCCAGTCCGATCATCGCTGGCATACTTGTGGATTGAGATTCTGAGTGCTCAGGTAGGCTGGAAATTCCAACATATGGCGAAGACACGCATCCTTTGTCGCAGGCGATGCAACCAGAGGACTTTCTTGAGAGGGCGCTCCCCTGCTGGCGATGAAGCAACGTGCTGATAATCGAGCAGCAAATTGCAACGACTGAAGCAAGGGCACTCTAGTTCCTCCAAGCCAGCTACACATGTTTGTCGCTTGGAATTGAATGATTCCAAAAGTTTGTGTGGAATAGAGCGAGTCCTCGCATCGTATTTGACAAAAAGCAGTGACTGGTATTAACGCACTTTGATCCAGACTATGATTGTGCCAGAATTGTGCCCCAATGAACAGGGCTATCGGGCTTCTCAAACCGCACGACCAGGAGACAGCCCGAATTTACATCGAACAGATCCCGTTTGCAGTAGTCTCCCCCTCAACATTAGTATCTGTCTTTCTTCGCTGCAGTGAGGTCATTGTGAACAGTACCCTGAGCATCACCTTGCCCGTCACGTTGCAAGGTGCATCGGCAGATAGCCCGGCCAAGGTCACCGGCAGTCTGACCCTCTTAAATGGGCTCGTAAGTAATAGTCAAATCGCTCTTATGTATTTTTGCATACTGGCAGCTGTTATTCTGCTTTTAGCCAGTTGACTGGGCAGTCCAAAGGAACCCTTGTACAACAGCCAAAGCCGAAACCAGAGTTTACGCGCTGCGCACGTGCTTACATTCTTTCCCCCAAAACTGCTCCACCCATAATATGCATGCTTGAATCAGGTCTGTACGTCGTTAAGTGGAGGCCAAGTTGGCAGGTTCTCCTTTCCGAGGTGTCAGCAATTGCTCAAATCTGTTCCCTCAGAAGATGCTACAGCACTTATTGTCAAACTCGGTCGCCTAGAAGGGGGTCGATTCCAGGCTGTCGATTGCCACTTCTCATCATCGAGCGGTCCAGATAATGTGATCTGCACTGAGGGGAGTGAACCTTAGGTTGCCAACTTTGACCAGACTCGATGGATACTACTGGTCTGTCTGGAGCCGCCTGTTTTTGCGGTCCTCTTACAGTGAGCACCGGGTAGGTTGCTTTTTTTCTGCTGACCGTGCAGTATTGACGGGCTTCCGTTTCGGTATAATGGCTTCCCGTGTCTTTGGCTTACTTCTGAATACAAGAGTCGAGATTCAAGAATTGACCTTGGAAATTGTCGAGAGCATTTGCTTGAAGGCCTCTTCTTTCTTACCCTCTCAAATTTCTCTGGCCTTCCCCTCGACAAGAACCTCATCTCTGTGAGATTTTTCTGTGCTTATTCTGCTCTCCCGGCCTCTTTTGCAGTCTCCGCTCTTCTTCGTTGCCGATGGGGTGGGCCCGGTTACTTTCCGGGACCTTGAACTCCAAAACTCAAACGTAAGGTCTTGACCATCAAAGATTCGGGCGAGCATATGTTCCTCGCTTTCGTCACTTGCTGTTCATTTTACGACGCGAGAAAGTGATTGATATTCACGAGGTTTTTTCGCTTGCCAGTTTGAACAGGCCCACGGGATGCCAGAAGGAGGACAGCCTACTGACGGCTTTTGCAGTCCTCTGGCAGGCTGCCCTATTGTTTGCTTTTTGGGCCTTCCCCTCTTCTCCTTGACCATATTTCTTTTGGTTATCTTATGTGCGAGCTCTTGTAGCTCGCATAACATGTGCAGTCACTCATGTTCAATGTTTGACTTCGAATCCAGTCTACAAACGTGCTCGCTCAAGTTTGGTGCGCTTTGCAGGGTTCCGAGGCTGTCACTTTTCATACTTTTTGGAACGACGTTGGTGTGTTTATAGTCCTGATGTTTTGTCGGGTCCGATCTAGTTTCTTTCAGAGTGTTCAGTCGTAACCTTCACTTGTGTACAGCCTGGAGCCTCCAACTACGGAGGCGCCGTCCAAGTCGGCGTAAATGCGGGCGTCGACTTCACACGTGTCGTCTTCAGAAACAACGTTGCTGAGGTAAGTGGTCCCGTTTTCTCATGCCACGTATGAGGCTGTGATTGAAGAAGTTTGGCCAACGTCAAAAGCTTGCATGGCCTCCTCACTTGTTGACGTCTAATAGCGAAAAGCCTCTTCCTACGAGAATGACGAATCAACGAACTTGCCTGCTTCACAAGGTGAAAGATTTGAAGACTCGCAGAGGTCCTGAATGTTCTTTCACACGTTCTTTGGACGGCTTTCCAATGGAAGACGCGAAAAGCAGCGCACATGGGGGCCTCTTCTGCCATTGTTCCTCCTCCTCTCTTCCTTTCCCTGCTCTGTCTGGGACGTTTTAAATGACCGTATCCAGTCTTCCTCTTTGATTGCAGTATGGAGGAGCGGTCTACACCCGAGGCCACGTGAATTTCACGAGCTGCGCCTTCGTCAATAACACCGCTTATGGCAGCGGGGGTGAGGGCCTGCTCATTTGTGTTCTCAACAACATACAACTGTTCTGCCGCATTAGCATTCCCCTCGACGCCGGAAGCAATACTCACAGCGTTGCAAGCGCAAAGTCGGTACCAAAACGTATGTTCGAGGAATTAAAACCCTGGCGTCCTGTATGAAAGCACGAAGGAGGTTTCCTCAAAGGGACTATGACTCACGTATTCACACCCATCGGCTTAGGCGTCGAAGGCGTTATAAGCAATCGAGTACAAGAACGGCCATTCTTGGCAAGGTCCTGATTTCGTCCGCATCTGGTCGTTCTGGACCATCGAGGCGCGTTCAAGTTTCGCCTTGAAGGACGGTGTGCAGACATTGAATCTGTTCTCAAGGAAGGCGCGCACTTTCTTGTGCTGACTGAGAGTATGGCCGCTGAACCAGCGGAGGTTTGCAGGTTTGAGTCAGAGTGCTTCGAACATTTTCGGACCTTCGGTCGCACAGCTCGCTCGGCTCACTTATAAGCGAAACAGTAAATAATGGCCAATCTGCTGCAAGTAATTTTGGCGAGAACTTCCTTGGACCCCATAGTTTCAGATCCAGTTGAACAGCGTCGAGACCCCCGGACTTTAGGTCGCAATTTTGCTCTCTGAAGTTCTTGTTGGGCCCGCCTGTGAGCGATTGACACGTGTCCTCTCGTGGCAGGGGCTATTTACACTGACAAGGCCGGCGGCAACGTGACGCTGTCTGTCCTTTCGAGTTCGTTCCTCGCTTCCGCAGCAGGCGGATCAGGGGGCGCCATTTTCTTCGATGATACCAGGGGAATCTTATTGATTTCCGACAGCACGTTCGTCGGGAGCGCTGCAAATAGTGTGAGTTGCACGCTTCTTTCTTCGCACCTGTGTGTTAACGGTTTGACACTCATTGGCCTGTACCCACCCCAGCTAAACTGGAAGTGGGTCTGAGAATGCCCAACCAGCAAAGACGCACTTCTCATGACTGGAAGTAACGAGTGGAGTGTTTCTACATAACAATAATCTACGCCCTCAAAGCGTGTGAGCAAAACGTTGTGTAAGTGCGATTGCGAGGCAAACGGGATTGCCCGTCTTCGGTTGAAACTTTTGTAACTGTAAACAAAGCCCTGAAGTTATGCAATCTGAGTTCGACAAGGTTTTATTTGGGCTACGATGCCACCCAGTCATACGTTAGGGCCCCAGCATTTCAGCGGTTGAAAAGACCCACGACTTCTGGTAAAAATTGAAGCATGTCCTTGAGCAACCAGTATGAGGGAACTTCCGGATCGCTCTACTCTGATTGCGCAGGAAACTTCTACAACCACCTCTGTACGGGAGTCATCCGGAGCAGTACGCCCAAATACAAGAACACTGCGCAAGCAGCGTGTTATTTGCCAGAACTTGTCTCAGGAAAGAAAAACGTAGGTCGGTTGAGTCGTTGGGCAGGTGAACTTGACACCAAAATCTCTTGCCTGCAGGAAGGAGGCGCTCTGTTCCTAGCAGGGAACGCCAGTGGTGTCATCACCGGCAACAGCTTCCTCAACGGGAGTGCCGCAGTGAGTGACTCCGCTTACACAGCTGCGTTCTTCCTGATTCTTCCTCAACCTTTTTCTTTTGGTTAAACTTTCATTGGAGTGCAAATTTAGGATTCGTGTACATTGCGCTGTGCTCTTCCCTGGGGTGATGTTACGGTGCTTCATAGCAACATCTTCGACAGCAGAGTAGCCGACATGTCATGACCTCGTCACATCGCGCTGATTGCTTGCTGTCTCCTTTTTGCGGGAGTCTTAAGGTTTTGCGCTGGATGTTTTTTAAAAGCGAAAAGAAACCTCTGTTTTATTGCCTCCTTGGTGCGGAGATTCGATGACAAACTTTACAGGACCTGTATCAGTGTTCTGTGGGACTCAATTTCAAGGTCACTTTTCAGTACGTAAAGAAAATATTCTTTGCAGCTTCCGGTTCCGATTAGATGCGACTTCTGAAAACCGCTTCATTAGGTTGCCCAGATAAGCCTGATGACAGCATGTAGACCTAGTAAAGGCACCGTTGACCGTTGACTGTCGTGTGGCCAAGCGTAACCCTGAAACCAATATCCAAGAAATGTCCTGACGGGTTTGCGGAATGATGTGCAGTCCGGCGGCGGCGCAATTTTTATCCAGGGAAGCGCTCTTCTCGCCGGGAACCGGTTTACTGGCAACTCCGCCCCAATTGGAGGAGCGGTTTTCACGTACGGCGCAGCGAACACGGCGTTCTGTGGCGGCGACCAGTTCCAGTCAAATGCAGCCCAAAGCAAGGCGAGTTTGCCACACCACAACGAACAATTGCATATTTGTTATCGTAAAAGTCTGCTAGCCGTCACTCGTCTGGATTCTTTCGGTCCTCGCCTCTTCGGAATCTCCTTGTCGTCAAACCTTTACATTGCACGCATCACTTTTGGAGCGATCGGTACGGCGTTCCGGCGGCGATCAGTTTCGGTCAGAAGTAGCCCAAAGCAAGGTTGGTCGCGAACCGATACACAGGCCCTTCACTCGTTCCGATTCACGCCAATCCAAAAGCTGTGTCATGCGCTTCATGACTTTCGACAGTAATCGCCCGAAAACATTCAATTGACAGTTTTCACGGATACGTTTCCAAATTGATGGCCCAGCTTGTCTTATCCCAGGATTGAGTTACCAGACTGACACGTTTCTTTTCTCTTATTTTCGTGCTCTCAACATGTGCCAACACTGTGTCTCTGGAGCTGGCCTGGCAGTATCAAAGCACGGCCTTCAGTACTTCATTCCCTTTTTTTAACGCTTAACCCCGTTGCTAACGCTTGCTAACCTCGTTTCAGGGTTACGGCAACGCAGTGTTTGTGGGGCTAACCGGAGAAGGGGACGGCACCGCCTTCTGTCCGTCAGTTCCGTTGGAGGTCGACGTCGCGGGCGATCCGGTAGCAGGCGTCGCAATCGGAAGTGAGCGGAATATGACTTCAGAGCTTCTATTGTTACCCATTACCATGAGTTCTTGTGTGCATCCTCGATCTGCTTCCTTCCTTTGAATCTGCTTAGATGACGGCCTTGGGTTTCTTTGCCATGTTGCGAGCACTGAAAGCCCGAGAGTTGCGTTCCCTCTGCCGCGATAGGGCTTTGAGGCAGCGGAACGGCTTCAGACAAGCGGAGGGTGAATCTTACACGCCTCCGACACGATTGACTGACGCGCCTGAGAAAACATCTTTGTTGTAGCCGTCGCATCGAAGACTGTCATGAAGGGCCGTCGGGCACTTTATTCCCCGATCGACGTTCCTTTCATCTCTTCCGTTCTGGAGACAGCCTATCAGCCGCCTGCCACTCACGGAATCAGAAGCCGAAGCTCAATAAACGCATGTCCCCCTCTGTGGCTTTGCCGACACTTTCGGTTGTAACATTTTGGTGGCCAAATACGGTCGCAAGCTCTTTCAGAGGTGGCCATAACATAGAAACGTTGCCAATGGGCGCCTGGTCGCATTTCCGTTTGCCGCCAGATGGATGGAGCCGCTGAGCGTACAGGGACTTCAATGCAAGCATGTGTTTGTACTTCGTCTCTTCTTTAGATCGACTAGCACCCGAAACTTTCGTTTGTACATTCTTGAACCTGCATTGAATGAATTCTACCTTGAGTTGCACCAGTGCCTTGGGCTCGCACAAAGTGACAATCCAAACCAAACTCAACACGCTCTGCAATCCTAACCATCCTTGACCCCCAAACCAACCCTACCTGTTCTCCGTGCAGTCACCTAACCCAACCCAGTCCTAGTTCGACGTAGAATCCATCTGTATTCCCCCTGTGGCAGGCTGCCTGAACTGCGATCCTGCGTTGTTTCTGAAATGTAATGAGCAACCAAGATTCTTCTCTCTTGCAGGCTGCCTAAATTGCGATCCGACGTTGCTGTGTTCCCGAGATGCGACCGGGGATCTCCTTCCGGCCCTCCAACCGGTCGGCGTTTCCTGCACCTGTAACCCCGGGTTTTACGGTACCGGGTTTGTCTGTTACCCGTTGGGGTCAAACGTGGGCGTCGGGAGCGCAGCTACGGGTAAGCTCCTCTAACAGGGGTTTTGGTACTTAACCTTGGGTGAATATGGGCTGGCTTTGTGCCGGTGCAAAAGAGGCTACGGGTCGTTTAGCCAGATTTGGTCGGTAACGAGCCATGGAACAAGGTTGAAGACCAGTGTTTTATTCAACAATCTAGACTTGGGTCTGGTAATCAGCTCTTCTAGCAGCCAAAACGCCCTGTGTTTGAACCTTTCCTTTGACAAGCCAAGAAAGATGATGAAAATATTACAGTGATCAGAAAAGAGACGAGGCTGGGTCGAGGCCACGAAGCTACCAACATGAAAATGGCTGATAGGTCACGAAACTGTGTTTGAATAAGCGAGTTCGTTTGTCGAATGGACCTTGGGTGGCAGCTAAGACATTCCCGGCCCTTCATGAGGGTGCCACGTGGCTCTCTGTCTACGGAACTTACTGACATAGCGCCCCTGGAAGTCTAGTCCGTCTCGAACGCGGTCGGTTAATGTTAACTCGCTGACACGGCAAGCAACTTTCCGGGCCTGGATGCATTGTCGTGTTTCACCCAAATTGCCCTGTTCCGGTGTCCAAAAGTTCCAGAGATTTTGGAAGTTTCGGGTGACGTATTTGACACCTTTGGCTTTCTGTTTGCAGCAAACCTGACGTCAGGCGTCAACCTCACGGCCCTGAATCTAAGCTCCGTCGTCTTGAGCCGTGTCGTCAACACGTCAGCAACCGTCAGCCCACTCTCGGTGACCGAAGGGGAGGTCTCGAGCAACCCGTCTCGATCTTCAAGGGGGGCTTCAAGTCCCATATTGCGGCCGCCAGTCTGGGTTCTTGGCCTCTTTATTTTATGTGCTATTTCTTTCTGACGCGGGTTCAAGCAGCGGAGGGGCCCTGAACCCTAAAACCCAAGAATCTTACCCCTAAAGCCGGAAAACCCTCTGACACGTCCACACCGCAAGCCAGGACCATGCGTGGTCCTCACTGACCGTTAGCGTCCGCAAGCATAAGCATACGCATAGCCTGACGTCCGCAAGTAGTCTCCGGGCGGCAAAATGTACATAAGAGCATCCGCACCCGGGGGCTATAAAGGAGGGTACGTAGAATTTGTGGAGCGGAAAAGCTGCTGCGGCGGCGCTGTAGCTCAGCTGGCGCAGATGAACTCCAACTTCCGAGTAATTCAATTCCGTCGATTTTGTCGTGCTTTGCTGTACAATGAGTTGATTGACAGTGATGTAGTTTATACGCACAGCAACAGGATGTAGGTTCTGCCGGCTGAAGCAGCCGGGCAGTCCGGTAGAGTTCCGGTCGAGTTTCCCTAACAACTCTAAGCGCTCAGTGAGACCTGGCGCTCTCGATTTGGCTCAGATGAACGGACGGACCGTCACTAACCACATACTGAGGTTATAATAACGCGTTTGTGACCGTGTCCCACTGGCCACATGTGACTTCAACCAAATGATGGACGGTCTATTTGTCGGATGTGATCGGACGCGTACGGTTACTGCCGCCATGTGCATTCAATGCAACATGGCGGATGTGGAGCTGGCTGAGATGCATTGTGCATGATATTGATATCCAATGGAACTTCAACGACTCAGTGACTGTACTGCGACGGTGTGCATGATGATCGTTGGCCGGACAAGTTATGTATACAGCGACATGACTCTATGTAGCCGCGGCCCCGGGCCCGGAGCTGCATGTGGCATGGCGCCGTGCGGCCCACAATCCACCAACTTGAAATTATTTGACCCGACCCGGCGGAACACTCGTTGCACTACATGCATGGGAGGTTTGTTCTGTCCCAGCAGCATGGTCTCAGTGCTCGAGAATTGCATATGGGGCCGGGCCGCATGTTAACAATTCATTTCAATAATTGAAGCAATGGAATTTTATTAATCGTTCATGCGCGGCAGGACGCGTGGGCTCAGTGTCCCTGTCATGCGATCAAAAGTGAGTCCGACCGGTAAGTTCTTCCTTGGATCCGCGCATGCCCCGACCATCTTGTAAGATGTGTTTACTAGTCGAAACGTGAACAACGGCTCAGTCAATCGGCGATCGCATGGATATGACATCATGAAAACCGTCACACCATGGCGGACGAAAAGGCATACCGTCTGACCAGTCTGACGAATGTGCCTCGGAATGTGATATGGCTGGAACAATGACTTGACTACCTGACCAGAATCCAACAAGAATCAGGTTCATTCCAAGGCAAACTTATCAGCTGTTTGACACACCCGCGAGTTGAAGGATCTCCTTGATGAGGTTGAGGAGAGTTGGGCTCTTGGCCACTTGCAAGGCGGCCACAAGCTTAGCCGGTGGAGTATGGGAGCCTACAATCAGGCGGTCCCTCCAATCATCCTTGTCTAGTTCGACTGCCAGCATGACGGCCAACATGTACCAGTCGTACTCTTCCTTCGCGGGTGATCCGAACAAGTCAAACGCAGTAAACCATCTTGTGGTAGAAACCACAGGTGCGCCAACGGGGACAGTGGACCCGAAGTCTCCCAGGAACCACCGCCCGTCCGCGTCGATGAAGACGTTCTCGCTCTGCACACGGACGGCATCTCTTTTCGTCTTGGTCAATCACGCCAACTTGGCCTAATGTCGGGTTAAAGTCAGCTCGAAGCGCGTCATCGTTCAAGTGACTTCTGTAGGACCCAAGAATAGTGAGCAGCAGTGTGGGCATAAGTGTGCCTGGCCCTGCTTGTAATATTGAAGCGTATTCCAACATCCGAACAGTCCGAACAAATTCCCGGCGCGTTGGCCTGCAAAGAAAATATGGAAGTAGCGCACTCAAAGGCAACCAATTGGCCATTTCTGGGATATGTGTGATCAAAATTCAGCAAAGACAACAGGGTTTTGAGTACACGTTAAAAGATTAACCAACTTAAGAAAAGATTCTGAGTCGCATACCTTAACGTCCATATGTACTAACCCCTTGTTGTGCATGTAAGAAAGAGCCGTAATCATACTCCGAGCTTCTCTCTCGATCGCCACCTCCGGCAGCTGCAGAATCGAAGCGACCGAAACGCAGTACTGCTGACACACAAGAACTGCGTAACGGCCCGGCGGGCGGTCCGTTGACCGGTCCATTTCGGGCAGTGTCAATTCCAGCACCTCTGCGTCGATCAGGGGGATCCCTTCCCACTTTGCCTCAGGCAGCAGGGCGCGGCACGCGCGCGCTTCCGAACCGCCTGGCTGCTCCGAACCGTCGCTTGGCACGCTCGCGCGCAGGAACTTTACGACGCGCGGCCGGCCTTGGCGATCGACGCCCTGCAGCAACGAGGGCGACCAATCCTCGACGGTGTAGGCACAGTTCCAATTTCTGCAGCGCACGCTGATTCCGGTTAGCCTGATCAAAATGCTCCAGAGTACCAGAGGCCCTTCAGACGGCTATGTTTTGAGGTAGTCAAGGCGTTCGAAACAGCTTTGAACATACAAATTAAAGCCAGTTTCTCGTGCTGATCGAGGCAACATCAAAGGTGTCCGTGGTCAGGAGTGTATGTTTTGCATAGAACCAGTCACGATTTTCTCATAGCTTTCGAGCCATGCCGGTCCCCATGACAATCGCTCAGCGCAACTGCTTATTTGAGATGGCAAGCGTGGAGCGGGTTTGTTCCGGGTTTCTTAGCAATGTAGGCTTTCAAGCTACGGAGATGTCGTGGTCAACACAAAAAAGGGATGAAGGACTTAAAGATTCCACCCCCGGCAAGGAAAATACAAGCTATGAAGCAACTATACAACAAGAGCGCAGGAACGAAACAGACAACGAGGCAGCGTTGACCCAATTAGGCAAAAACAATCCGACTCGAAGTCTCGTACTTACTAGAGCTCTGAAAAGAAGGATGCTCAACTTTCAACCGGCCCAGCACCATGAAGAACAGCCAAGATAACCTAACATCAGCACACGCCACTCAGCAATCTGTAATGAGTTGACAGCTCAAGAGTATCCAAGGGTGCTTGGTGAAAGTAGGAATCGAGTCTCATGACTGATTTGTCTTCTTTTTGCCCAAGAAGTCTTGGAGCCCCCGTTGCTTGTTGCTAAACGAGTTCCCAGTTCTTGCTAACCTTGCTATGTGAACTGGCTTGCTGCAACTTTTATGGAGCGCAGGGGTTTGCTTAAGCGACCGAAACTTACCCCCAGAAGAATGGACCGCCCACTCTTACTCCATGCTGTGCTAGCAGGTGCGTTCGCGTTGACTCGCCCGGAATCAGTTGTGCTCGCTCGTAGAGGTCCAGAGCCAGGCCAGGCGTGTAAGCCACTAACATGTGCCAAGGAAGATGCCGGGCAATTGTTTCCATCACTTCAGGATCTATGCACGTTACATGCGCCTGCTTCAGAAGTCCCCGGAAGCTATCAAGTCCGGATGCAATCAGCTGGGGCCATTCATCCTCCTTCTCAACGTTTACTTTTACGACGGTGCCAGAATGGAACCAATCTCTGGTCAACCCTGCCCTAATTCCCGACTTGAAAACTGAGGGTAGACATTTCCCCTCTATCTCAATTTCACTGGCTTTGAATGCCTTTAGAACACAGTCCCAAGAAAGGTGTCCCATCACTTGACCCTCCATCTCTTCAACATAATACAGGGGGAGCCTGTGCTCCTCCTTCGAGGCTACATCTTGCAGCACCACCGCCGGGCGAGACATCTTCAGATGTCCAGATGCGTTGGCAGCGCTGACTTCTGACGGACATAAGCAACTTCAAAATCAGAAACAGAGTGGACCTCATTAAGGATTACCAAGACGAGGCCTCTAGTCCCTTGTTAGAAGTCGCAGCAACTTGCTTCTCATCATTGCCTGCGCCTCTGGCAATTTATCTGGCATGGTGGTCCACAGAGTGCAGACTGCACCCCTTTTCACCCCTTGCACAGGCTACGCGCCGCCTCAGCCTGATCCATCTTCAAGGTCGCACCTCAGCTTCACCTGCCGCCATCAAGCCATATGTCGTTGACTTCGTCACAGCTTTAGCGGCGCGAGCCAGCGCTAGTTCAGATCGACTCACTGCATGGCCGGCGCCGGGCGGCGCGCAGACTCCCGCGGCCGCGCAGCCGCGCTGCGACTGCCTTGAAGGTTTCGAAACGTTCCGGCCACAGCTTGTTCCGTATCATGCGGGAATGAGCGGAATGCTTACGGAACGCTATTTAAAGCGCGCGCTCAGGTGCGCGCGGGAAGCTGGCTCAGGGTGTCGGCCGTCGTCTGTTGATCAGGAGTACTCAGTCCTGAGCAAAGTGTGTGTCACCGTCTGCGCTGACTCTGCATGTGGTGACGAGCGCGCTTCATTGCAAGTGGTTCGCCTGCTGCGTCCATGGATCCCAAAGGTGGTGCTGGCAGCTCGAGTAGCTCGGCCGACGGACCAAGGGGCCGTGGGGAGGGGGGACAAAACGGGCAAGCTGCGCGCCCCCAAGAAGTTGTGCAGCAGGTCTTCCAAGTGGATATGTACACAGCAGCCTTCATGCTGGTGCTGCTGGTTCTGGCACTACTCAAAGTGAGAACACGACGAAATGCAGAGCGTTTGAAGCCTGGTTGAAGGTTTCTTGTCAAGGTTGCCGTTGATCAGGTGCTTGGAGGCTGTAGCCTGTACTTGCGATCAGGGTTGGGGGAATGTCATATGCTTCTTTGGGGAGACGAGGTTTTGGGGGTGTTGATCATTGTGCTTACTTCCTCTGCTCTTTGTTTGTGTTGCTTCATTGCCTTGCTTGAGAGCTTGCAGAGAAAATCATAATTGATTTTCTCAACGAACAATGGCCTTTGCTTTGAAGCCAAAAGCGCTTGCCACCAAAGGCAGTCAAAATGATCAGGAGAAAGGAGCCAGTCAGTATCAGCTAGCAATTGTAGGTAGAGGAGTCACCCCTCATCGTGCATGCAGTATTTCACGTGCTGTGAGGACACCGCATATTGTACAGGTCTGTGGCATTAGGGTTTAGCCGGCCGACTGGTTCTTTGCGCACAGTTGACATGATTGATGAGTATCTTTGTTTGCAGGCATCAGAGTGCCGCTGCCGCTGCTGATACCATAAGCGCAGACTTAGTGGGGTTGCGGTCTGAGGGTATGGTAGGCTGCCATATCTAAGTAAAGGAGCGAAAGGTGTACAACATTCAAGCTGAACTCACAGCAGAGGTGACAGCACGTGGCTGATCAGGACTATAAAATCGGAAAGGTATTAGGCCCTCACAAACCGCTAGCGGCTCACAAGCAGCAATAAAGGAGGCCGCGTTAGCTTCCCCCAATTTGTACAGGTGCTGTAATATGACCGCTAGCTGCCCGTTCGTTAACCAGTAGCGACAGTGATGCCGCTCGTCAAGGGCATTGGGGACGAGGTGCTAATCTACGCACTGTTTGCTCTTGGGCCTATTCTCATTGTTGGTCAGCCCATCCTTAGGTGAGTGGAAATGTTTCCGGCCTGTCTTTCTTGATGAGACGAGAGGGAAGATGGATTTCTGACCGAGATCGAAGCTCTTAAAGAAACTGATCGAAGAAATACGAACAAACATCGATCGCTTTGGTTGCGGATCTTTTACCTGGTGCCACCCTAAAACCTCCTTGATGCACTGCTCACTCAGCTTATGTGTGCATAACTCCCTGACGATATGTCAATCTTCAGAAGTACGCTTCTCGATGGCTGCAAAGACTCTCAGCGCGCTTGCGTCCGACAAGCCTTGTTACATATTCTGATAGAAGTTGACCCGCCGACGAGCGGCCGGAAGCCCTTGACGTCTCTTCTTACATTCTGTTGATGGAAGCCAGAACGCTCATGGTGCTTCTTGTATACATTCTCCAGGGGTAGCCTTCCTTTACTCAAGAGATGCGTCCGCTCCCTTCGCGCCTTCTTCCGCAACGCGTGGCTCCGTCTGAGGGGGCGTTCTGACAGGGAGCATGTAGCCCCCTCTCAGAGCATGGGTCAGGCTCGGCCAACGCGAGGGGGGGGTTGCTGCAGGATGCGGATCTACCCCCCCCTGACGAGATGTGCAGCATCTGCCACGACCAGTTTACCATGCCGTGCCAAGCAAACTGCAGTCACTGGTTCTGCGGTGAGACGACTGCTCCATTTAGCGGCTTAAGTATTCCCTCTTTCCCAAACTGGTCGAAGGAGCGCAAGTCGTCGCAGGGTTGATTTCTCTCTGTCACTTGTACATCCTGTATGTTCTGTCCAAAATACTCTCTTATTGGCTTTGAAGATATGGCCTAATATGCACCTGTGTCTCTTTTTATTGGCCACTTTGTAGGCAACAAGCACAGCCAGAGCGAAAAGGCTGGCACAGAAAGCCAATGACTTCTACGTTTGTGCTGTAGTCCTTAAGCCATCCCCACAGGACTGCTTTGCCCACATGGAAAAGTTATCAAAGAGTCTGTGTGCATCTGCCAATTGTTAGCAGCAGCATACCTACGAACATCAGACTCTCACGTCGTCACCACACCGTAGGCCTGCAATGCTCCTGCTTAATCAGAATCCGCGCATCTCAACCCAACCCAAAAACTGATTATAGACTGTCGGAGGTCATCTCGTTTCTACTTTCATCCTGTCTGCAAAGTCCGTCCCCATAAAGCCCACTGGTTTCAACGCTTCAAGTCTGACGGCTCAAATGTGTGAGGTATGGGAACGTGCAGAGATGCACGGCTCTCTTCTCAATCCTCTGCAGTTTTCTACGAGATCAACTGAAATGAGAACTGCGTGTTTGCAGGGGATTGCATCCTGCGCGCCTGGCAGCACAGCTCCGCCTTGTCCCCGTGCCGTTGTCCAATCTGCCGACGGAACATCAACCTGCTGCTCTTGTCCCGACACTGGAGAATCGACGGCGCTGCACAGGTACTGCTGTTTTTTGTTTGACTTGGATGATCCTCAAAACCTTCCTCATGTGTCACAGGGGCATGAGTGCTGAAGCTACTTCGTGACTGCACTTCAGTTCGCAGATCGGCCCTTCGTTTGGTTATTCTGCTTCTGTCTCAAGCCGTCTGGTTGGCGCCATCCTATCACCGCCTGTGAAAGTGTTGCCAAGGCTACTGCCGTTGTTTCAATACTGATTCTGTACTGATTTGAAGTCGGAAGTTCCACTGGAAAACGTTGGGAGTGACTTTTAAAGCGATATTCAGTGAATTGTGCTGTACTTTCGAGAATTTTGCGGAAGTCAAATAAGAGCAACATTTATACCGTACGCGTGTCGTACACGCCCTTACCAAGACTCTGTTGGTCCTGCCTCTCCTGTGATGCTGTTGCATGACAAGTTGCTCAGGAACCTTTTTAGTGCATTGGTTTTCGTGTTTCCATAAATCACCGTCTCGCTGGAAACGAACGTCTCCAGCAAAAATAATGGATCCGTGAATGTTTTAGTCATTTCTGAGCATGACTCTGCGCTGGGACAGATTGAACGACTTGTCAGATGAATGCTGATGAAACGAGGCCCGCTTCGAGTGAGGGTTAACCCTCAGGTTTGAGAAGTAAGCTTCTTGGGCCTCTGAAGCCGTCGGTTCTTTGGAGTTTGGGAGTCGGTCGTTGGTAAACAAGCACCTTTCTAAAATGATTGCGGCCCACCTGAGAATGTGGGCATTATGTTACGCAGCTCGTTTGATTGCTTCAAGTTCAATTTTTGTCAGGGCCGTGCAATCTGCACTTTTTCCGATGTGAATATGTCAATCAAGTTCAATCTTCATACCAATGTCTTAGCGCGACTGCTCAGACCATTGGTCGGTTTCGCAAGTAAGACGCTGCAAGCTAGATTTCGTCGTCTGGTTGGGCCTATATGTTGCGAATCTGAGAGGCCCACTATTGAAAACAGCAGTGTGGGCGGGCACTTTCCCGAGATGCTTCGAGGATATCTTGGCTTTACCTTTTGTGCTCGGCAGCAATGTTGTCCCTAGGTACCTCTTCTCAAGTTGCCAGTGGTTTTTGTGAAGGTCATCATAAAGAGCATTGCCAGCTGTATCAGCCGTGTGACAACAATGGACACCCCTTTACTAAAGGCACGAGTTTGGCTCACTTGCTGCACCAGGCAATGATGCGCTCTGCGACGAGGACACATTCTCATCGGTTCCTGTTGGCCTGAAGCCAGTTCCATCTCGTGACATGGACATGTGGCACTGACAGGACGCGTTTTGGCCCGTGGCGGGTCCAAGCTTTTTCTGTACTTAGTCGGAAGCCGATCATCAGAGCATGCTTACTGTATGCTTACTGTATGCTCGTATAAACCCTTGCCGGCCCTTTCGTTCCACGAATCACCAGGTGTAGCTCGAGTAATATCGCCAGCTGCATTGATTCGAGTCCTGCTCTCAGACCGGCGGGCACTGGTTATGTCAACTTTTAATTTGTTCTCAGCTGCCCAGTTGCGCAAACAGCGCTCAACTTTTATGGAAGTGAACGGCATGAAAGTGAACGGCTCTAACTGTGGGTTACTGCTCACTCTGCAGCGGCTCTCATTGCCTGCTTTGAGCCTAGCATCCTTTTTCGGCAACTTGATTAATCAGAGGTCAATTGTTTGCGATGCGCGCCTGTTCTTTTTACATTGCTTTGAAAACGGGACACTGTTGTTGAGTGAGATGTATTTATGGGCCGTGATGGTCTGCTCTTGGGGGCTAACCCCACTATCGTTTCCGTCACCTGAGCCTTACATGCAAAGGATCTTGAGAGTTCGTAAAGGACAGTGGTCGTCAAGCTGAAGGCTCAACCGCCTTCCGTCGGAATCCTGAATTGCTACTACCGCAGGTTGCGCTTGTCATTCGTGCGGACTCATGCCAATGTCAGTGTCGAGAGTTAGTCGATCAGAGTTCGATGAGATGCTTTTTTGCGACCGTCATCTCTCCCCGTTTGCTTGCTTTGGAAGATGCTTTAGGATGCAGTGATGAGCAGCAGTGCTGTCCGTCAACTGGTCCGTTAGCCGCAGCTGAGGCCGTTCTCAATTGCAATTTGCCAGAGTCACCCGTGGAAGCAGGCACAAGCATAGAAGCAAACGATTCGGAACGCATAATGTTATAAGTCAATTTCACGCAAAATGCAGAGATTCATTCCAAAGCACGTGGCATGGATGACCAATTTCTGGCCCAAGTTCAACAGGGGTCAGCACGCTACAGGTTGCAGATCTGAAGCCGCCATCTGCTTCTTCACGTTCGACGAATTTCAAAACCTCCTTCAATCGGTTCAAGTCGGGCTTGCAAATCCCAGCCCACTGTAATTCATGTCTACTTGTTGAGAGCGAGGCTGAGTCACGAGCAGTCCCTTCAGGTGGACATATTGGATTCTTCCAGGGTTCCACATTTCGCAGCTGTTATGTACTGTGCGGACTGAGAGACGATACTCGTTGCTTTGAGTTGAGTACACTCAAGCATGCGCAACAACAGGCAGCAGTTTCATCTCCTTTCTTTGGTGGAAATCTGTGCGCGCTAGCCCTTTCTATCCTGATTGATTGAATTGCTGCTGTTGTGTCAAAGTGTGACGGCAAGAGCAAAAAACATATTTCTCCATCGCATGTAAGCTTCAATAGACTTGATTGAGTTCTTAAGGGAGGGTAAAGATCCGTAAGTATAGAGTAAGCATTGGACCTCCAGACCTGCTTCTCAAAAACCGGTTGCAATTGCTTCTTGTGCTTCTGTGTTGCATTTTGAGTCTTCTAAGGCTCAAAAGGTATGATGTGGCAATGATCACTCTTGGTCCTTCAATTGGAGCAGGGGAGGGTTATGAAGGTTTAGCCTTGAATTCACGCTTTTGCATGTTGTTTGATTGTCTGAAGACAAGCTGCTGATGTTGTGTGTCGCTCTGACTGTCAAAGACGAACCTCTCAATCTGAAAGGTCCTTCCGATCGTTACGAGCGACTTCCGACCAGCTCGACTTGGATTGACGAGAATCGAAACGCCCACGTATTCTGACGTCGTTGTAAGGAGGGCGCTTCGTGACCTGGAATCCGACGAAAGGCCGCGTCCCGCGTTTGATGTATACCCTTTGCGACCCCGGCTGTGCCCAATTTCGGTCACATCGTTCTGTTTATCCGTTTCAACTGCAAGCAGTAAGGCAGTTCCTTAATAATAGGACCACTGAACATTAGGGATGGTCTTCCGACTCGTCCAACACGGGCGAGTCAGCCATGCAGGGTTGGTCAAAGGTTGATGGAGGAGGGCAGCTCCGTGTGGACTTTCCGCCTTGGAAAGGGTTCACATCGGGTGCTGCTGACACTGACCAGAGTGGTTTTGCCCTCTTGCTGATGAAGCGTGCAAGCACTCGCTTCGACTCCTCGTGCGCCGCACATATAGTTGGTAGAATTCACTTCCTTCCCTGACCTGTTTGTAGCCAGCCTTGAACTTAGGCCCCCAATTTCTACATCCCCTGCACTTACTCTCTATAGGGTCGCTGTCGTCCAATCTACAGCCGAGTTCTCGCTTCCATCCTGCGATCCTTTTCGTGCTGCTTTATTATCATTACCTGTCCTCCGGTTATCTCACTCTTCTGCCCCTTCCCGTCTGCAGGAACGGATCGCCTCCGACATCGCCAAGTACAACCGGCTTTTCGGGGGGGTGCCCGTGAGCTTCGTCCAAAGGCTGCGCGACGCCCCCCTGCTTCTTCGGCGAATGGTCGGAGATCTTCTGGACCCGGGGCGGAGCCTGGCGCTGCTGCACAACATACGGATCCTCTTCTGTGTGAGTGCCCGGTTGCTTCAAATTGAAGTTTAGCGTTTTCTTCTGGGCTCTCGTTCTGCGCATCCGCTTCAAGGAAACTCTTTCGGAATCAAACTCTTTTCAGAGTAAGTAAGCCATGTTTGGCTGCAGTTCGGAGAAACGGTAGTTTCAAAATCCGCTTACCAACCCGGCTTGAGTCCCCACGTGTGTACGACCCTTTAGGATGATTGAAAAGTGTAAGTGCGTTTCAAATGGGGCTCCTTTGTGTACTGTTCCTGCTTTTTGCTTCTTGTGATTCACAAGGTGTTCGTGAGCGTCATTGGCTTTCCCAGTGTACTCATGATGATTCGGCATTCGCAACTGCAGCAGCTTCTTTGGCGTGCCTGGTCAGTAGAGAGTCGTTTGGGGCGTCGGAAATGTGGCTCTGGTGTTTTAATGTTCTGGTCGCGGATCGTCGTTTCTCGCTTCCATAGACAGTAGATTCTGGAGGACTTGGAATGTGTCTACAACTGTCGTACCGTAGTCCAACGTGATGATTCCGAACAAATAAATAATTATTTGCGTTCGGAAAGTCAAAAATTCGGATTTCCCATTCGGAAAGTGAAAATTCGGAAAGATAAAATAATCCTGAAATGGTCCTCGGAAGCCGTGAAAATGCCAAAAACAGCCAAAAACTCCCATTTTGAGTGAGACCATAGGGCATTCGGATTTTGGTCGGAATCAGCATAAACATTTCTACTTTCCTGGTCGGATTGATGGAAAATAATTCGAAATAAAATCGTTCGGAATCATCACGTTGGACTACGGTATTCTGGCGAGCACCAAGGTCGTCCACATCAGTAGGACCACTTGTTGTGAACGTGGCAGGAAGCCAACGAGTCAACGACTGGTGACGCTGCTCTTCCAAACCAGATTAGCGGCTCCAGGCACCTGCGGTGTTCAGTAGGCGTAGAGTCCCATTCCGTGAACAATCTAGATTTACCAATCAAGAATATTTTGCATGCTTAGAACAATTGAATATTAAGCGAAGTAGAGGGTCAGCTAAAGCATACCAAGTCTCGTATGCTACTTGGCAATTCATAGAGCGCAGCAGATTCCCTGGCCCAGGAGGTTGATATTCGTTCCCCTCTTGCCTGGCAGCTTCTTCTTCTTGTCACCTACCTCGTATCGCCGTTCGACATCATACCCGAGAGTGAGTGCGGCATGAGGTTCCTCCCGTGGCAGGCTCCTGAAGCAAACTCGGCTTGCTTGCTAAGAGCCGAAGTGATGTGGAGGACGAGTCTGCGCAGCTCTCTTAGTCCTCAACTCTGCGGCCGAGCTCCTTTCTGAAACAGACTCGCCGCAAGTCTCCTTGGAAGAAGGCGGTGTTCTGATGACTCTGATTGCATTTCGTAAGCAAGAGCAAGATTTGGTTACAGGCCAAAGAAAACGTGCAGCTGTAACCAAATTCCGTTGCTGCAGATTGATGGCCACCTATGTCAAGTCTGGAACACATCCTCAGATACCCTCAGCAGTCACAGGATGTTAGCGTTGTCCAGCTTTATGCATCTCAGATGCTCAGCTTTATTGCCAAGCCCTTCGGCTGACCGTTTACATTTGCTCGTCTTCTTCCGCAGGTATCCTGGGACTCGTCGGCTTCATTGACGATATAGTTTTTGCCGCCTTCGTGGGCTTTTATCTTAGCATCTTGTACCGAGCGACTCTGCTGAACAATCACAGTTGACGGTGAAAATGTTTCGCTCAGTCGAAGAGAATTGTCGAGTTTGGTTTTTTGGGGTGAACTGCTGTCTGTCTGGGAGGAAGGATGCGGGAGATAGTGTTGAAGGTTGACGGACAAACGTCGTTTTGTACATTGAAGAGTTACCAATCATCTTTTGTTTTTGCTCTATATCGAAGTGCGGCTTCAAGCATTCCAACCGCTTCGCTGGGTCACACAAGCAAGTGAAAAGGATTCGGAGCACAGTGCACTGGCATGCAGCAGGATGTGCATGATGCGTAGCCAATGATATCAGCCTATAATCTCAACATCTCAGTGCTGCTCTACTCATCCGTTGGAGTCGTGAAAATGGCTTTTTATCATCAGGACAACCGGCCATGATGTTGCATGCCATGATGGCCGGTTGTCCTGTAGTCTTGAATCCTGTTACAGTCAGGCGAGTTGATACGCCATGCGACTTTTTTCGGAGCGATTGATGCGTTGCTCGTATTTGTCAAATTATAATTCATGTACTGTTCCGGTAAAACTTGCACCATCTCAGGCCCACCGTACGTTCTATAGCTGATTCCATGGGCCCCTTCAGGGGGTTAGAAACTGTGTACCGATGATATACAGGGACGGATCATTGAGAACGTTCCGACAACGTCGCTTCTAAATTGCTAGCCCGTACCCGCAATGAGGCATCAAAGGTCCGACACTTGAAGCTTTGTTGCCAGGATTGTGGCATTTTGACTCCTTTGAATTCAGCAACTTGGCGGTATTGGCCGCAAGACGGTTCTTGCTTCGCTCAAAAGCTGCGTTGCGTTGCCAAGCCGATAGTTAGCTCGGCCATGAACAAAGGGGCTGTTTCAAGGCTCGTCTAAGAAGCGGCTGGGCTTTTAGGCGGCCGTCTTTCCTCGTGTAGCCGCTACCTGTTTAGTGCCAACCGTACGAACTTCTTGAACCGCTGCCGTAGCAACCGAGCATTATCATCACTTAGTTCCGGTGTGCGAAAACCAGCACTAGCTAATGATCAATTGGTGAATATTGTACCCCACTCTCGCCGGGATGCTTGGCAGCAAGTGTCAATTCTAGCTCTGCGGGCACCTGTGTAGGCAGCCTGCGCTGGCCAACGTTTCATTAGGCTTCGCCGCCTGCGCAGTTTGCGGGCATGCTTTGGCGGCCAATGCTATTTTGCTACAGCGAACTTATGACAAGATGCCGGGCACGCGCACGCCGGAGCGTCGGAAGCATGGAAGGGCTTACGTAAATTCTAAGCTTGCCTGCCTAACATGTGCAAAGCGCCAGCGGCGCGCGAGTTGCATGTGACATGTGGCAAGACTAAGCAAACTTGAAAGTCGGGATGACACTAAGGGCGCACGACAGGATTACTAAATTACCATGCAGCTTGAAGTGTAGACACAAGAAAGAAGCTTGGTTTGGACTATACCATCTGAAACTTAGCTACACCAATTGATCGATCCTACAATACTTGGAGTCTTGTTCCTTATTCAAAGATGAAACTAAGCTCACGAGCAAAGCACGACTCAACGGCCTTCTTGTATCATAGTCATCTGATAATTAAAACTATGGCCCAAATCGCTGGTGGTGTTTGGCTGACTCCACGTAGAATGACTTCGACTTGAAAGCCCATCACTCGAGGACCCTGGCCCCATCATAGTTGACCCGACTACCCAACTCCCGGAGTCCTCATGAGGGGGCGGATGATCAGCTGGAAGTGCTGTGCCCTTAGAGATGCTCTCGAGTCGGAACAGGATTTCACTCATGTTCGGCCTTGCACCGTCGTCTCGAGCAACACACGAAAGAGCGATTGTGAGAAACTGTGTCGCCGCCTCCGGTGAGAACTGCCCATTGAGCCGCGAGTCGATCATGACCAGCAGCTGGTGCCGATTTCGGAGTGCCTTCAGCGAATGCAGGCAAAAGAAGTTAAGAGGGATCAGGTAAAGTGCTCCGCACGAGTCGTTGTTGGCCTTGCAATGATGGCTCTATTGGCTAAGGATATTGTAGCCGAATCTCCATGTGCCGCGCCCTGCAGCTTCGACCTTGAGAGTCTCCTGGTCTTTGCTCTTACTTCACTTCCTTGACAGCGAACCTAGACTTGTTGCGGGCGCCTCCTCCGACTGAACTGGAGCAAAACATTTGTCGCTCTTTTTTGGAACTCCATTCTAAAACGATAGAACGGTGGCTTTCAACATCAGGTTGAGCTTGCCATCTCCATTTACTGGAATTGGTTGAACCACTTTTCTGTCTCACCATTTCAACGAGATTCTGCTTGGAACCGTCTGCTGCGACTTCGATTGCCCTGAATCCGGATGCGATCTCTAGGAGCACCACGCCGAAACTGAACACGTCGCTCTTGGGCGTTACCTACAAGAAGTCAGACGTTGTAAGAGAGATGGCTCAATGAAGGAGCCCGTTTTCCGTTTGGTTCTGTCCACTTCGTTCAAGTCGAAGACACTTGTACGACCCCACGGACATGCTTCTGAAATGCCTCATCTGAGTAGAAGTGCTGAAAAGCTTCACACTGCTGCACTGCACTTGCTAGAGAGCAGCCAAGCTAAGCAAGGAAAGCCGTGCAAAGATCAGCGCTAACCGCCCACAGCCAAGTACCCCAAGAGAGATGAAAGCACGTGCCATTTCGTTCACTTACTTTTCCAGTGTAAACCATCTCCGGCGCCAAGTAACCAAACGTGCCCCGTACCATGGTGTTCTGGTCATGCTGGTCACTGTCGACCAGCTTCGCCAAACCGAAGTCAGCAACCTGCGGGGATCGGCAGACGAAGTCAGAAGCTTTTGGAGTCACCGGAGAAGGATGCTTGGTACAAGTATGCGCAGGTCTCCTTATCTGAGCCTTCATGAAGGCTCAAAGAATCGGAGCCTTGACACCTTTGCAAGGTCTATCAAGCATGGAAACATGGATTGAACGACTTACGCATCGCTTGTTTGACATTTCTTAGCCTGACTGAATTCGTTTGTAGGACCAACTGGACAAGAGTGGCCGGTTCTCAGGCAAAGCAGGCAGGCAGAACCATACGAGACAAACATACCAGAAAGTCGCACTCCTTGTTCACCTCTTGTAGAGCAGGAACAATCAGCGCATCATTCTCATCCGGCAGTAGTATAGCAACAAAGACGGACTATAATAAGACTTCCACTCGTTGCCTTTCCTCTGACCTCGTTCCGTGCGCAGAGGTCGTTCCCTCTATGCACAAGTACTCTACGCGCGTGCAGCATCTCACCTTCGCTTGCATATTTGCATCAAGGAGGATATTGGCGGACTTGACGTCTCGATGGATGATGCGTGGCTCCGTGTCGTTGTGCAAGTAAGAGAGGCCCCGAGCAGCGCCCACTGCGATGTTCATGCGGGTGTCCCAGTCGAGAGGAAGCTTCGAGCCTGCAAACCGGGGTTGCTTTTTGGCTTCGTGTTGACCAAAAAGTTGCCAAAGCGCTTTTCAGGTTCTTCAGCCAATTAAACGGTCCAATGGTTCCACGTGGTTAGCAAGGTGTATATCAAAGCAGTATTTCGGCCTCAGAAATGTCGTACCTCCTACTTGGCGGTACTACAAAGGCAACACTGGAGGCCAAGTAGATTTTCAATCGACGCGCACCCTTCATTAGTGGGGGCTGGATTCACAATACATTATTGCCTGCTCGCCTGGTAGCAACGGAAAGCGTTGGAAAGTTTTGGGCCACCTAGATAGCGGAAGGGAGCGACAGATACTCTCGACTCTCAGATCAGACCAATCAGTCACTATTTTGCTTTCACTCGAGCATACCAGAGCGACTCAAAAGCATCCGCATGCTGACCATCAAACACCAGTTTTGGGTGCTCAGGAGACCGCCATAGCGGTTGGAAGTGAGTGCCTGCGTCCTATACCGGTAAGTCACCAACGCAATTGACGAGCATGGAATTGACAACCAGCTTGAAAGCCCTATTTCGAAAGAACGGACTTCGCTTCCCTGAAGCGGACCCCGGAGCCTCGATCCTCGTTCACTTGAGCAGCATGTGCAAAGTGGATCCATAACGTTCTTGTTGCTGGAGATGGAGACGTCAACACGATAAACAGAGTTCTTGTGTCTCTTTCTCTCTTGGATCTGGACTTCGTTTCAGAACAAGCACTTCGAAGGGCTCAACCCTCGGCAGGAAGTGTCAATCGTAAAGGACAAGGCCCCTCTTTCAAAAGAAACGTCGTCGGAGAACTCACGGCTGCTCAGCGCGGATCCCAAATTCCCATTTTCCGCATAGTCCAACACCAAAGAGCAGTCAACGTCTGTGACGCAATACCCACGCAGCGACACAAGATTGCGGTGACGCACGCGGCCCAAGGCGTTAATCTCGCTCAGAAACTCGCGCGCGTCCACGTCCTGCAAGAGTAGGAGCGGTTCAATCAATGACGGGACCTCATGTCATCGCCTTTGCTGTGCACCTTCGCTCTGACGAGGTTCGTTTTCGCCAAACAATATACTTTTTACACTATGGACAGAGAATCTCGATTTGGCGCTTTGGATCGAGTCGTCCATGGGTTAGAGTTAGCGTGCAAAAGTAACGAGTGCCCACTCTGATGTTCTTTCTCCAATCATCGGTCTTGGATCTTGGTATGATCGACAAAAGGTGTTCAAAGGGGAGCCAAAAGAGCTCACCTTCCCCCCGGCCTTGAGTTGCTTGATCGCCAGCCTTTCCCCGTCTGGTAACACGGCGAGAAACACCTGTCCGAATGCTCCTTCTCCAAGCAGAGCCTGCTTCGCAAACCCGCCGGTTGCTTCCTCGAGCTCGGCACGCGTGAACTCGCGCCAGGAGCGGCCGAGTGCCTGGCTCACCTGGGCCTGTCTTCCTGTAGCTAGAGCTGAGGTCAGATTCCTCAATAATTATGTCTCGCAGATAACTGGTGCTCACTTCGCGCAAATCAGTGCTCTTAGCTTGTGGAAGCTTCCTTCAAAACTCAGGTGCCATCGTGCAGAGGAAGTCACGTCTTGAAAAGCCATGTTTTTTTGGAGGACCGGGTGCCACTTCTGATGCCGTTTAAGGCTGGGTTTTCTCCCCTAAAAAGCAGTTCCGGAAGCGGGACGGTATAGTGTGCACTAGACGATGTTTTGAAATGCCAACTTGTCGTAGCTAGCATAGAAATTCAAGCATATATCAACTTTTTTTATTGTCCAAAATGGGCAGATATCTGTTGAGCACAGCTGCGAGGGTACTTGCAGAGGCTCCTCTCAAATTTGTAAGAGCTTCAGGCGAATCTTCGTTGGTCTGCATGTTTATGAATGGTTTATCTGACGTTATCAAAGGCTCTCCCAGTCGAGAGCAGCATACCAACCAAGACACCTCCTAGCTACTTCGAAAGAGACCCCAAGCAAGCCTAGATTCAAATAGTGCTCCAGGGTTCAACGTTGTCCATCAACAAGTGCTCTGCGACAGCAGCCTTCTTGGGTTCACCACTAAAAGCCGCTTTTCAAGGTAAAGGAGTACTGTCCAATAACTGCCGGAATGAGCTCGCTAACACCGCACAATGTATATTGCCCTCTCTGTTGCCTCTTTGAGAATTCAACGTTCGCTTGCAGCAGCATCGTGGTCTCTCTCGCAACTGACTGACTTGGGCAACTTGGTAACATATGTTTGTATGCAACCATTGGTGAGTCTCGCGGCTTACCTAGAGCGCCGGACTTAGGCTGCGTCGACAAGGACGTAATGACTGGCAACCGCTCTCGCAGCAGCCTGCTGGGTTCGCCCTCAGGTAAGGCCAATTGGTGGCGCTTTCGTTTGCGGTAGAGGCAGTAGAGTCCAGCACCCAGGAAGAGCAAAGCTAAGATGCTGATTGCAGCTGCGATCCCCGCAATGATGCCTGCATTAGAGCCCCCTGCGGCAGAAACGTCATGAAACGTCAAAGCGCCGTGACTGTCCAATGCTCACAAAAGCAAGGCAAGGATTGCGCAGCGCTACCTTCTTGCGGTCCTAGATCGGGCCTGCTCATACAGGAATTCTAACTAATGCAAGGCGTAGCTTTTGCGATTGCTTAATTTCGCATGGTGACTGAACTTTGGTGACTGAGTTCAGCAAATGGGTCATCAAGTGTGGTCACGGGGGCACACAGCAGCCAAAGCCGTTGCCATCAACACTGAAAAGAAAATTGTGCTATGGACACTCTCACCGGATTGTTGAGTTGCAACAGGCGACGGAGGAGAAGTGGGAAACAGGCTGTTGTAAACTGCAAGCAAAAGACAGCAGAGATTTCAGAGCGAGTCAACGGGTCGATCGAGCCTTCCGAGAATGTGACGGCAGGATCGAAATGCTCTAACAGGACGAGAAGAGCCGTACGTCTTTGCCCCAGGCTCCTTGAGTTGACTGCTATAACGAGTGCCGGGCAACTGTTCCACGGTAGGTCTGAAGCGGTTCATCTAATTCCACGAGACCGATGTCTGCCATTGGATTAACGCGCCCTTGATGGCCGGGGAGCCTACCTCGAAGAACTGGATGGCAACTTAATACACATAGTTGAGTGGAGCTCTCTACGCTAATGTTCACATGCATTCAACAGCAGTTTAAACAATCAGGTTATATCGTCATGTGTTACCTGAGCCGTTCAAGTACGCGGCTTCCCCGTAAACGGCGGGGTCCAGGGGGTTCGCTAACACGCTTGCGTTCAAAAAGAAGCAGCAGGGCACGTGGCCCTGCAACCCAAGGTCAAATACGTACAGCGAACAAGAGGGTAAGCTGGAGCAGATACTGCTGCAAGAGGCAGGCGTGGCCGAACTGAAGCCGTAAGTGTCACAGCCGTTCATGTACGGAGGGTTCACAGAACCGAAGCCCGCTCCTGCCCCATAGTTTTGGGCAACTTGAGGGGTATACAAATCTGCACAGCAGGCAAAGGACTATTGTGACGCCCGTCTTCTCATAGCTTGCTTAGATTGGTACTGGTATTTACACAGGATTCACCTTCGTCTTCATGGCCCATTCATCCATGGAGGATTCAACATGACTCAGGTTCTTAGGGAAGAAGACGCTCTTAAGCCTGAATTTGAAGAGAAGACTGATTATAGAGGGGTAGGGAAGAGCCAAACTCACCCGTCCCAGAACCATCCGCCAGGGGAATGACAAAACGCAACTGTGATGCTCCAGCCCGAACGTTTGTCATGTAGAAGCTCGAGAAGGTGGCGTTATACATAAGCCAGAGATCGGATCCCAGGAGCTTTATCGAGGTTCCATTCCAGATCCATTGCTGTGGATCTACGGGCGGAGGGTTGTCGAAAGGGCATGACTTATCCGTGCAGGGGCTAACTCGTACCAGGGTAGAATCTGTATTCAACCAAGTCGTGCGCGCTTGCGAGACTCTGGATGACAAGGAACGACAATGTCAAATGTGTGGTTGTGTGAATCGTTGTTGGGCCGGAAACACTTGGTGTTTCCTCTGCACCTCTGTGCACTACTTAGAGAGCGACTTAGGATTGTGCCTAAGATTCTGCGCTTCTTGAGGTAACTTCAGCTCTCTCATCCTTCTGCAACAAGTGGTAAAAGAAAGGCAGTTGTCGACATACTGGCACAGCCCTAAAGGAGTTCAACAAGAAAATAGTGGTTTGCAAAGGCGCGCCGTTCTCTGATGCTTCTTTTCGAGTTGTGATTTTCAAGCACACAAAAGCTGGGAGGTCAAAGCCCTCTCTCATGATGCGATCCTACAATGACCGTAGTCAACTGAAAAGAAACACAGGGAAAGTCCGGGCCTGCTCACACGTCGGATCGCACGTAGGCATCGAATCCCTTGCTCGCCTTTACAAACGCAGTCGAAGGAGATACGTTCTTCAGGTAGCAACACCCGGACTGGGGATCCACAACAAATCCCGCACAGCCGCATCCAGACAGCGAGTTACAGAGCTGGGCGCAGTTGGCGGGGTTGTTGGAAATGAGCCCATTGTTTGCTCCACAAAGTAGGGTTTGGTTGACTTTGCAAGAGCCACACGGGTTAAGCGTGCAGGAGGTACTCAGTAATTGCAGAACGAGGTTTGCAGAATCCGGGTTGAGATCATAGCCAGAATACCAGCTGTAACCTGCATATGTGCAACAATAGAGTTGCGTCATGCTGGTGGTTGTCCGCCAGAGCTGGTTTTGCTGTGTACTTCTAGTTGATTCGACCTCAAGCTTCCCTCACCGTTTTAATAAGCTAGCTAGATTCGAGTTGACAATTTGGAACCAGAAGGAACAAGCAGCTTGGAATATATCACTGGAGTGTAACGGTTGTCTAGCCATACCAACTTGAAGTCAATCAGATACAGGGCCCCATGTGGTTAACAAGAGGTCTTACTTGTCTTCTCTTACCTGGGGGGCTGTTTGAAGCTTGAGCTGCCGTCCAGAGCTCGTATCTGCCACTGCATTACAGAATATGTTTACATTAGAGCAGAACAAATTAGGTCTGTGACACTACAAGGTCTAAGCCGGCCGTGCATCAGCAGGACGGATAGGGGTGTGAAAGCAAGTAGCCAGAAAAGCTCAACCTTGACTCCATACTTTGACGTCCTGTCTCAAAGAAATACAAGGCTTTTCCAGAGTCAGGGTACGTACACGTTCAACTCAGCTGCATCTAAGCAGAGGCGGTTTCTGTTGCTGGCGCCCCAGTACTGGAACGCGCAGGAACTGTAGTTGTAGCTCCACTTGTCTCCCAAGGCCGCAAAGTCTGTAGACTTGAGGCAGCCTCGGATCCCCAAGGCGGCATTGCTGCTACCATTGGACATGGGGGCATTTGACCAGAGGCATTCTTGTGTGTTGCTAAGGGATCCCCCAAGGTAGTCAAAGTAGCTCAATGTCAGCTGTCCTGGGACAATCACATTATTGAGGCCGGATAGATACGGATAGGAACTCCCAAGAGCGACCGGCATCCTCCCCAAAGAAGCTAAGAGGATCAGACATACGAAAGTTGCACAGCCAGAACACCAAGCTCCCGGCCTGCTGTCAAGGTAGACGCCTTGCGCCATCATTTAATCCTTGAAACCAGGGAAGCTATCTTGAAGAGCCACTAGTCTCCTCAACGGATCTACGGTAGCGTAAGCAGGCCTGGGTTCAGCCTGGGAAACAGAGACCGGACAGGGGCCGGACAGCCTCCCTTTAAGAATTGAGCGGACCCTGTAATGCCTCATTCAGCACACCATTTTGAGCACACAACTTGAAAGGACTTCCAATTCACAGCAGCCAGTCATTCAACCAGTCTCTCTTCACATTTTTCCGGCTCTGGCGCCACGATGCACCGACTGCAGTGCTCAATGATGTGATGGTGCGTGTCCTTCAAGCATTCTGACTCCTTCCGGCTTTCCGGAAGCTTTACGCCGGGGACCTCCGACCAACCCGGCATTGGGCGACCGACGACCGTCGGCGTGAGTCCGTAACCGACGTACCGTAGGCTTCAAAGTTCAACCCTCACGTACCGGTACCCACCCTCACCCTTCACTTTTGCCGTCGGCTTACCTTACCGGTAGCTTGAGCATGTCGTCAAGCGAAATTCCCGCTTGATGGCCTGGGGCTGACATTGAAAGCATCATGCATTTGCAATCATTTGGCCTGAAAAACCACCACGCAAGGGTTACAAATCAAAAACCGAAATTGGTTACAACCGGTTGCATGGTCCGAGCCCTAAAATCATAAGAACACTTTTCCAACTAATCACAGAGACAGAGTTGTCAGATCCATTCAATATCAACCTTCCGATAGGGGTGTTGGGGGGCGCCCGGACGGCTGCAAAGCGCCTCTGAAGTGCCGGAAACGCCGGGTAAGGCATAGGGGCACCGGAGGTAAGCGTATGAGCGTCCGGAAGATTGCAACGACCGCTGCGGATAAAGTGACGCAGAAGGTCGCCGCGGACCGAAGGTTGATATTGAATGGTGTCGACATCTGCGGAGATCGGATGGACGGTCGGGATTCGTTGACCGCGGTGAAACAGGGTTGGGGGGGTTGGGGCGCGCGCGGTGAGATGCCGAGCGAAGCGCCAGGGCGTTAGACGTCCATTACAGAATGGAAGGCAGTTTCGGGGCAGTTTCGTGAAGGCGGCGGCAGAGAAGGCGCCGGGAGGCATGGAGTCTGCGTTGACAGAAACCGGCGGGTTGGCAGAAGCCAGGTAAGGGGTTAGTGTATGATATTCGACTCAGGGTGGGTGGGCTGGGTCGAAGCGGAACTTCTTTGAAAGAAGCGTAGAGCTAAGTAAGGAGGCGCCACGGGCGCTTCCTCTGTGTTAATCTTGAAGAACTAGCAGAACGTCTTCTTCTCTTTGAAGAAGACGTCTTCTAAAATCATAAGAACACTTTTCCAACCAATCACAGAGACAGAGCCTGTCAGATCCATTCAATATCAACCTTCGGGGACGGTTGGGGGGCGCCCGGACGGCTGCAAAGCGCCTCTGAAGTGCCGGAAACGCCGCCCCAAAAAGACAATCGTTTGCCCAAACGACAATTATTGGAGATAACCGTGGGGTGTCTTTCTGCAGGTTGGGCTTCCAACGGAGATGCGAGGAACAGCTGCGAGCCATTCGTGGGGTGAGCTTGGGTGGAACCTGCGAAGCAAGCGGACAGATGAGCGCGGAGCAGACACAACGGTTTTACGACGGGGCGCTCGCCGGCTTCGGAAAAATTGCCGAGAAGAGCGTTAATGAAGCCAGCAACAGTAGCCTTAAGCGGACGTTCCAGCAATACCAAGATTTCTTAGCGCGGAACGCCTTCGGAGTCACGGTTGAGACAGCCACGGCCGCTGACGTAGGGGCCTTCATTATGGGGGATTGGATTCCCAATCACAGGGCCGGATGTAGGACCAAGCTGCCGGGGACGGGGGAGACCAGTCCGTCAGCGTCTGCTGTGACCCACGTGGTAAAGGACTTATCGAAGTCCTACTCTCTCCTCGGTTTCGAAGGGCGGAATAATCCTGCTAAAGCCGAAGTGGTGAAGTCATTCCGCGTGGGCTACGAGAAACTGTTGCACGAACAGGGGGTGAGGGTGCAGCGTGCTAAAGTCTTTACAGAGGCGAAGCTGGACGCGCTGCTGGCGCACCTTGCGCGACTGATCCAGGCGAGTTCCCCTGGGCTAGAGAGGTGCGTCATGCTGACAGACCAGGCTGCAGTGTTATACCTTTGGGAGCCGCTTGCCCGCGGAAAGGAGTGCGGACAGCTGCAGCGTCGGCAAGTGGAATTGGAAGAGCAGGCGGCTTACCCGGGTTGGAGCAAGACAGTCCGGCAGGAGCCCAGCGCGCGGATTCCGCTGGCGGTGCCGGAATCTCAGATCCGGCTAACCTTTGTGGAGGCTGCCGAGGCGCTGCTGTTCGGTATGGAAGAAGGAGGGCATCCGGTTGGAGGGGATGGGTTCCTGTTCCGGGCCATGAACAGGAGCCGGACCGGCTTCGTTAACGAGCCAATGAGCAGCGACACTCTGAGGAAGAGACTGCAGAAGCGACTCAAGGAAGCCGGCCTGTTCGAAGGGGAAACTGTGCATACTTTCCGTCGATCAGCCGTTCAGCATGCGGCGGTAAACCTGAAGTACAGTGTTAAGCACTTAATGGAGTTAGGACGGTGGAAAGGTTATGCCGCCTTCCGATTATACGCAAGTAGAGAATTCTGTACCGATCAGAGAGATTCTGCAACTTGACTGCCAAACGGTGGTCATATTTTCAACAAACGATTTAACCTGACGCATACGTAATTGACTGAGTGCCGTGACATATACTTTTGCCTTTGCTTGCACAGGTGGTGCTCATGCGCGCGCCGCCTTTTATTTATGCATACAATTCTGATGACAATTACTTATGACAATCTCCTCAAGTCTTTCAAGACGTCTACGTCACTGAATCTCGACCTACAACGTCCTCTTGTCAGGATGCTGCAACTGCGTGTTACATTCGAGTTTTTCAATCACTTTCATGTCACTTACGTGCGTTCCTGCTACCTGCACGTCTTACTTCCAGTTTATTTTGAATACTCTGAGCTTATACAATGCGGGATTCACGGTTCCAGCAGGCACCCGCCTGCTTGGGGTGCACGCATCCGTGGACCGCTCGATCTCGAGCGGACCCGCCATGATCGCGCCGCTGCCTAAGTGCATTAATTCCAGCCACCAATTAGTGGTGGTCGCCTCTGGAACTACCAGTATCGCATCCGTCCTGAAGTTACGGAGTGACTGAATTACACCAGGCAGTGCTCTCAGCGGCGGGAATATCCACGCCGTCTCGCCTCGCTCCACGAGAGTCCGCCAGTCCGTTCGGAGGGCGTCAACTGCACAGCAGCCCGGCATATAGCGCGGGGTCACGAACCGCTCTGCTACGTGCCACGTGTCAGAAGCAAAGAGGTCTACATCTGGCTGGCCAAAGAGCGAGAAGGCGGCTCTCAAGGCAGTCGGGGCAAGTCCCCAGTCCGAAGCGTCTGGAACTCGACTAAGGGCGTCCTCCACAGCCAGCTCTGCCCGCCGGGGTATCCACTGAGCCAGGACATCGAAATCTTCTTCAGAACATAACGCGAAGATTTCCTGGAGAGCAGCGTTGACGTCGGGCGCTGGGCTCCTCATACTGTTGACGGCCGCCACCGCGCCTTGATTGTTGCCAATCAACAGAATTGCAGCCCCAGAGAGGAGAAGGCGGTGGTGGAGCACGGCCTGCTGAAGGATTCGAAGGAAGCCAATCATCTCGCGCGCCGTACTTGATTGGCTGACCTCCGCCTCCGTCAAAGATCCTGCCACGTGGAAGGGGGGGCTGCCGGCGAGGTGAAGGGATCCCCCAAACCCGAAGTCGGATGCATCGGAAGATGCTTCGATCAGGATTCGGCGGGGGAACCAGCGTCTTCCGACGGTTCCAGCCGTCGAGACGCTCCAGGAAGAGCTTGGCGGTGGTTTTGGCCGCCACAGGCGTAGGAAAAACCGCATCCCAGGAAATGCGTCCTTGCATTGCCTGAAACAGAGGCCGACTAAAGAGGGAGGCCGGCAGAACCGCGGGCCCCATCGCGATGATCTTTCCCGCGACCTTCGCAAGGAGGCGAGGGCTGACCTCCGTTGCGTTGACGAGCTCGGTTAAGACCGCCTTCACTTTGGCTAACTTGGCCTCCGAAACTTTGAACTGCTCCGCTTGAGTGTCGACCACGAATCCCAGCCAGTCGCCCGTTTGGGACGGCCAGAACTTGCACTTGGACAGGCTAAAGACCGCCCCGAGAAGGGTGAGGAACCGGACGATCACTACGATAAGCCACAGGCACAGAGCAAAGCTCTGATTGGCGGTTAGACCGTCGTCCAGGTAGCTCGAAACGGGGACACCCCTGACTCGGAGCTCTTTGGCTGCTTCCTGAGTGATGAGCGTGTAGGCGAAGCAGGCTTCGGACCACCCGAAGCACATGGCGTTGTACTGGAAGTAGGCCTTGCCAATCTTGAAGCCGAAGTAAGTCCGAAAGCGGGGATGGATAAGCACGTGGTAGTAGCCCGCCTTGAAGTCCCAGGTTGAGAAGAAGCCGTTGGCAGCCAGAAAGGTTAGGATGGCGCGGAGCGTCTCGTATTTGAACGGGTGCGGCTTCGAGAAGGCGTTTACGTAACCGGCGTCTAGCGCTAGGCGTCCTTTGGGAAGGTTGACGACTCCCAGGGGGTTAACTACCTTCAGTTTGCGCTGACCTGGCGCGCAAAGCTCGACTGAGCCGTTAACCAACATTTCGCCCACCGTCTGGATTCCGAACTCCGCGTTCTCGTAAAACGAGCGGTGGTTGTGGAACTCTACAGGATGCGGCACATCCCCGAAGAGCCACTCTTCGACTTTCGCTTCCCCTACCGTCACTATAAACGAAGGCCCCGTTCAAGTAGCTGTTCAAGCAGCATAAGCTACTTGAAAACCGGACGTTCAAGTATGTTCAAGCATTTCGACCTTGTTCGAGCAGAATGGCCTCTTGAACGGGTACAAGCGACTTGAACCCCGGACGTTCTAGTAGGAATGCAACTAGAACAAAGAAAAAACCGGTCGTTTCAGCAATATAGCGACTTGAACAACGAAAATTCTAGCAGCATAAGAACTTGAACTTTTGCTACTTGAACAGGGCGCCCGTTTATAGTGCGTTCTCCTGAGCATAAGGCGAACCTTCTCGAGTTTCTTGGGATCACACTGGGCTGTGCCGGCGAAAGACGGCTTTATGCCGTTTCGTAACCAAGACAGGACCGTTCTCAAAGCAGGCCGCGTTGAATCCTTGAGCAGCTCTTCCCAAACGGGGAGATGTCGTCCAAAGCTGCCCGCCACGAAACTCTCCACCGGGTGCACCCTCTCCTCAACTGACTTAAGCCACGCGGACAGCTCTTCTTCTTGCATCGCGCTAATCTACGGCCCGGCTTCTATTTCCGTGAGAAGGGACCTCAGGTCGCGGGCGAGCTGCTCCGCGTCCGGGGCCGCCGCGACACGTGGCGTGAAACGAGACGAGAAGAACTCGAAGTCCCAATCTGACGCATCTGAGAGACTACCGACGCTGGTTAACGGATCAGCGTCGAGATCTATTTCGTCAGGAGCGGACTCGAAGCTGTGCCCAGCGTCTCCAGCAGGTTCGAAGTCTGGAGCAACTTCTGAGGACTCGTGCGCAGCTTCAAGTTGGGCCAGCGAATTTCGCTCGGCGTCGGGCCCACAGGGCTCCGCCGCGGGCGGCGCCGCGGCCGCTGACGTCACAGGCGGTGAGTTGCTGCCATCACGACGGTGATGCATCAGCAATTCGAAGGTCGTGCATAGAAACTCATGTCGGTACTTTACCAGAACTGAACTCCTTTCAAGCCCATTCATTTCTGAAGCAAAGTGTACACGTGACACATTTAGAATTCTAGATTACATGCGCCGGGGTTCGCCTCGAAAGGACCAGAGCGGACTTCAAAAACAAATTCGGATCCTTTTCTTAAAGCAGCTTGTTAGCAGGGACTAAGGTATTGGTTCGACTAACTAAAAGTTCTCCAGCTCGAACTCTTAAAGTTCTCTCGCTTGCCTGCATTGGTACTTTTCTAAATTTGTAAGTTCTTTCTGAGAAGCACGTCACGCTCACGTGGCCCTGAACTTATGACCACTCAGCAATTTACCTGTTGCCTCTATTTTGTCCCGCTCCCTGATCTCCTTGATTTTCTCTATCTCCTTCGAAGCCGCGGCCAAACCTAACGCGGCCGCCACCTTGTCCGCCTCCGAAGTTCTGCCTTCCGCCCTGCGGGGCATTCCAGTTGCCTTGGTTCCAGTTGCCCTGGTTGTTCTTGTTGTTGCTCCTCCTGCAGGCCGGCACAACCGGCATTAGGACACATGCCTGCCTTTTATAGGCTTGTCTCACATCTCGAGAGGCGTTTATACCCAATTATGGCTCACATGGCCGGGCCTTCTGCCCTTAATTCTCCTAAAGAAGCAATTCTGTTCACAGTCATGCCCACAGGGCTCGGCATTAAGCCACAACAGGTGACGTCATGTTGGCGCACATGGCCGAGCAACATGCTCAGGACTACTTCGAGTCAGCACTTTCTCGGCTGTGCCCAGAGGGCTCTGGAATTTGTTCCTAACGAACTTTCTTAACGGCTCGTACAGCCAGATCTTAACCGACCTCGATTCTTAGGTTCAATCCGCTAATCTGAGGTTTAGGCCACAGGGCTCTGACATTTAGTCAGTCGAATTACTTCGAAGTGGTCCCTGCCTTCTACTTCGCTGTCGAGCACTGAGGGAACACTTTTCTGTTGCTCGGCAAAGTGATGAATCGAGCGAAGCCTGCCATCCCAGGGATTCCAGAATTCTCAACTTAGTTCTAGTCCTGTTCCAATTCAACCGCATTCGGACACTCGTCAGAACTTAACCGGGGGGCCATAGGCCTTACCATAGAGGAGAATAGGAATCTAACCTTGGTGGTTTGTCTGGGTCGAAGAGGGGGCGAACCACTCCCTTGCCGAGCAGCGTGTCCGCCTTCGCCTTGCTTTCAAAGAAAGCGTGGCGGATGTCCGCCTCCAACGTCGCCCTCGTCTCAGCGGACCACGTGGTGCTGTCCCCCGCTTGCTCGATCTTCATCTTTCTCTCCGCCACGAAAGCATTCGCAAGCCACTCCAAGTCAGGCGAGACGTGATTGAGACGCGTGGCGTTAAATAGTGTCTTTCAGTAACTTATTTAGGGTTTTGTGCTTCGATTTGACGTGTGAGGCAGACCGTATTAATGTGGCCAACGCTCTTCAAGAAATTCATGGTTCATTGAATTGATGTGCGTGTACGCTGAACCGATGTTTCCCGGCAGCTTTGAGGCAATCTGGCAGTGACGACGTCACCTGCACGGGAAGCTGTCGGTTCCCAAAGCAGCTCTGTCGCACCCGACCGAGGCCATTGTACCATTGGCTTTGACAAAGTATATGTGTGTCAAACACGCACCCAAGAATTTACGTTTCTTCTCATCGGCTAACAAATCTGTTCAAGTTTCTGTTTCTGACGCCTCCAACTGCACCCCAGATCCCAGATACGTTTTGGGTTTTTGAGCGGAAGCGACGGGGAAGCTTTCATGGTCACCAGATTGGAGCCCCCGCTAGGTCAATATGTTGGCAGCTACTGTTGTTAAAGATCGGACGTGTTTGAGAATCGACTGTGGCGGTGGGGAATGTTTTGTGTGAACGCTTACCTGGCTGCTGATCGACGTAACTCCGCCGCCAGGGGCCGCGGCCAGGTTGCACCGACACTGGGGATTCCGCTCCTGAATTCCGCGTGGCGGATTCGGCGCGTCTTCACGTGACACGTCACACTTTGACACCGCTCCTATCAAGCCTAACATGTATGTTTTAGAAGGTCGGGGTTGAGTACTGGAAAGAAAGTGATTCTGATTGTGTCAGTGCGGTCCCAGCTAGCCCTCATCTCTTTGCCAGCCCAATTGCTTTGGCAAGTAAGATTGGGCCGGGATGGCTTGCATCGGGGCCCAGTGGCGGGAACATGCGCGCGCATACATTACGGGATGGCGCGTTTGCCCAGGCAGGAACTTCGAGCCTTTTCATGGACACCTTAATGGAGCTTACTCACACCGCAGATACAAATTCGTCATTCGTTTTGTAGGGCTCGCGGTCATTGCCTCTGTTTGGAGTTGCCAGTGGTTTTCAGGGAGGCGCGTCTAACCTTCGAAGAGGCGGAAGTGGATCCAAATCGACTTAAAAGTTGGCGCTTGGCTGCGAACTTCCGAGGAACCGGACTGACTTTACATCTTTTGATTTTCACCCACGCCCTGATCTGTGGCAGTGAAGACCTGCTATGGCGTGGGACGCTTGAGCCCAGTGAACTTGAGCGCACTTTGCAAATCTGACGCCACTGGCTTTTCAGATGTTGATTGAGCTTGGGACGGCAAGTTTGGCGCAAACGCATCATGCATGCGTCTAGCCTGACCAGCTTAATGCATGCTTGTGAGCGCTTATCATGCTCGTGATCATGATGGATGTCAGCGTCAGCTTAGCTCGAGTATGTGTCCATGCGCAACGACTCTTGGTTCAGAGAACCCCGAGCCACTTCCCTAATCGAAAGGATCACTGATCACCGGATTCCAAACCCTAAGCCGCGCTTGTAATTGCCCCGGCGCTTCAGAATAAGCACAGTGCGCACCCCTGACGTAGATTTGGCACAGAAGTGCCTGAAAATGTACTCAATCAAGCATTGATTACATTGCAGCTGGCGCCTCGATTTATGTGCTGGTCGTTTGCGGAGACATTCTTGGTCGCAACTTTCTCACGAAAGGCCTTTCGTAACCACCGTGGTGGTCTTTCAGATGCCTTCGGCATGCGACCGATAAGGAAGACAGGTTTTGCTTCTTTGCTTCTTTGAAAAAACGACCTTTCGGCGGCAGATCACTGGGCCTGACGTTTCTGATACGTACTCAATTGAGTGGCTGAGAGGCCTACCCAAGGCGGATGTACTTCAAACATATAGAGCAAGTCAATTACGGGACTTCCTGCTACCCGGATCGCCCACCAGTCTATCTGTTACTGTCGCGAGCCCACTCGGGGGGCGACGTGAGCGAAAGCGGTGCTCATTATCCGGAGCCTGGTCAGCTGACAGAGTGAAGCCGTCTCGCTGTCCCAGTTTATCATCATGTCTGCTAGTTCCGGCTTGGCCGTTGGCACCTAACTAAAGACGTAAGAGCAGAGATTGCTGCGTGACCAGAGGCACCTGCGCGCAAAGCTGGCGGTGGGCGCTGCGGCCGTCCGCTCGGCGGCCCGCGGGGGGGTGGCGGGGCATTGGCGATTTAAGAGCTTTGGATAGGCTGACTCACACTCTGACGTGCTTGTAGAAATGCTTTACGGTCCTTTGTCGTGGCCAACTACTAAAGCATTTCCTGTATCCAGCACTCAGGCGCGGCCATCTTCGAAACGGTTTTAGCGTGTTCATTCGCTATGCTTCTTCATCGTTATCACAATGAAGTACGCTGGCTCCTTTGCGCTCTCTAGCCTTCATCCACGGCCAATATCACGACTTCTCAGGGTTGCCAATCATTCAATGAATAGTCCGTTGCGCATCTGTCCATAATATTGTTTCATGAAACGCTTCAAGCTTCTGATTATGCATGAGATCCACAGATACACATGGGTTCGATCGGTCACTTGGGTTTGGCGCGGAACCCCCAACCCTATCTTCGTGAAAGACACTGGCAGGCCGCAGGTTAGTATCTGCGAAAAGTTGTCAAGGATATGTCAAAAGTCCTCCAAATATGGGGTCCCACTTCCCTGAAGGCAACCCGAATTAGCGGCTCGATAAAGCGCGCTATTCGTGCAGGTTGGATACCCTTGACGTGCTGTCCAATAGTCGTAGTATACCCTATTAATACTCAATCCGCAAGTTTAGACGTTCCAGGAGATAGGCAATGATCTCACAGCAAGTCGACAGTATAGCTCTGACTCCCGCCTGCTGGGCTCGAACGAAGCAAGGACGAAACGACCGTTTGTTGTAGTCTATCGACAGCACTTGTTGGTTTTGTACTACGCGAAGCTTCTCTTGTAAATGCTTCAGCTTGTCCCTGATCGAGTTGGCCTGTGCTTTTTCCAAGTAGCTTCGTTCTTCTCTATTTCTCCAAAACTACCCTCGTCGACGTCATCGGGACTTCTTTCCTCTTCATTCCTTCGAGTCCAACCTGAAAACACTCCACTTATGGGCGATTAACAGTATCTGCACGGGACGCGTTATTTTCAATCGAGCTTCATCAAAAGTTCTGAATGATGCCCTCCGTTCGAGGTTCAATTACACATAGTGCGCCTTTAAGTTCGACGAGCATACTAGAATCTGTTTTTTTAAGTCCTAGTCAGCTTGAGATGCCCGGCCGGCTTTTCTGTGACCAGACAGTATGCAGTTGCCTAGTAAGTGTTCGCTCAAAAAGGTTCTCAAATTGAATGCAGAGACCTTACGGCTTGCTTGAATCGAGTCACCGTTCTCAGAATCATCAACTGCGGTAGCCAATGTCAACATGATTTTAGGCCAGGGAACACCGATTGTTCAACTTCGGTCGCCTGAAAGTGGCCAATGAAGCGCGCCGGAGTTTCAATGAAACAGGGTGGCGGATTACAACTTCAACGCGCTTGTAGTGACAGAATTCAAATCTAAGGCGGGGTCCTGCGTTGCCCTCCTTTTGGAAACCGAAGATTCTGATAGCCTGCTAGAAAAGTGAATTCGGTTGTAAGTTGGTACTAGTGCGATCTAACGTTCATGGCGCAGTTTTGGCATATGGTCGTAAGCGGGCACTTGCTGTGTCTGATCCTGTCAGAATGCGTGGAAGGAGAACGTGGACCAAATTTGCACTTTTTAGACCCTGCCAAGCTTTAGTACCCTCTCGACCCTGGGTGGGCCCGCCACCCGGGTTGCTGAGTCCGGGGTCCTGATTTTGGTCAAATCGTACCCGGTACTTACGTTGAACCTGAACTACTAACGGCTGTGGTCTGCGGGAGGTACCGGGGAAGTGCTGGTCCCCAAGTCAGTGCGGCCGGGAGAAGCTAGGTACACTTGTGCGCAGTCCTGGGTACAAAATGGTGGGGGTTTCGAAAAGGCCGAATTTGGTCCACGTTCTCCTTCGACGGGTTCTGTCAGTTCGGCGCTGCAGGTTGCTTGTGCCTGTGTCTGAATGCATGCAGAATGGCGGACTTTCCGCAGCTGTAGTGTAAATATTAGACGCATTCCAGGTTCATCATCATCTTCAAAGCTTTCTCCCTGTGATAAGCTTACCTGGAAAACCAACATAGTGGCGATGAATTTCTCGTAATGTTCATGGGACGCTTTCATCCTGTGATTCGAAGCTTTAGCAGCAAAATTTGACGCCTTCGAAGTGTCTTTCCTCGTGTTGTCTGCTCATAAGCTTAAGCACGCGTTGGATACATTGGCGTTCCTGCTGAACGGGAAAGCTTTACCAAACTCTTTTCATTCCGGACATCGTGTTCTGTTCGGCAGTCATGTCAAGGTCGGACTCGCCCCGTGTGGTATCTTGCAGCCAGGACGTGTCGTTGGATTCCAAAAGAAGTAGACAAGCTTGCTCATCAATCCTTTTAACTATCTTGATGTTATTAATTACTTCAAACGACACCTCCCCTCTTGTGCGGATGGTGCTTCGGTGTGACACGTTGCATGGTGAGATTCTCGATGAGTCGTCGATCTGGATCAAAATCTGGCTGGTGATGAAAGATGAGCGGTGACATAACCAACTAGACTGTGGGGTCCAGCGCAGTCTGTGGTTTGTAACGCCAGTGAAAACAATCGGCGGTAGCTGTTTCTTTGTCGTAGCTCCACGCTGTGATCCTTTTCAGAGACCCACTGACTGGCCGATTCACTTCGAAAAACATCCCCTCCAATAGATTCGAGAGTTTTCATTGAGTCCGTTCTCCGATGAAACTCGTTTGCCTTTTGACGCCAGTCTCGATCTCTCATCATTTCATGCAATAATAGATTTTGCCCCTGATCCCCCTGTTCATTCTCCGCAGCCGCAGTCGCCCTGACCCTCGATTTGTCCTTTGGTCCCCCGGTCTCTTTCTGGCAGGGACCCGTTTACGCTGATCTCCGGTTCGTCTTTCTGCTAAGATGGTACTCCCGCTAGCTTTCTTGATCGCCGGTCGTTGCTCAGCCCACTTCGTCTTGTCATAACCCGGTTCAATTTCGTGCCCACTTTCCTGTCCCCCGGTCCCGCCATTGGACATGCGCATCCTGCCAGGTAAAAAGCTCAGCTTGCTTTTCTCAATCGCCGGTCGTTGCTTAGCCCGGTTCGTCCCGTCACAGCCCGGTCCTTTCCATGTCCCCCCTTCCTGATCCCCGGTCCCGCCATCCTGCCCGGGTAGAATTCTCCGCTCTCGTTTTTGAATCGTCGGTCTTTGCTAAGCCCACTTCGTCTCTCTCTGTGCCCACCTCGTCTCCCTCTGTGCCCACTTCCACTGTTTCTCACGGTTCCTCCTTTCTGCCCAGGTGGAGTTCCCCTCTCTAAAAATCAAATTTCCACCCCACTCAAATTAATTCCTGATCCCCAAAATTCCAGTTCCCACAATTCCCACCTAATCCCCCGGTTCCCCTTTTCTGCCCAGGTGGAACTCCCCGAGCAACGACGGCTGCTGCGTCAAGATGTGCAACGGCCACGCGGAGGTCGGCTACCGGTGCCCCACCAAGAGCAACGGCCTCCCGAGCGCTGCCTTCAACAAAGTCGTGATTGGCTGCAACAGCGTCCAGCTCGTCTGCTAAACGGCGAGGGTTTCGGCGGGTTTACGGAGTGGGATTTGACAGGGTCAACAGGTGGTTACGGCAAGGGTTTTTCCAGGAAGCTGCAGGAGCGGGGTTGTGGTAATGCAGAGTTGGATCCTGGGGAGGGACCTTCTAAGGGTCGACCGACACTTAAGAGACAGCCACGTGTCGATTTTGTGTTACACTAAGTCCCAGGAGTCGGTCGACAAGGTTCGACTAGCGAAACAAACAGCAAGGACAGCTTGAGAATTGTTGATGAGTCAGAAACAGTGCCGTCTCGGTTCATCTCAGTAATATATCTTGCAAATCCTTTTGATGCCTCCATGAACTCTCAGGACAACAATCGCTTTGAGAGCTCAGGCTGTGCAAGGTTGCCGAACTCGTTGATGAGCCCTTAAGCTCCGTATCCAGAACATGAAAGGAGATAGATGGCGCTTTAGCACATTTACTTCTGATTCTAAAGACGATCATTCATTGAAAGCTCGTCAGCTACTACACTTGACCGTTGGCCTTTCTGACGGTCCGGTTGCGTCTTTGATTCTTCTACAAAATTCACGTAATCTAGCTATTCGTCACACGTACCATGACTTGAGCATGTACAGTACACTCTAAGTCTCCATGTTATGCAAATCTAATTGCTACACTGACGGACGGTTCAACATGCAGCCAGATCTTTATCATTACCTAACATAAATTTCAACCGACTATACAGAAGGAGCGCATGATTCATATCCTGTCAATAAGTTGACTACCAATTGCGATCGATGAATGAAGTCCTTCCAAGTTCACTCATGCAGTCACGTACTAATATACATTAGATGTGTTCCAGACCCGCGCGCAAAGGTGGAAGTACCGCGTACGTACAATCATGACGTACGCGATTTCCAGGCCCCATATGCACCGCGCGCGGAACAGCGTCGCGTGCATTCGATACAATTCTGCACATGGTTTTGATGCATGCCGTGCATATACAGAAGCCCCGGTCGACAGCGTTGTAGTAGCTGCTTCCGCCATGTCACTGGGAGCTGCGCGGGGCGCGTGCATTGCCATGCACAGTTAACACACGCGCGCTAGCGAGAACCTAGCCGGCCGGCGGGCCTATGCATGATGGAATACACGAACCCAGTACATAAGGGTAAGGTCATTTTGAAGTGAACCCCCTATGTTCAGTCCAGAGCCCATTGGGACCCAAACGGCCACTGAAGCCCCCCCCCCCCTCCCTTGCCAGCCTCAAGCTCAGGATAAGCGGAGCGGCCCCCCGCCCCCTTCGGCTACATAAATGTTTATATTTCGCAAAAATTTTGCCGGGCCCTGAAAATCCCCTTTTTAGCTGATTATTGCACAATATTTCGATCGAGCCTGCGGCTCGACCACGGCCGGCCAAAGCCCCAAGAACCCCCCCTCCCGCTGCCCAGTCCGTGGCAAGCCCCCAACCCCCACCCTCTGCAAACTGGACATAGGTCAAAATGACCTCACCATAATGATCTTGCAAAGTGAGATGCGATGCATGATGTGATATACTATAATACAGCAAAGAGAACAATGTTTAGATCATGGTTTGTGTGGGCCGGGCCACTCGATGTGGCGCAAAGTTGACTCAGTGATGCATATGATAATCTGCTTGTTAGGGCCGCGTTCCAGTCCTGTACGGTCTCTAATCTAGGCGTCAAGATTTACGACGCGTGCTTTGCTCCTCCTTTTTGCCTGTTTGCTGGGCTTTGACGATATGATACTATTTTCGATTGACTTCAAATCGCCATCAGAAGCTTCCTGAGTGCGGGTTCCTATTAGTAGATCCGAACCTGAACCACTAGCTGATAGAAGGCTCTCCGTGTCGGGCGACTCGAGCGATTTTGGCTGCTCCTTAACCGCAGATTCTGTAAGTAGTAATCCTGATGCTAGTGCCGGATCCCGGTCACCTGCACAATCTAAGCTTCCTAAACTCCCTCCTTCCGCTGCCCCTTCATTCTTTGCCTTGAGCGCGTTTCTTTCTACGACGTCGATCTCTTCCTCTGAGGGCGTAGGCGTCTCCAAACACTTCTGACTCTCTTCCGTGTCCGTTTCCACTGCGGTTCTTACGATTAGATGGCGAAGGCCTCCTCTTTGACAAACACCGGGCAATTCCGACCCCGACCGACACCACTCTTCCGTTCCACTGCTTCCGTTCCCTATCCCCGGCCTCTTTTTCGTTCGCAGGGGGGGTTCGCTTTCCCTGCCACCGGATACCCAATCCTTCCGACCCCTCTCCTCCTGCTTGACCGGAATCTTTTCGTTTATGACTGCCGTCCCGGCGTGCGAAGGCTCTTCCAGCCGAAGAGCCGATCTTTCCGCACCACGCTTCTGACCGGTTCTGTCAAGCCCCCCTCTTTCGTACCCTCCTTTCTGAATCAGACCGGATCTCGGGTCTCCGTGCAAATCCTTTGCCCTTCCCGCCGCAGTCGTTAAGCGCTCCTCATGATTCTCTGACGAGCCCAACTTTGGCCCCGTTCCGTCTACACCCAACCCGAAGGGATCCCGCTTATGTGTGCCCTCAGAGATGGAAGCCGCCCCGATCTGGACCTCATTTACGTTCCCGTTTGCAGTCTTCCAGTTCAACTGCTCTGCCCCTAAAACGCTTGGTGTGTGAATACCCTCACCCTCGTTCGGACTAGGGGCCTCGTACTCCGCCCCAGACGAGGGGGGCGTATTCACACTCGCCACCGTAGTACTGCTGCTGGACTCATCTTCTGAGACTGACATCGCGATGTGAAATTCTTCCGCACCTTCTCTGCCCGGCGTCGCATCCGCCACAGGCGACGGCAGCCTATTCACACTCCGCGGAGTACTCCCACCGCTCGGCCCCTCTTCCGCGGTCCAAACCGGGGTGTGAAAACCCTCCACGATTCCGGAACCTGGGCTTTTAAACAGCAACGGGGGCCTATTCACACTCTCGACAAAGCGCGGGTCGCCTGCGAGCTCTTCTTCCGCTGAAGAAGTGGTCGCTTCTGGGGGGGACGCCTCTTCGGCCAATGGGCTTCTGACACGTGTCGGAGGGCTGTGCTTCAACGCCCGGACGCTAAACATGCGCTCGGGGTCTTCTTCCGGGTGCTCCATTATACACGCGGTCTTGGGAGGGGTTCGCGAGTCTTCGTCAGGAGCTTCATCCACGATCTCCGGCTCGGCGATGCGGGTGGGTCTGATCTGCGATGCCACGAGCGAGAGTTTAGAACAGAAAAACACCAGAACTAGCTTCCGCCAGAAAGTTCTTGCGGCACAAATCATCCTTCTTGAGTCTTACGGGATTTTGAGAGGAGTCGTCGGGTCTTTGTCGGGAGCTTGTTCAACGATCTGCGGCAATCGACAAGCGAGCGCTCGAATGAAAAGTACAAAGACAGGGTTTGCGCCGAGTCATATGGGTGGTAAAACTTCAACCTTGTCGAAGTATGGGACGGGTTCGTGGTTCTTCGTCCAGAGCATCTTCAACGTTCTCTGGGTTGGCTTTACGGGTAGGCCAGATCTGCGGTTGTCTACGAAAGAGCACTGGGTTTGGATTACGAGGAGGCGCAGACTTCACCAAGATTCAATCGTTTGATCCATCTCAGGTTCTGCTGGTCTTTTGGTTCTGACAGGGGTTCTTGGCTCTTCGTCGGGCTTTACGACTTGGCTGGGCTTGGTTCCGATAATGCGAAAGAGCAGCGTGATTCGAAAGACATCGACGAGAAAAGTGATGCGCCATCGCGTCGAGTCAGGGTGCCTGAAACAGTGCCGTGAAAGGCATGGTTTTGGGTGCGATCTTTATAGAGTACGACGACTTTGTTCCTAATGGTGTCGGGCTCCGCAATTCTACTGGACTCGAACCAGACCCATGAACGTAAGTGCAGAGGTCAAGGCAAATGTTTCTTGGAAACCGTCAAAGACTACCTTTCAGCAGACAGCTCACTTTGAAGGAGCAGAACCACAAGGCTTCAAACAAGGCTTCCGTTCAATTCTGGTTGATGGTACCAGCCTATAAACGGCGAGGGCGAAGCTGGTATGACACGGCATGCCCCCTTTGAACATTCTTGCCAGGTTCAAACCGAACAAATCAATCTGCTTTCTAAGCTCTCGACACATTCCGGGTGCTCTTCGAAAGCACACCCGTGCTATGCCATTGATCGAATCTTGCCGCCTCAAAGAAACAACCTTTTTATGGTGTGACATATTATGGCCCCAGAAGCGATGCGAATAAATCTCCAGATCCCCAGAATGGCTGGCCCCTATGAAGGACCATGCAGTCACACATTGATAAGCCCCTGCTTTCCTCAAGTCCAAGACCGGCAAACAAGCGGAACAGATGCAATTGTGACTACTGCCCTCACCTTATGTACATGTGGATGCGCTTCCTTGCCCTCTGACGTGGCGCTCTCTACGGCCGCCACGTAAGCTCCAGACGGGTACACAGGCTCCGGAAAGCGGGGCGCGCGAGCGTTGCGCCTCTGCTGAGTGCGGATCGCGAAACGCTCGAAGGTGGAGCTGTGCCGGCCGTCCAGCTTCACCTGCAAAGGGAGAAACGTGTCATTCAGAGGACGGTTGTTTATGCTCCCGGCGACATGAGAACCTTCGCAGTTTACGGCGCGGGTCTTTTCAAATCGGCGAGAAAAAGAAGAATCGAAGGAAGAAAGGCTCTTGGGTGCCAAGGCAAGGCGTCGTCCCCATAGCGGGCAGCTAAATCTTTGCAGACACGGTACAAAAGAAAGAGATGGTTCAGCGGAAGATGCCGTTTTGGAGGAAACGTGTTCTTACAGCGTTAGAAAGAGGTAGACTGCAAAGCCCGATTTAGCCTCGGCTCTGATCGGACAAGGAATTCTGCCCTGCTTTTTGCACTGTTGCTTTGGTGTCTTTGTATAGTGGCACAACGCGGCAAGGACTCGGCCGAAAGGGCTCGACAAAACGGCAGTCGGGACAAGCACAAATGAACGGTGACCGCTTTCGGTCAAGCTCTAAGCAGCGTGATCGCCACAGGCAAGAGCAGGCGAAAGTTATGCGGTCTGGGAATTCGAAGTAAACCATCCGCAAGTGTGGGCACTTGCGAGGGCACTGAAAAATCCTAAAAGCTCCAATTAGAGGCCAGTAACGAGAAGCATAAACTTGAAGTTTCAGATTTGCTGATCGCTGAAACCTGATCTCGCCAGTCCGCCGACGAGCTACGCACGACAAAGCCTTCGAAACCTCGCAAGCAGCCAAACTCTTGCGGAGCGGCGTTCCTCACGATTAACTCGGCCGAATCCACTTTCTACGAACTTAAAACCAACAAGCTAAGGTTGACATGGCGGCGTCAGAATTATTGGAACAATGAACATCAGCTCAGAAAAGTTCGTCGTTGCCATCGCTTGTGGACAATTTCCAGCATACAGGCCATACAGGCCGACTGGCAAGAGAATCCTCTTGGACTTCAAATACATCATTACTGCGTCGGTTGATGATAACGCACAAGACGCTTCAAACCTTGCGCTATGATGCGATCAGAATAGCAGTGGTGACGTCTGCCGGACGCACTGCGTTTGACCAGCTCGCAGAACTGTCGTCCCTATGCTAGCGAACAATCTCGTTCAAGAAAGATAATTGATATCAGGATGGCTTTTATATGGCGTCAGCCCAAACTTCCAGTCCATTGACCCGCAGGTCAGAGTTGGTTCTTCAATGCCAGAAAGCTTTCCATTGATGCAAGCCTCGGACAGCAAGCACTTGAAAAAGGGCGAGCGTAATTACGGATCTGTTGGTTTAAGAAACGAGTGACGTGTTCACAAGGCGCACGCAAGGCGTTGAAATCGAGTTCAGAAGGTGTCCGCTTTGACTACTTGGCAGTAAATGCAAGCGACATGGAGAATACCGTGCTGGAAAAAGTGAGATATGAAAGACGTTCAGGAGAAAGACGTGCAGATCTCATCCTCGGCATTGTTCCCGCTTTTTCCCAGCCGACTCGGCTCGCGACTAAATTAAGATTAGACAAACTCTGAAGAACAATTGGCATCAGAGAAGTCGCACCGACCACTGAGCGGAACTCAGAAAGGCTCATCCTTGCCCTCGGTCTCAACTTATCAGAACGATTCAGACCGTTCCCTCGGATGTCCTACATTTGTTCACTGCATCATTCCATCCAGCCTTCGCTTCGAATCGAAACTTTGGGACGCAAGTCAGGTTGAAACAGGAGCAAACAGTGGCGTATGCCAAAAGTGCTGTGATCGGCCTGGCGCGCTGATTTTTTAGGCTAGACATCAAGTCGTCACGCTGGCGGAACGATGCGGATTCGTATCTCGTGCAGCGTCTGAGTAACGTCGGACCACGCTTGAACGGCCCAATAGCAAAACCTTCGTTGAGATGCTGGTTAAAGGAGTAAGGCCCTGACAGAAAGCAGTCAAGAGGTTGTGCGGTATCCTGCGCTATTCTGGCTAACAGGAGACTTTGAAGGCAGTATAGGGGAAGCTTCTCGTTTGCAATAAAACAGCAGATACGTGTTGGCTTGCGTCCATCTTTCAGCTTGATTGCGATTGCGTCAAAAGACGGGGGTGTTAAAGTCCCCTTCCCTCCACCTTTAGGTGAGAAGAGAGCAGCGCCAGACAAACACCTACCACTCGTTATCTGCACACTCTTAGACGACCCGTGGTACTTTTCAAAGGAGATGCCCTCGAATCGAAAAAGGACGATCATAAGACGGCCTCAAATTCGAATCAGAGCCTGAACCAGTCAGAGATGGAATCACGGCCGTCGCTTCACAACTCGCAGGCACGCTTGACCGCCAATCCAGCAAAAGAATCAGGAATTCTTCCCCCTATTGAGAGTTTGGCGCGCCAGCAGAAACGCCGCGCTGAGCCCAGCACTCGTATTCTGCGGACCATTTTAGGTGCGCGGTTTTCATCAAAATAGCCCAGGGCAGAGATATGGAATTCCGTGCAACACAACGCAGAAGCATGGAGTATGTGCGCCAACTCTAATGGCAGCTTGCATCGCCTTGCAGATGTCCATCAAGGGCGGTCGTTTCAAAAGGACCATCAAAGAAACCTCTGTGAACGAGTGGCAAGTGTGACTCTTAGAAAGCTCAACTAGTCGTCACGTAGCACCGGGGTCAAGAAAGACGCAATTTTCTCGACGCACCATAAAAGGCCACTACTTCGTTCGGCCTTTCGACGATTCGGAACTTTTCTGCTCCGCAGGTCCTTGAATCAGATGGGCCCCCAAGAGGACGGGGAACACCGATCAGACGGCATCCGACAATCGACTGCAGCAGACTGACCTTATGGTCATCAGCATTCTTCATTGCCGCCGTCCTCACTTAGAAAACAGGAAAGAGACATCAGCAAGCGGTTTCCTGACGATGCATCAGAGTCAGGCATGAGCGAAAGCTTTGTGAGGATCTATACGCCACGTATGCGGCGATAAAGCAAGCACACGCGTATTGGATAACAGCGTGGCTCTTGGTGAGAAAGGACAGGAGGGCACTGAAAGTGTGGCTGGGCTTGAAGCCTCCATGAAAGTCTGCACGACAGGAGGCTTGCGAGGCACGACAAGTCAGATCTGAAGAGCGCTGATATAGACCACAAAAGCGGATACGTTTTCTGGAGTCAGAACAACAATCCAAGCAACAGAAGCGTGACACACTGCCATTTTGGAAAGGATTCTGTACGCTAGAGCGTCAAATCTATTCGGTGAAAAGTTTTGCAGCAAAAAGCCCGTTTCTTATGCTGACTCCGCTCAATGCGACCACAGCTTACGATTTGCCGCCGAAAGCAAACCCAATGCTGAGAAGGAAAGCTTCTAATTAGCTGCTTAAGATAGCAATTTGCCTCAAATCCAGTGAGAAAATGAATTCAAGTCGTAGGTTGGGTACCAAATCGACCACTTTGGCAAAACACAGGTAACAGATTCACAACCAACATCAACAAACGGCCCCCCTAGAGAGACTGGCTTGGCTAGCTTGCGAGTCTTTCTTCTGATTGTCGTCGTCTCCTTCGAAATTAGACAGAGGACGCTTGTTCGGCCATATCAAAAACATGACGCGGGCTCAACGTGTCCATACATTACGTTTCTATACACATAACAGACTTCACGTCAGACTGACGTCATGTCCTCGAAACTGAATTTACACAGCGTCGCATCTCGTGGCTCTTATATTGCGGTACTTGGTCCGGCAACACAGAGAATCACTCCTCATGGCTTGGAAAAACAAGCCACAAGCCTGGAACAATTAGCAAGCGGCCGAGTAAGCTAGCAAATGCTTTGAATTTCCCACGACTAAGGGTGCCCGAGTCCACGCCTGACAAATGAAAAAGCTCATTTCTTTTGCCGTCGTTTTATTGTGCTCGTGTAGATTGTCTGCTCGCACAAAAGGCAAACCATGATTGCGTGAGCAAAATTTCGACCTCAGCTGATACGTAAGCAATCGGGAGAAGGCCAAAATATAAGGATATCACTAGACGCGCAAGGAAAACGACACCATGTCTAGATGCCTCTACCAAAGAAATTAAGGGGGCGTTGTCCTGTCGTAAGGAAGTGAGACGGTGTCAGGTCAACATGGAGTAAACTTTTGCCAACATACGAAAACCGACGGGCTGTACAAGAATGAGCCCAAAGTGCAGACTGTCCAGACACGCAGGGCTACAAGAGGGCTGGTGACAATGGCCACACGGAAATAAGGAAATAGAGTTCCAGCAGCAAAGCCCCCTCGACGCGTTATGTGACATGTCGGCAGGGCTACCTGATAGGGGGTGGCTCGCGAAGTCTGAAACGATTGCAATCAAGGGGCTTAACAATGATGGACGTGCGTTACTTCCGACATACCCATGACGATGTACGGAGAGCTGTTGCAAAGTCAAATCGCACACCGAACTGTCTCAGCAGCACGTACCGGTGCTTTCGCAACAAGAATGAAGCTTGTTTGAGTATTCCAAAGCGGCCAGTCAGATTTCGACGGGCATCCGTTCGTCCTGTATCGGTGACAATTTTGTCAACGTCTCCCTTTCATTGCCCCGATAGTTTGCAGACAATCATTACAGCCATTGGATATCGTGGTCGCATCAACAGTAGGATGATCCCGGGTCAAGATCTTCAATCAACATCATGAGCTCAATCAAAAGCTGGGAACGGAGTAGAACAGGCTGGCATCGAAAGCGGACCAACTTAACCGGGCGATCTTTCCCGTCCATAGGCAAATCGGCGCCCTGGAAGGAAATGGCGGTGAGTATGCAACATCCCCTCGCCGAAAAAGCATGTGTCACCGAATGACATCGCTGCTAACAAATACCACTTCAAAGTTACCGCACACCGTGTGGAGGCTCGCTGGATTTCCACTATGAAAGATGAGGCATTTAGAAATCTGTCGAAACCGGTTGTCTTTTCCTTTGTGACGCATCGGAGCTGCCCCAGTCCAACACAGACCTGCTCCTCACTTGGCCTCAACCGAGAGACATTGGGCTTCCTTTACCAAAGAGCCCACCAACGTCGGAAGCGTTCTTCTATCATGGCCGCGGATCAATTGCTGAAGCTCTCAAATTTTGAGGGTGTGGCCAAGAAAGTCCATTCATACTTTTCGTCAGGCCGAAGCGACGCGCTGTCCAGATCAGAGCAGCCTCCCAACTGATCAGCGCATATACCGTTTGAGCCCCACGGAAAGGCGTCAGAACGTGCGTGTTCCTCCTTTCTGCCCAGACAGTCAGAAGGTCGCACTTCATTGCCCTTGTCAAGATTCTTGGGTGACTCCAAGACGAAGGACACACTCAAGAATGGAAAAAGAAGGAACGGCTACGGGTATGTCATAAAAAATGGCTTGATACTAGGGCAACGAGGAATCCCTTTCTCAAGGCACCGTGAACCAGCCCTCAAGTCAAACTTGTCACCTTTCAGTGGTTTCTGGAGCTTCCCATGTGGATATAGGGAGCACGATGGCAATGTCCGCTCCTGGTTTTGAGCACGATCACTTGTTTCAGCCGCGTAACGGGCAAATCCAACTTGGCGTCAATCTGCATGGCCACCCGCCTTACTGTTGCACACGTCTTTGATTATCACTAAGGTGGTTGCAATCTCTTCACCATTTTTTCCAATGATACCGACTACTGACACAGCAACGGGACTCGTCAGGAAGCAGACCGTGCTGGAACCTAGAACAAGTTACCGCAGAACGGCGCCAACTTCAGCCAATTGAGACGCTCACTGTGATCAGAGGCCAAATTTGCCTCGTCACTACCGTCGTTCGTCATCGAGAACCCGATAACATCTCTGAAGGCTGGCGTCTCCGACAACTGCACATGCGTACAACCTGCCATACTCTGCGGCCAAGTTTTAGTGTCGTCTTCAAGGCAGTGTTTGAGTTTCGGACCGGAGGCAACGTGGCCCTTGAGATCCCTATGACAAAGGCATCGGCGGTAAATACGGAGCAACCAAGGTCAGAAAGGTTCGGAAAATGTTGCTCACCCTTTCAGTTCGGTGCAGCAGAGACAAATTTATAAATGCAATTAGACAGCATCCCTCAAACGAGGTTTGGCGTTTGTGATCTGCTCATTACACAAAGGACAAGTCCTCGCAATAAGCGTGGTGTCCCGTCGTAGACTCAAGGTGGGCGTTCAAGCAAAGGCGTTCTGAACATGGTGCGCAGCCCGGTCGCCGTTGACCGGCCGAGGGCAAGAGGTTTAGTACTGACGCTCCGAAATTCTAGCAATGCTACGTCAGCTAACTGCAAACACTGATAGCTGCCAACGGACCATGAGATAAATATTATGAGCAAGACGACGACCGATCGGACTAAAACACACGGCCACGTCGAGAATCTGGCACAACTTTCCGGAAAGGAAAGGAAAGCAAAGAGGAAAAGACAAAGATGGGGCTCCAAACATTACAGAAAGGTACTTCGCAATGAAAGACGATCCAACGTGCACACGCAATGCGTAGGTCTCGTCCGCAGAAGTCCAGAAGTCGTCGACGTCTCGCATTGGAGACCTACCAAAGTGTGTTCAGTGCAGTCTGGAAGGCCGGCTTGGTTCGCAGGTTGCCGCAATACTCAATCTGAGCTCCGCTGCTGCTGCTGTACCAACCTTAATTATAGTGGACCGAAGCTTCAAAACACGGGGGACCTTCACAAAAGCTTCGTGCGGTGCTAGCCGCCTTCTTTTGTGTTGTAGATGGCATCCAAGGAGTTGAAAACCTCGTGACCGACGGGTCAAGACGGTGTCTTCATTGCCATATCCTGATCACGAGTGTGTCTTTTTCCAAAACTTCTAACACTTTTAAACGGTTCCCGCGAACAAGGTCTCCCCGAACAAGGTCTTCGACGAATTCACGTGGTTTTGTATGCCCCTAAGCGTCCTTGAGCAGAAGTTTTCCTTCGGGCTTGTGGATGCTGCTTGAGCAGTGACTCAAAACGGGTGGGCCAAAGCCCCGAGCACTGGATGTTTTGGAGAAGCGAAAGAGAACTGGGTCTGCATCCGGCAAAATACGGGATAGGTGCTAGTCGGGTACTCTATCGGGTCACGAAGGAGAAGCACTCCGAGAAGTAACGAGCAGAAAATGACAGAAGATACAAAGCGGAACGGAAACAATAGAACTCACACCATCTGTGGGTTTTGGGGAAGTCTCCAAAGTCATAAGCACCAGTGTTTTCGCTAATGACCCAATTCGAGTAGAAACCACCAGAACCAGCAGAAGACGGAGATACAACAGCAGGGCTTCACCTTCTCTCCGTCTTGCAGCAGGCCCAGAACCTCCGCTCGGTAGTTCCGTCGCAGCTCGATCGGGTTCCCCTCTAACCACAGCCGGGTCAACGACGGTAACTGCCCCAGCCGAGCGACTTCGGAGAGCGACCCGATGACATTGTGCGCCAAGTCGAGGGCTTCGATAGCGTACAGCTTCTCGAGACCGGCGAGTGAGTGGATGCCGTTGCCCCGGAGGATGAGCTGCGTAATCGCCCCTACCACCTGTGGACAATGCGACGGGGGTCGCAACGTGACTCTGTGGGGCACAGCTACTGGCGAGGGAGCAGATAGACATCCGCGAGGAATTGCTCTCAGCTTGTATGTCAAAGAGAGAGCTTGAAAGGTGAAGACGACAGAAAGTCGATTTCCGAAAGATCTGAGGGCCTACAGCTTTCTCAGACGAATACGAAGGGGATGTTGGCTCACAGACTGAGCTGAACACGTGCACCTACTCTTAAGGGACGGGAAGCGGGCGACTTCAGAATTGAATCGTAAGAAAGCCGCATCGAAAGACGAGGCTCAACCGCCGGAAACAGCAGTACTTCGACTTTCTCTGCCATCAATCAACTTTCGAGCACGTCGAAGGACTCCCGGAAGCATCTGAATCGTCGTTATGGTGTGCCGTTTATTAACTTGACACCGTATGCTCCAGACAAAGTGCGCCTGGATCTAGGAACAGAAGCGTGCAACGAATCCCCTCATAACCAAGCTCTAAATATTTGTTTTCCGCATCCATTCGGAGTGACTCCTCGGCGCCGGTTTCCCTTGATTGAGAGGTACACAGGTAGGCAAAAACGTGGCTTACCCTGTTCAGCCCCACTAGCGACGTGATCGAGTTGAACCCCAGGTCCAGCTTGGTTAACCGCACGCAAATATGGAGGTTAGCCACTGTGGTTAGGTTGTTCCGGCTGAGGTCGATTTCGTCCGCTACTGGCAGCGAGCACAGGCTGGGGTCCATTAACCGGAGGTGGTTACGCGGGCAGGCTAGCCGGGTTAGCCGGGACCACGGGGTTTGGAGGATTAGGGGCGCACCGCGCTCTGCTAGGAGGTCTGCTAATGAGTCCTGCCAAGGGAGAAAAGAAACACGCTGAGCATGACGACCTTCCGCTTTTCAAGGTGAGGAACACCGTCCCGTGGAGCGGAGGTTGTCGTGCGGGCAGGCAAGCTGGGTTAGGCGCTCTGCAGAAATCTGCGAGTTACAGTAGGTCTGCCAGTGCATCTTGCGTAAGCAGAATGATATCTGGCCGGGATGCAAGTTTCCCCTCTTGCAGAAGGAAGAAGCTATGTTACAGTGACTGTCTACAAAAAGAAGCTACGCTTAAGCCGGCAGGGGAGCCGGGCAGGCGGAGATACAGAATCTGGGCAGGGGTGATCTGCTGTCGGCCGAGAGTCTGCCAGGGAGTCCTGAATGAAAAGAATAAAAGCAACTTCGGAAATTGCTACGGAATGCCTTCGGTGAAGGTTGTTGATTGGGGCGAAAAACATCAGCGCGAGGTTTCCAAGTTCCAGACGACGGACACCTTCGACAATCTCCAAAACCTCTGCATCGCAGACCAAGACAATCAGGATGGAGATTTTCTTTGACAAAGAGTCAATCAGACGAACGGCAAGCGGCCAGAAATGCCACGTGTCACAACTCAAGTCCGAGGGTCTGGTAACACTTTCGTTGCGTCAAACGGCACCGGGAGTCCTGACCAGAGGGTAGATGATAAACCAATCTGACGGAGAGAAACGAAATGCGTCTCTGCGTTTGCCAGGTTGCAAAGAAAGAGCTCAAAGAGTTGCCTTGGTCGATAACGTTTCTTGGGCCGAATCAGTTGGCAGTGCCTACCGTGAAACCTTGCAGAACAGCGTCTCTCAGCTTGCGACTCACGCTTATAGCTGGCCAATGTTGCAGGCCCTGATTGATGATGATTGTTGAGGATTGTTGATGATTGTATTTTAAATCTCCTGAGCCAATTCTCAGAATCGACATTGAGAGGCCGTTTTTTTGCAGATGGTGGAGTCTGGTCTCACCGTTGAATCCACGCAGACCAGTGTCTCCAGCTGCGGCTTCAACTCCACCAGTCCCTGCGCTGCTGCAGTGGACAGATCGCAACCGTGAAGCTCTAGGTGGCGCAGTCCGCTCAGCATGGATAGGCGCAGGGGCACAGAATCACGAAGCGGCGCATTTGCGCCAGCGACCTGTAGATGGCAAATCCCGATTGGGTTTTCAAATTGATTCGAGGAGTGTTGGCTGAACCTGCAACTTGTGAATGCAGGCTCTGGCACTCAGCTTACAAGTGAACTGGTATTTTCAGGTTCCGTGTCTCAAGAGTAAAACTAGGATCTCAGATTTTTAAGAAAAGTGAGGATTGGGCTTCAACATGCTTCAATACACTCTGCTCAGCAAAATAAACGAGACACTGACCATATTGTTCTCGCCAGAATCCTTCCCAGTCAAAAGGCTTGGCTTCACGTACCATTAGATCTACCACCACTGTTCTCAAGCTGTTGGATCGCTCCAGTATTTTGTCTACTTAGACACGCCCCGACTTCTTTTCAGCATCCCCACAACCTTTTTTGTCCAGCTTGCAGTAGTCGCCCAAATCTTCCAACAATCATCAAACCAATCATCACCATTTCCGCCTGAAGGATTCTCTGTTTTGACAATTTCGTCCAGCTTGCAGTAGTTGCCCAAATCTTTCACCAATCATCAAAAGTTTGCCCCGAAGGAATCTCTGTTTTGTCGATGTCGATAGTGCAGATTGTCAAACTCAAACTCACTTTGACCTTCTCGAGCATCCGCAGAAAGCCCCGCAGTTTTTCTAGCTTGCGGTAGTCCCCCAGATCCGCCACCACCGCCCGCAGATAGTCCACAGGGGCATCCGCCCTCAATGCCTCCAGCTCTGAGAGGGCGCCAAAGCGGGAGTCCAGGTAGAGCAGGCCCAGGGGTTTCAGCCTCAACACAACACTCCCATCGAGGAGACCCTCCGCTGCAGCAAGGGAGCAAACATGTTCGTTCCTTTGTCGTACTTCATTGACATTATCATAGTTGTGAGAAGTTCAGGTGAAGCAGGAAACGTGGGGTCAATGATCGCACTGGGGGGACAGTCTTTCACTGAGCAGAACTGAGGTTGTTCATCTGATACGATGGATTTCAATGCAATAGCAGATCCCTGAAATGATGTTTGTTTGTCCCCCAGGGAGTCATGCATTGGAAACTTTGTCACATCTGGCATCTGTCTCCCAGCCAGAATGTACGCCTGATGATTGCACTACCTTAATTGTATGTGAACGCATCGCGAGGGTGGTGCATTTGGGGGCTGGAAAGACGTCGCAATTGCCAGGCAAATCGTAGTGGGCTAAAACGTGTCACCATTCACCCTCAAAGCTCTTAAGCAGTGTATCCAAACCTCTTTTAATGAGCATTACAAGCAAAGAAATTGAAAACTATCGGGAATGCATCGTATCGCTCACGTTTAATATTTTGGAACATCAGGCTACCTCCCTTATTTCAAACCTACGGCATCATTTCGCCAAGCAGGACCGTCATACAGTTCAGTAGACATTCTTCAATATTCGTGATATGTTGGAGAGATCTCCGCAGCAGCGATAGTGATGAAAGTCCCCGCGGGCATGCGCGAAAGAGGACTTCAACTACGAGAATCAAACTTACTCTACAGCCATTTCTGTAGCATACGATTGCAAGCATCTGGAAGGTCAATTCTGGCACCTTGTAGCTTTCACTCACCACATTCCTCTACGAATGCAGAGAGCGCCTCCAAGTACTCATCCCCATGCTCCTCTGCCATTCAGCTGCGAAATCGGAGTGCCCCAGCGAGGCTACCTCAGGCTGCTTCCGACATCCTCCAGGCTTGCACATACTTCCAACGCCTGACAATATTACAAGGCCCCAATTGGGACGGCATTGCGTTGCATTTGCTTCTACTTGAAGTAATATGAATTGCCCTCATTGGTTGCCTCAGGCTCAAGCGAACTCCCCCTTCTGATCTCTGCTGCCACTGGATCTCAAGCACCAGGTGCCACTGCCAGCTGGCACCTTTCTCCTCTCTGTACACTCACTCCGTAAGTTGCTTCTTTGCTAACTCACTACCTAACCCAAACTTGCCCACAAACCTGAATTGAGATCCTCACCCGAGGGCGTAATCTGTACAACCATGGTTACTTGGGTCCCGTTATCACTAGGGCGTTATGCTCTCTTGACCATTCCCTCCAAAGATGTTGAAAGGTGTTCTTGACACTCGCCGCTGGCAGTTGCCAATTTTGCCCCTTTCAAGCATATTCGAAGTTTCGTTCCCCTTGAAGCTTTCTGTCAGAGTTGAAGAAGTCAGAAACTGAGGTGTCCAACTTTGATTCTCAGGGCGCAACAGCGGGCTTCCACCACCAGACTTCCTCACATCCCCGAACCATGGGTCTTCTCGGTGGCAAACAGGACGTGACTCATGAGAACAGCCACGAAATCCAGGGCGTCGCCAAGTTTGCTGTGGAAGAAATCTCGAAGCAAACGGTGAAGTAACCAAACAGCATTTTGCATCTTTCTACTGAATTGCAGATGCTGTATGTTTTCTGTGCCCAGTTTTTGGAGTTGCTGGCTACTGGAAGCCTTCTGCATGCATGCACGATGTCGGTGGAATTTTGAGAACTGCCGTTCCAAGGTCGGTTGAATGCTGCTCATACTTCAGCAGGAAGCAGGCTTTCACTCCCATTTGATCGTCATTTGAGCTCCTGGACGACACCTGAGCTGTCTGACCTGACTCGATATCAACCCTGCTCATTTTCATCTTTTCTTGACCAAGTGGCTTGCCTGTACCATCTGACATTAAGTACGTGATATGTAAGCTCTGAAGAGATTTCTTGCCTGGTTCATCTGGAAGTCACTCCTGTGTAGTCATCAGCAGCTTTTGAATATATCTCGCTTTTGTATTCCTGATCTGAAAACTTCCTGCTCACAGTATGTGAAGTTGGGTACGCGGCCTGTAACGATCATCTTGTGGCCCTGGACTAACAGTTTTCCTGTGCTGCCCAGAATGCTTCGCTCGAGTTGGTCCGTGTCGTTGAAGCGCACAAGCAAGTCGTCAACGGACTGCTCTTTGAGTTGAAGCTGAAAGTTTCAGGGGGATCAGCAGAGTCGTACAAGGCGACTGTATATCAGCCTCCCGGTGGGGCCAAGTGAGTATCCTGCCTTCCCTTTTCACTTTCCACACAGATGAGTCCATCTCCGATGAACTTCGCAAAAGAGCTTGTCGACACCACTTCAATGAGACTTGTGTCTCTGTGTTGATTTTGGTAAACCGGGTACTTGAAGTCGATTGTTCTGTTCAAGGCCAGAAAAGGATGTTTTAAGTGGTTGTAATTGTGTGTTGAGCCACAAAGGGGACCCCAAACGAGTTAGCCCTTCATAAACCATATCCACAGGTTGAGTTGAGACAATGGCCATTTCAGATGTGCGCCGCTTCATCGGTTAACAACAGCTTTGAGGGTGGAGTTTCCAGTAGAAAGTATCTGTGCATTTAGATACTGCTCCCCTTAAACCACGGGCCTTGCTAGACTTTGCAGGCGCTCTACTTAGCTTCTGGTGGCGACCTTGATTTATCGATTCGCTATTGCAATCGAATGTTGTTCGGTACTAGATTTGACAGTTCCCTTCGCAATCCCCTCCATCTCGTAGTGGCGTAATGAACTGATGTACGTTTTGTGAGGCACTCTTCGAGCATTTTCCAAACGTGCAAAGGATGCTTCAATCCTTGATGTACTGGAGACCTCTACGGTCTTGCCGTATCCCCACGCTTGGAAAGCATGGAGATGTGCACGTCTCCAATTCTACCTGAGAGTTCGTCCTGTTTGCCACCTGTACTTCATTTTCCTGAATCCGTTTCTCACTTGTGTGCAGGACGTTGGATAAGTTCGAAGAGGTCTAAGGCAATTGTTGATCACATAACCAAACCTGTTGCATCGGCGTTGTGACATTTATGTTCCTTTCATGAAGTCTTAGCGCAGAATTTCGTATGTGCGAACCTGCAAACTAAGTTGGGCCTCAGGCCATCGTAGATTTAGTCAACACTTGAATATAGATAAAGCATGAGGTAATCTTGCGATGTGCTATTTGACAAAGGTAATGTTGTTAATAGGTTGAGACTTTGCGAACTCGGTAAGTGCGACAACATTTGTAAGGTCATTTCCGGTTCTAATTGACTTGTTTCCGAATAACTTCAAAATGTTGGATATTTGAATCTGGATATGAACACCCTAGGGACTATGATCGACAAAATAATTGAAGGTGTTTTGATCTTAGCCTGGCGAGCTTAACTAAGTAAGGTGACAGTTCGACCAGCGTTTGAGCTGCGCATTAGTACTCACCGGAAGGGCTATAGCAGGCTGTGGTACATTAAGACATTAGCCTAGTAGCCTGAAACGTATTGCTGTTCATCTCCTCGAATCTCATGATCCGGGGATCCGGAAATACCAGGCTAGCTAGCCATGGCCTGTACTAATGATACGTTATACCTGCGAAGAATTTTACTCATGCCATGATGCGCGGCCAGCCAGCTTTTGAGACAAGCCTTGACTAATTGAACTCAGAAGCAAGATCAAACATGCCGCCGGACAGTATACAGCCTGGACACAATCCAACCAAGCTTCGAGGAAATTCTGAATCGTCGCGCAGTCGACCGTCCTTTATTCGACCGTCCACGTCTAACGAGTGACGCCGCGTGGCCAGGCGCATTCTTATCAGACATGGCCATATATCAATCCTTCCGACCAAGTTTGCATGCAGGCCGGGCCGCGTGTGCAAGGGCCCGCCCGACGGTGTGCGCCCCCAGCCTTTGCACACATGCACATGCCATGATCAACTCACATGTCCGAGTAGCTGGACTTAAGTTTAGTATTTGCCACCGCGCACAGCCGCTGCGTAGGTTTCAAAGCTGGCTGCGCGCCAGTCACCGACTCTGGCAACATATAACTTCATCGGTAAACGGTCACTAAATACAGTTTATGCAATATATACTCAGTACATGCGGTTATTCAGGTGACGGTGGGTGCCCTTGTTCAAGCTGCAAAGCAGACCCATGCATCCATATGTACTAGAATCCAATTAACACCACGCATGCGTGGCATGGTCCACTGAACCATTTTCATGTGTGCACACCCGGATGCACTCCGGCCGCCACGGAAGTGTGCAACAAATTTCGTTTTTCTCGTTTGTTTGCTAGAACCGAACCATATAACATACTCAGGACCAAGTACTCAGCGTTATGTTTCAAGTTTGTTTGCTAGAGCCAAAGCCCCCGAAACCCATTAGTGCGGCCATCTCCGGATCCATGTCTCCTGTGTCATCGACTGGGTCGTCCGACTTCTGCAGAAGATAACATGAGAAACAGTGTGAAAACCAAGTTCGTTTATGCTCAACCAAGGCGGAAAAGATCTTTTGTTTGTCGGACCAAGCATACTACATCTGCTTGTAGCAAACGCAAGCGTGTAGAGTCTACTTGCAGCAGAAGAAAGATGCTCTGACTAGGTCTTGCGGCGTCCAGCAAGAGACGTCCGACTGTGCCAAAAACACGCGAGATCGATCTTCAAAGCAGCACTTGTATTCGGCCTTCAGAAGTTGGAGCAGATCCATCTTCGCAGGAGTAAGAACATCAAAGATCAATTCTTCATTCGAACCTCACCTTCTTGTCCTTTTTCCTTTCCTTCTTTTGCCGTCGCCGTTCTTCCTCTTCCTCTTCGCGAGCTCGTATCCGGGTATCGAGATCTGCAGGAGAAGGAGCTCTAGTTTCAAGCTTTCAATTGCTCAATTGTTCACATTGATAGTTCTCTTTCCCAATGGGCCTTCACGAAATGTGACAAGCAGCCGTGAGTAAAGTATGCAATCGGCAAAGGAGTTCTGCACGGCCCCCGCAAGCGACTCGAACAGTGGTCTTCCATCGGTCACTACTCTTTATGTCCGATGGTTGTCACGAACAAGGATATCCAGTATACATCGGTCAGGGGCCGTCTTCTTTCCCAAAGAGAGGACCTGAACATAATTGCCTCAAATGCAACTTCACATTACGCAGAATTCGGGAAAACTTTCACGGTGCCATCACCAATCTTCAGAATTTTGAGCCGGCCAGGAGATGGTGCAGTCTGCAGCGGTCCTTTCCTTTACAGAGACGTTTAGGACGTGCTTTACGAATCTACAAGCTTACATCCAAGCACCTGCGTACACCTGGGGGAGCAGTTGCGTAAGCAAGTCCGCTGTTTCCGCAAAAGGCTTGCCCATCGCCGAAAGACCAGTTTTGCAAAACTGGTTTCACCCCGCCGTCTGACCCAACTTGTATCTCACCAATCGCAAATCTGACCGTCCGATGACGGAGATAGATCAGTACACGGCTGGTTTTATCTTACCGGCTCGGATCGAAAGGGGGTCAAATCTAACGACTATGCAGTACATGCGGGGGCCAACTTTTCGCACCATGGCAGATTCTTTAAGCTAGTGCACGGACTTCGTTTCGTTAGCCGTCAAGTCACGTCAGCAAAGCCCTTCAGTAAGACAATAAAAACCTGTATTTGGGTGTTCCAGATCTGCTGAAGAAAATGACTGATCCAACGAAGAAAGTGACCGGAGATCTGCACAAGCAGCGGGCCTCACCTTCCTCCGTGAAGGTCTCCGCCTGCTTCCGTTTGAGCGTCTCAAAGCGCTGCTTCACTTGGTCGACGCTCGAGCGCTCGACCCGCATCGACATGCCTAGTGCACGTTGATCTGCAAGAATGAGGAGGAAAGAGGATGTTTTAAGAGTCCACGAGACGATGTTGAGGCTAAGAAACACCTTCAATTGTCGAAGGGCCTTGACTATTGACAAAGGCCACGCTTGTTTTTGGACAGAGGCCATACTGCGCAACTCAACATCGACAGAAGTTTCTGGGTTGCCCAGTCGGACACAATCAACCAGACGTGAGGAACACAATGAAGAGCTGACCACAACCAATGTGTACTTTCTACCGTGCATCCAGGAACTCAAGAATCTAATCGGCTTCTAGTTCTGCTGAGCTGGAGGACTCCGCTGGTGTGCATATTGCAGGAATAAATGACATTTCCACCATGTCGTTTCCACCAGTTGGTGAGCTGAGAAGGGGGATGGTGTTCAGCTTCGACTGGACTTGAAGACAGAAAGCCCTTCCGATGGCACCGGACTGTTCAAGCTTCCTTGTCCCACGTCACTGATCTAAGAAATCCAAGAGTCAATCAGCGGAAACAACGAAACCCAACACGACATCAAACTCGTTGTCGAAAGAACCTGAGATGATCCCACTTGGACCAAATAGGAAACTACTGAGACTAGAATGGCTGACCGGTGGCTTACGCTTTTTCCCGTTGATGTGGTCTAGATAGACAGCGGAGTCCTTGACGATGCACTGGCAGACGTTGCAGAAGAAGCCTGCCTGCATGCTCAGGGGAGCTTGCTGAGTGACAACCTGCAGCGCCGCAAAACGGAGAATGATCAGACCAGATATGGTCAGAAAGAATTTCCGATTATCAGGGAACGATGACCTGACCATTGATCTCCGACGCTGTAGATGAAGCTTGCTTGCATGCTCAGGGGAGCCTGCTAGGTGGCATAAGAAGACAACCTACAGGAATTCCAAACGTACGTTCAAATAGGCAATTGCCACCGAAAGTCCTGTGTGAAGAGATTTATTAGGGGTTTGGAAAGCAGCACGAGTGGCCCCGTCCATTCCCGGACGAAATAGCCTGTTAATGCAGAAAACCGGACCGATAAGGAACCGTATGAAACCCAACAGCTGATGCACACTCAGGAGATTGGGAGACATCAACCACCATCAACAGCTACGCAAAGATGTCGCCCTCTGAGATCTGGGAATCAAAAGCTTCGAAGAAGATGCAGCTGAACGACAAATTTACCTGTGTTTTGCCTAACCGGCTGGTTAGGTCTACCGAAAATGCCCTCTGCTGCAGTGGGGCTCGCTGGACAGGGGGCTCTCGTCCTGCAGACGAACAGGCGAACAGCGATTTAATATAAGTGGCTCAATTGAGCAGGGAAAGGCGTTAACAACAGAAGTTCGCAAATCGTCATGGTTACTTGAATACGTCAGCTTAGAAGACAAACTTGCAAGGTTGGCCATGACCCAAAATCTGCAATCTTCCCATATGGAGATGGCTGCTATCAAGAAATATAGAAAAGATACTACAAGGAGAAAAGCAGACAAACAAACATGTGACAACAACCATATGATTGTGACCTGCCAGACAACCTGTGGCCTGAGCTTGTACTGGGTCTTTCTTTTGCTTTAGGTCTCTCTTTCAAACTGCAAGGGCGCCTTGTTTCTGTCAATCTTAAATCTGTCAAGCTCTGAGAATGTATGGAGTGCACTGAGGGCCATGGCACAGTCGAGCGAGTTCAGACTCTGCTGGAATTTGACATGTCGAAAGTAAGTGCCGAATTAAAGAGACGAGCCCCGGGACCAACTCTGCTGTGAAGCAGAATTCACAGTGTTGCCCATCTTGAACTCCGAAAAACGAAGCCAGCCTTGCCGGTTGTTGTTCAAATTGGACATACGTGTATGATAGGCTACATAGTTGACATCGTTGCTTTTGCCCACCGGAATCCAAGATTCTCATGCCTTACTGTAAAAGTGTCTTCTGGACAAAAGCAGCATCCCTGAAATCAGCTTTCTTGAGGGATATTTGTCAACCTCTCGCTTTTGTCCAAGCAAATGAATGGCTACTCACTAAGCGACCAACGGTGTCGAGAGCCTGAATAGAAAAGATCATCTTCTTTCCACCTACTCGCTGCTCATGAAAATAAGGAGCCCATATTTGAACTCAAATCGCACAGAGTGGAAGTGCGGAGAAGCATTCCTTATCTTGGGTAGGATAATCTCTAAAACCAATTCAAATAAATTGCAGCACCAAGCATCAAATGTTTCCAACCCGGGGTTTGACACCTGCGGACTTCCACGTTTCCTAGAAAGTAAAAGTTGGCTCCAAACTTTTAAGCCCTCTCTTTTGAATCCTATGAAGAGTGGAGGGGCGTTGATCACGTATTGGCACCCTGAAAAAGTGAAGGTGCCATCAGGAAAAAAATAAACAAAAAACGCTTCTTTCAAATGTCACTTGAGGGCGGGGTGAGGGCGTGGCTCACGTTTTGGCGCCAGTCGCTCTTCCTCCTCTTCTTCCTCCTCCCGCTCTCGCTCCCTCGCCCGCTCTGCATACTCCTCCTTGTCCCACTTGCGCCGCTGCGTGTTATCCACCCCGGCGGCCGCCTTCTTTGAAGCCATGCCTGCCGGTGCCCAAAACTCACTCGCACTTTCTAAGGTTTCAGATTCGGTACATGTTTGCTCCAAACGTTTGCTAAAAGGGGGACCGATGCAGCTCCGGAACTATTCCAATAGTCCTTGCTAATCGATGGCAGACAGCAAGCGGTGGCAGCGACACTTTACCAGATATTAGTCAGAACATAACTTTCCTTTCAAAAGCTGGCTGGGCGCCAATTTCTTGAAAAAGACCACCTCTTTTGCAATTGCACGCAGAAGTGTTTGCCCAGCCAGGCCCGCCTGGGGCGGCTCAATCCTTCCAGAACTAGGTTCGGGATACTTTTCATCTAGAGACGCGGTAATGATACGCAACCAAAGCCTGCCAGAATCATCCATTACCGCAGTGCCGTGCCACTTGGCCAGATGAATTGCATTCTGATTGGCTGAACGGCATCGGCACGGTTCATGAACAGCACTGCATGCAGTGGTCCAGAATTTGAAGAAGCTTCTTTTTTCCGGGTGCAGCTTTCACAGCTTTGAGTTTTACACTCGTTAGGTACTACAATGTTAGGTCCTAGGTCCTACTCCTAGACCATCAAATCAGCCTCAGCGTCTCTTCAGAGCACCGTGTCGTCCTGACTTACCTTCCAAGGTCTACCAAAATCCATTTTGCAGGTCTTGTGCAGGCAGCAAACAACGCCGGAAGAAAGCCTTTGTTATCGACTTAGCATCCATCGAAACACCTGCTGATTTTGGGTGGTGGGACTAGTGCGCGCTATCATGGCTGACGAATTCCGGTTGAACAGCTCGAACTTCAAGGACGGAGGCCACATTCCTCGCAAGCACACCGCTGATGTAAGATTGATGCGCCTGCTTCCTTTTGAAAGTTCGTGCCACCAACATTGCACAACTCGCTCTGGGAGTTTCTGGGCGTCCCTTTGAAGGTTGATGGTTGTTTGTTGTGGTCTGAATGGGTTTCCTGGTAATCAAGATATGGTTCATACCTCCACTGCACCGGTTTGTCCTTGAAGTCTGTCAAAGTTGCAGCACTGATTCGAGGGGCGCTCCTCTTTTGTCTGTCAAAGTTGCAGCATCAATTGGAGGGGCGCTCCTCTCTAGTCTGCATGAAGTCTATCGCTCGCAAATTGTCGTTCCATCGCGCACTTTCTATGTAGGGCCTTGTTCAGTCGCTCCCTATGTAGGGCCTTGTTCAGTCGGTTGGGAAAGCTGCTCAAGAATGCTCAAATTGAGTCATGCCATGCATAAATGGTCGAACTGCAAGCTTTTCTCAACATCAGACTGCTGTCAAAACCGATTGAGTTCCCCCTATACGTCGACTGCGTTTCTGGACTGACCGCTGTCCAAATAAAGAGATATGGACTTTTGCACTCTCTTGCTTATCAGCTTGGGAGTGACTTCTGACCAATCAGAATTAATTCTGGAAGAAGACGTCTGGCGCGCACTTCCATAAAAACACTCATGAACATAATAAAGTCACCTAAGAAAGTATGCTGGCAGCTGAATTTTCCAATGACACGGTGTACTGTCTCTCACCCATCTAAACATCTGACGTGCAGGGCACAGTTGATAAGAAGGATATCAGCCCCCAGCTGTCCTGGCACAATGTACCTGAGGTTAGTCTTCACAAGCCTTCTTACACAGGATGATCCTGAAATGATGCATGCCTGCTCAAACTGCTCTTAACTTTACAGTGCACCAATGCAAACACAATTGAAATTGGACACGACTGCAGCTGGTTCCTTGTACTCGCTTCGCTCACCTTGAGGCTCGTCAGTGTCATGTTCAATCTGGTTGTCAAGTGAGACTCCCACGTGGCTGCAAGGAATCACGTTTATAGCATAAGGTTGGCGGTCCAGTCCTGGGTTTGCTTTGCATTTCATAGTTATGTAGTTTATGAACACTCGTTTAGCTATGTTCATTGGAATCTCACCTGGCATTAAAGTTTTTTGACTATCTGGCTCACCGTTTTAACAGGATGGCTAGTGCCTGTGTTGATATGGTTTGGGTCGACAGGTACAAGGAGTGGTATGCCAATTGTCTTCGGTGTGTGACGCGTACACATGGACAGAAGCTATTGATGGGTCTTTAAGCAGGTGCATCATCTGGTTTCCAAATGTGGAGCTGATTGAACACTGAGAACACTCGAAAAGGCCTCTCTAAAGGGTCCACTCATATGCAGGGGACAGAAAGCCTGGCGCTCATCATGGAAGACTTAGGTGAGTCGCATCAGACAGCTCCCTCTTTTCGAGTTGTTAATTGTGTAATCGGACAATTTGACGGTCAGGTTTCCAATCTGGCAGTTCTGCGAGTGGACTGGAGAATGTGCCCCTCGTTTGTTCTGTTGTCGAAGCCAGACTCCAAGGGTCTGGCTTCGTCCAGCAAGTGAAAAGCTGACCTGTTTACTTGAAGCTATTCCGTCGTTATGCTGGCAGCACCGTGCATGACTGTCAAAGCACACTAGTCAATAAAGTTGGAGCCAAAACACTCTGATTGTTAAAGCTGGAGATTGATCGATTGAGCTCTGACATTTGTTACGGATCAGAGGAAGGACGAAGCAGGATTCAGAAGAGCTCCTAAATTAGGCGACCCGGCAGTCTCTTCTACCGAACTAGCTTTGGTTTTCCATTGCCGCCCCTATTGTTGCAGCATTGAACCTGGGATAGTGCTTTCAGCCGCAGTGCTCATAGATGCGCAACACGAGACTTCTTGTTTGGCAAAGAATACTCAGTGGAAAGTGCTGGTGTCAAGCTCGTGTTTTCGCAATTGCTCAATGACTGGAAGTTGGTACAAATTGGATGATGCCTCTTTCCTGCAGATGCTCCTGACCCGGACTCTCCAATTGTGCCCTGGGTCCATTGGGTTGTGGTCAATATCCCTCCCACTCTTCATGGTGAGACTACTGCACAGCTCTGTCAGAGAAACCGTTTCTCCAGTAGAAGCTGTCTCTGTGGTTATTGTCCACAGGTTTGTCTCAGAAGACTTCTTCACAGTGTCAGGTTTTAGAACCATACTTGCAGCCGTGTCTTTATCACCGAATTCTCCGTCCCGCATTCCTAAATCTCATTTTCCACAGTGTCCCTAGCAAATTGGTCGTCTGAAGCTGTTGCGTAAGAAAGAACCGCGAAATATCAATTAGGTCGAACCCACTAGTTGTGGCCAGGGCTTTTGCAAGGGGGAAGCTGTCCTAGCCAGTCATCCATTATATTATGTGGCTGACAAAGTCAACCCATTATACTATCAAAGTCTGTGGGGCGGTTTCCGGGTGGAGGGGCTGAGCTAGGGTGAGATTCTGGTGCTGGTAGGAAGCACCAGGGTCCTCACAAAGGGATACAAGAGCTACTTTTTCTCAAGCTGGCACCATCTCTACGGTCTTGTGAAGCAAACACGGTGTAAGTGCTCGTTTTGAAGGGGTTACTCAAGAGTTCCGGGGTGCGAACTCTAGTCGCGAGCGGACTCGATTAGGTACCTCAGGGCACTCAATCAGTTTTCACAACTTACTAGCCACAATGAAGGGCAAGCACTTTGTAGATCCTTACCCAGGTTTGTGGACAACTTCCGCGTGCACGGCCTGGACGAGAGCTACATCAAGAAGGAGCACCAGGATCCCTCAAGAGGCACAGAGCATATGTTGATTACCGCTTGACGGAGTGGAAACTATGTCGACTACGACCCGCTCTAACCCGGACCTAACTAAACCTGAACCACTTCCTTGACCAGATTTGCTAGAGAACTATCGGGTGCACGGCCTGGACGAGAGTGGGAGCAAGAAGGAGCACCAGGGTTCTGTAAGATGATGAAACGCACACTACAACCAGCGAGCGAAAAGAGCGGAATCATTTTTGGGTGCCTTCTAATCCTTCCTAACCCGAGTCTAACCATTTCCTCAACCAGATTTGCCGGAGAACTTCCGGGTGCACGGCCTGGACGAGAGCGAGTTCAAGAAGGAGCACCAGGGCACGAGGGCACAAGGCATAAGAATTGAAGTATCTTAGCCGTTGACCGAGGTGACCTATGATCATCTGGGGTTCCGGATCTGACCCGTTCTCCCCCCCGCTTAACCGCCTTTAACCCTCCCTTACCAGGTCTGCCGGAGAACTTCCGGGTGCACGGCCTGGACGAGAGCGAGATCAAGAAGGAGCACCAGGGCATCGCTGAGGGGTACAACGACTTCAAGCAGCCGGGGTACCGGGGGCCCGCGCCGCCGACCGCCGCTGCCCATCGCTTCGAGATCCGGCTGTACGCGCTCGACAAGATGTTCGAGAAGCTGCCCAACAAGGTAGGGATCTGTATGTAACGGCTCGTATATATTCTCGTTCCATATTGCTCCCTCGTTCCTGCCGGCTTCAATCGAGGTCTAGTAGAACGGGAAGAGGTATTGACCACCAGAAAGGCTTGACAGAAAGTGCTCAGCACTTGATTGAGGAATGCCAAACGAGGCACAGAGTGGTCAGGTTTGAAATTTTGGTCGTCGGAGTTGATAGAATCGACTTTTCAGTCGTCTGAAATGCTGCACGGAAGGATCGGCTCGACCGGGGTATTTTGCTTAGGGGCAGTCTGATAAGGGGTTGGATGGGGCATTTGAGATGCAGTCGACGAGATGCCAAACTCGCTCGCACTTTGTTTTATCGCTTTGCTTTTCTCCTTCCCCTTCTGAGATTCTGAATCTGGTCAGATTCTGGTCAGGCATGACGCGCTGCTTGTTCTCGGTAGATTGGAGCCATATATGCTTCTCGAGGGTTGCGGATTCCTGCTCGAAAGCAGTTGGCCGAAGTAATGCGGGATTCCAAATTGGGTTTATACCAGCCGCTTGCCATACTCTGTCGGAGGAGGGCGGTGGGCGGTGTGAAAGGTAAGCCAGAGAGAAAGTCGATAAAGCATTGATGAGGTGGTTCATCTCAGGGTTTCAAATCGAGAAAAGACGTACCGTTCCTGGTGCAGATTACCAAGCCCGTTCTGGAAGACGCAATGGAGGGGCACATCCTGGGGGAGGCAAAGCTGACGGGGATGCACGGTCATGAGAAGATGGGTCCTCGAGGGAACGACAGCTACATTCCTCCCGGCCATCCAATGACTAGCCCAGCGCAAATGAGATAGATTCGATAACGTGCATCGAACGGGGTTAGTTTTACTGGTCGAATCACGGAGATCAGGTTTGCGCTTATGAGGATCATCTCATCTTACACGCAGAGCGAGGATTTTGGCAGTCAGCTAGGAGACGGGGAAGAGCAATTTGTACTTTAGAGTTGGTCAATGTATCGTAAGGGGTCGAAATGTATTGTATTCCATTCAGAAACAGCTGTTTCGCTCAAATTTGGCCATATGAAACGGCTGAATGGCCGTTTCAAATCATTGAATGCGGTTCCAAACTGTTCCGCAGTTTTCCTAGTTCGATCTGACTTCCGCCTTCCAAGTTGGGGTGGACAAAGCAGAATACGTTGGTTGTCGTCATCTGGCTCTGGCTGCAAATTGGTAAGTTCGTTTGAACTTCGAGTATACGGTACCTGCATGGAGCCTAAGTTCGAATCTGCAGTTTGGAATGGCAATGAACAAATGCGCAGCCACGCGGTTACATAGTCTGGACCTTAGCTTCGTAAGGATCTTTCCAATGTTGTACAAGTTCGCCGGACACTGAAGTTCACACAGGGTCCGTCTGACCTTGGATACACACACTCCGTTCAATCAATCATTGAATCGCCCTTTACTCACTCGCATCATGTGACAACATCCATTCAATGTTGGAAAATTAGTAAACCTCGCCATGACCACCGCTAGACTGCGAGTCAGTGAATTGAGTACTCAGCGACGGGCCAGGAAATTGAGCGAATGATCGGAGCCCCACGGCCACCAACCTCGGGCCTTATAGGCTATGCTGCTAGCTAGGACGGTCCTGCCAGTCATCCAATGCAGCGCTCGTAAACTGCAACCGCCGACTCAACAATCTGCAAATACTCTTGTGGTGTGCATAATAGAGTTTCAGAATTTCATGCCCCGGCCAACTACGAATTGCATGGTGTCTGTGTTTATGTGCGTTTTGGCCGATCACAACGCATCTTGTATTGTGGTAACGAACGAGTGGGGCGCAACAGGGTGGCATGAGATTCGCGTCACGTACGGATTATTTTCTTCGTGACCGACATCGCCGTAGCGTCATTCGCATACGTACAACGTACGATGTACCAGCGTCTAGGCGTCTATGGGGCGTCAAGGCACTGATTTGACTGATCTGGCATTACGAGTTTTACAAGCCACAGACTTGCTTGCAGTATGTTGCCAGGATCAACTCGCATGGAATACGCACCCCCATCTTCTCTTCAACTCGTACACCCTCTGACAGACGCGATCCGACGGAGAGCTCCGAAATAAATCCACGTGCTTCCAGATGGCACGTGGAAACCGGACGTACTAGTCGTGGGCGTTTTTGGTTCTGGCCTCCTGATTCGGGCGCAGCTTGTGCGCAGACTCGAGAGGGATTGCCGCCAAAACGAGGCCAAAACTGAGGCAGCTAATTTGCCTGCCAGACTACCAGAACGTTCAGCATGGTACCTGGTTCCTTTACATCTGTAGGCAGTACTTCGCAGAGGCAGCGCTGATGCTCGACTCTAAGCATGCCACCCCACCTAAGAGAACTAGCATGTTGAAGCTCTTTGCTACAACAATCTTGTCATCGTTTGACAAAGACGTTTGGTATTTGCGGAATACTTTGGGAAGGCAGTCCACGAGCACAGGGATACGCACGCTAGTGCGGTCCTGATGATTTGATCCCAGTCCTGATCGCTCTTTCTAGTGTAACCTACCGTTCTCCTCCGAAGCTTCGACAATGGCTATCTGGCCCTCATGTTCGCGTTTCAGCACTTCAACTGCCTTTGATCCGTCACATGCTCAATCTGAAGAATATTCAAGCGGAGTCCTTTCTATTGCGTTCCATGGCAAGGTTTTTGGAAAGTTGGAACAATCCAAAAACAATCCTTGGCTGGCTGCGAGTCCTCTTTCTCGCAGCCTGCTGGCCAGCTCTTCCCGCTCCTGGCCAATCCGATTTTGAAGTCTGAGGATGTCTAGGACAGGGAAAGTACTAGGCAAGTCGTGGCCCAATCGCGGGACGCCGCCACTTTTCTCAGATTTGATCGGTTATAAAGTGTCCAGATTGAATGAGTCAAGTGTGGCACATTCCTGTACTTGCCCAAAGGGTGCTATCTCATCTCCAAACGTATCGCTAAAGCTACTACTCTCTGCGTAGATTCATGGAATGCTCTGGCCGACGTCCTGCGCCGTTTGGATACCCCAACAATACCGCTCACTAGAGGATTCGGACATGTACCTACGTATACTCAAACATGTACCGCAACACGTACCGTGGTTCGCAGGAGTACAGCTGGCGGACGTGCGCTACTCAGCTCTTCAGTGAAGATAGGTATTCCATCAGAAACATAGTCGATCACTCGATCATCTGCATGGTACTTCATAACTTCAAGTTAAACAATAATGACCAGATTCAATGATTCCAATGGGCAGCTGCATCATGGCATGCATGGCTCTTCTTCCATGTTCAGCTCTAGCTGTCCAGCAGTCCGCGACCGCCCCCAGCGGCGGCCGCGCCCCGCGATTATTTCTGACACAAAACCCTCGGAAAGACCGTACCGTCCGATCTGCCGACAAGTTTTCCCGTGGACCACGTGGTCACCAGCGTCCCAAGATGACATCACTGTGCAAGACAGTGCATCCAGTGTGCACTGTACAGAAGCCTATCATATACCTACAGCCTACAGGGATGATAGGCTTCTGTTGCACTGGCCGGCGGCGCCGCGGCGCCCATTTTAGTTGCTCCAGATTTCTCCACTTCGTGGCTTTTCTCCGCTCTGAGTACTCTGAGACTGCATGGCTCCTCCTTTGCAACACATTGAACAGGTGGAGGAATCTTGAGCATCGTGAGGAAATTAGGCAGCCGCGGCAGCCTCTCTTATCATTGAGGTTCTCCACAATGCACCAATGAAAGAGAGACAAGTAACATCATCTGCTCTAAGACAAGAAAGAGGTCCAGTAAACTGAGGAAGCAACCATCATGCTAAGGTATACCTTTGCAGGGCTTAGCTCCCAGATTTTGGGGAGATAATCTGGGGGGCCGGGGATCTGGGGTTGGGACGGTTTCTCTTGCTAGCTAGCTTGACCTTGATCAATCTGACCAGTGATAACCTAAACAATACATTGACGTGCTGGTACCTACAATGTTGGCAATCCTGAGCGCTTGAATGCACCTCAGGTTCAGCTCATGAGATAGCTTGCAATTCCTGGACAAGCCAAAGATCGGATAATAGGCAAAGATCAAGGCATTATTAAAGGCTTCGTCCGTGAAGATGCTCCTTATCTGAGAATTCCAAGGTCAGTTTAGTCGAATTGCACACCTTGTCTAGGTTATAGGCAAAGACTGATTATGGCGACTTGGACATTGAATGGACTTTTTAGTTGCCTCACCTGAGCTCATCTCTGCCCCTCAGTTGTTGCATTCGCCAACTCTGGACTCATTCCTTGCAGCTGGAATGCTCCTATTTGTGGCGAGTTCGACAAATACCTTGTAAAGGTTGAAGGTGTCAAAGTTCATCAAGCCGTGCTCAAATATACCTGTATATCTTGTTTCCTTGTGAAGTACTCAGCCACATCACAGACCTGCAAGTCTGACTCACATTCACAGATTGGCCCCCTCTCGCTGTTGATTGACAAATCCCTGGCCATGCACATAAATACTGACTGAGTAGGCTTGATTGAATTGGTCATGTTAATTTAGTCTGGAGCTGTTATTACTGTGCATGGAAAGGCCGCAGCATCAGATAATCAGTCTATATAACCCTGGGTAATCTGTCACCCAGGGTTATATAGATGAAGATTCATCATTTGGCAAAGCGGCATACGGTTTGGCTACATAATGTTGAGTACATATGCCGTTTATAAGTGCCAAGTCTGCATTGCCCAAAAAAAATTTGTATAGTACAAGTGCCTCTTTGGACACTTGTCAGTCACTCTCAGTGCATCAAATGCTGCCATCTGACAAAACAGTGAACATACTTTACACAGGCGAACACCTAAAGAGAACTCTGACACGCAGATCATTGCTCCTTTGCTTCTAGACAACGGTTTGCAATTGACTTTGGCAGAAACAATAAATGATGAGAATAATACATTCTTCGGAGTTACCGTCGTTACTAAAGAGGAAAGAGAGTCTGTACCACCACATACGCATGCTCTGAACACAGCACAACTCATTTTATGCAGGTTTTCAATCGTTAATCTACCAGATGTCCAAAGGAGGAGTCCTCTCCTGTGAACGCGCTGGTCACACGAACAGGTCCAGTTGAGTAGCCGCAGTCGAGAGAAGCAATCATTGTGGTGAAGGATCTAAGACAATCAACACGGGGCGCATTTAAAGAAGCAGGGGAGCAGAGATTCGCAAAGACAGGTCCATACCCCAGTCTGCGAGCGGAAGCGAAAGTAGCAATGGGGTTCATGCACCGAGTCCCCGGGGGGGAATCCACCTCCACAAAGTACTTCCTTGCCCTTGTGGCTGTGGTCTTTGCTTTTCTGACTTCAGGTAAGTGGCAAGTCTTCCACTTTAACAGCCAGCTGAAGTTTCCAAGTCCCCTATTCTGAAGTTTGACGCGCTTCAAACGTAGTTGCGCAGTGTTTTCGTAGGACACTGGCCTTGGAAGATTGTTATGCTTTCCTACTAGGTTTCCAGACTCTCAGCCTTGGCGCTGCTGTAAGAGACCCGGTCGCATGTCGAGGGCGCCAGCGAGAAACGAGTCTGTCGGCAACTCTGAGCTTAGGTATAGTGGCGCATTTGTGGTTCTCATCTTATAGAAGTGCTCAAATTTCAAACTTTCAAAGCCTTTTTACCTCAACATTTTGAGATTTTACAGCCCTCCTTTGCAGTCATGCCAGAGCCCTTTTTTGCGGCTTAGACCCCAAGTTTTATCAGGGGTCTGAGGCTTAGACTCTTCTAGTGGAACATGAATGCAGAAGCCCAACTGCAATCTCAGACTGATCAGAGATGCTGACTCGATACCTGGACTACAGAGCCATAGACTTTGGTTTCTGCAACGGTAGCGCTGGGTATGATCTTTAGGAGTTTCAGTCAATCCGCCTGTCAAACTGCCAAAAACAATAACAAGCTATGCTCAAAACAGAGACGGTCAGAAAGCTCATGAAGATGGGAGGGTCAGGCGCTTCCACACGGACTGCCTTAAGCGAAGCCTTCATTTCCTCGAGTTATCCAGACCATCCTTTCAGATGTTAAGGCTCACATGAGCCCGCCAACTACCTTCCAGGGACGTTTTGGTTTTCCCATGCTCGAATCACCTCAGAAATTGACCGCCGCAGAAAGACCAGGATCCGGCCAACTATCGATTGATCCTCAGAACTCGACACCCATCAGTATCTTCAGGATGTTCCTTTTCATTTGCAGCCATTTCGTCAGTATCGGCTTGAGTTCCGTCGTCAAGACCAACTTGAAGACGGCCCTTAAGCACACCAGAGCTTTTCTACACTCCTTAGTTCAATAATCAGCTTCCATTCAAACCGATATTTAGGTGTGAGTATATGAGCCCCCGACTTCTGTGTCTGACGCTCTAGAACTCTGACAAGAGTACTTTGCCCCTCCATTTGCGCAGGCATCGTCTTTGGCTACTCCGGCCTGATCAAGGTTTTCGTCTATGACGTCAAGGCGTTTGCGGAGTTCTGCGAGGGGCCGCCCCCGTGCCACGCACAGACGGACCGCCTCACGCTTATGTACACCATTGCGGCGACCACAATTTCGGGGTGCGCCATCTTTGTGGGGATGTTCCTGGACTACTTCGGGCCGCGGATCACGGCGTGCGTTGGGTCGATCATCTTCGGTTTCGGTGAGTACTAGAGCTGATGGTTGGGAAACGTTCCCTGACTTCGACTTTTTGAACAATCTGCTCTGGGATCGATGAAGCAACCTCGGGATGTGCCATCTTTGTGGGGATGTTCCTCGACTACTTCGGGCCCTGGATAACAGCTTGCGTGGGGTCGATCATCTTTGCTTTCGGTGAGTGGAGAAGAGGTGATTCTTGGAAAACCGTCCCTGATACGATACTGTGCAAAAGGTTCCGCACGAAAATGTCACGATCTCGGGATGCGCCATCTTTGTGAGGATGTTCTTTGACTACTTCGGGCCACGGATCACGGCCTGCGTTGGCTCGATCATCTTCGCTTTCGGTGAGTAGTAGAGGTATTTTAAGAAAGCCGTCCCTAAAAGCAGACTTTCCGTGCACAAGAATTTAACAATTTTGGGATGCGCCATCACTGTGGCGATGGTCCTCGACCCCTTCCGGCCGCGGATCACGTCGTGCATTAGGTCGATCATCTTCGCTTTCGGTAACTGCCGGATTCTGATAATGTAATACTGGTCTCACGAACGGGATCATCCTTTTGAGAGGCGCACATATCGTGAACGAGAGGCAATTTAAGAAGCCGCAGAGAATCCGGATGCGCCGTTTTCGTGGGGATGTTTCTCGATTACTTCGGTCCACGGATCACGGCTTGCGTCGGGTCGATCATTCTTGCTTTCGGTGAGTGTTGATTCTCGATGTTCTGAACAGCCAGATGCAAACGGTGCGAAGAGCATCTGAAAGCGCCGCCTTTGTGGAGGATGTTCTTGGACTGCTTTGGGCCTAAGATCCCGGCTTGCGTTTGGTCAATGATCTTCGCTTTGGTAAGTGATATTGTCTCGAAGTCGAGAGTTAAGGCTCTCCAGGGACATGTTGCAACCGGATGCAGTTTGGTGACTGCAGAGTATTGAGATGCGCCATCTTTTGAGCGTGTCCGCGTCTTCGTTTGGCCCCGCCGCGGATCAAGGCTTGCGTCGGATCCTTGATCTTTGTGTTCGTGAAAGCCAGGGTCCAGCAAGTCAGAGGCGCTCCCTCAATGACATCTGGATACTTTACACCAGGAATCGGGGCTAGCGTTAAGAGTTCCTGAGACGTTCCTCACATATCGTTCATGAGATTCTCCAATCTCGACTCCACGTTCGGTCACTTGCTCCAATCTTCGCTTCTTGCTGAACGCAGCACGCAACCCGAGTATCCAACTACTCCGATGTCAAGGGTACTCTCTTGTTCGTTTGTGCGGATTGACATCCAGTGAGCGCTAGTCCAGCGAAAGGTGTCGTAGCATCAAGCAGATCCGTAAAGTTTCACGATGTGAAAGCTGTCACTATCACTAGGGGCGAACAGTTCTCGGCGGCCCTCGCGGTCGTCTCCAACACTTTGCCTCACGTGAAATTTCCGTCAAGCCGCTTTCTGCCCCTGCTCGAGTGTCCTTTTGTCAACCGCTATTGTGAAACCGCGCTACGCTCTTCTCCTTTACCAGAAGTTCGCGCCCCTCAGTCCGGCCTCCACAGTCGAGGGACAGTTGTCCTCTGCCTTGCTCGCGTGCTTTTTTCCCCCCTTCCGCCGCCACGGATTGTAGAATCTTGCCGCCTTTCTTTTCGCTACCGCCCTTTTCTGCTACCCCCCTCTTCCGCTACCGCCCTTTTCCGCTACCACCCCTTTCCGCAGCCGCCCTTTTCCGCTACCGCCCTTTTCCGCTACGATTTTTCCGCTACCACTCTTTCCGCTTCCACGCTTTCCGCTACTGTTCTTTTCCCCCATGATCTTTCTGCTCTCACAGGTTTGGCAGCGCTCGCAATGGCGGCCCACGTGTCTTTCTGCTGTACTACTTGGCTACTTGCCTTCCTTTCCGTTGCAACTCTTTGCCCTCTACCCCTCTTTCCGCTCCCACTCTTTCCGCTACTATTCCTTTCCCCTACCACTCAGTTGTTATTGATTACAACTTTAAACAAGAAGCAGACAGGCAAAGAACGCTTTTCCGCTCCCCACAGGTCTTGCGGCTCTCGCGATGGCCGCCCACGTGTCGTCTCTGCTATACTACCTGGGCTACTTTCTACTGGCTCTGGCGGGACCGTGCATCTTCAACTCCCTCATCTGCTTTGGGGAGCTCTTCCCCGAATCCTCGGCGGTAAGGCGTCTCCCTTAGTCTGTGCAGTGTTTGCCTAAGACTGGCCGCTTGACGCAACCTGGCCTGGCCGTCTTTCAGTAATTGAGCTTTAGGAACACCTTTTGTTGGGCCCTGCACGGCTCGGAATCCGCAAACGGGTTGAGAAGATGGAGCGTCCACCAGCCGGTTGATTAGGAAAAAGCACAATATTCCTGTTCTTTTCCTCCGCGCCTTACGTTTCAGCCCGGATCCTGGGTTTTACCGCAATCACTGGTGGTTGAATTGCCCGCTCGCTGTCGATCGAGGAGCCAGCTCAGGCTCAGCTCTGCTGCCGTCCCCCTTCAGACTCCCATGCCTTTCCTTCCCTTTTGAATCACTTCTGACCCAGATTTCTGCGTGGTTATCTGTTCAAGTAGAAGGTCAGATTTCAATTGATTCTCAAAACTACATTGAGGTTCAAGTCCAAACGTTCATGTTTCGCCTGGGGCCCTCTTATTCAGCAGACGCGCCCCTCCCGCACCTGCAGATGATCATCGCCGCTCTGAACGGGGCCTTCGACTCCTCCGCCGTCGTCATGTTCGCCTTCGGCCAGGCCGTCGACATATTCGGCATTCCCTTCCAACTGGTTTGCCTCGCGTATATGGTGGTGCCGGTTACCATCTTCGTCTGCAGCCTCTTCCTCTTCCCGGACCAGGCGAGTGGGAATAAACTTGTTTTACTTGAGTATACCATCTGGGGACTCCTTGTCTGCATCCTTTGAATCTCAATTGGCGTTCAAAGAGGGCGTTGTGGGGGCGTGCACGCTGCAGCGACCAGCTATCTCGACTCTGAATTGGAGTCGACGGTCGACCTTCATCCCAACGGATGTTGGGCGACCGAAAGGATCAATGTGCGCATAGTTGGTCACTTTTGTGACGTCATCGGATGCATCCGCCGCCGCCCACTTTACGAGGGTGGCGATCAGGCGTTTGAAGAGCCTTTCAAGGCTGCCTGTACATGCGTTTCCAGATCCGCCGTTTCCGGACCAATCAGGACCATAGCCAATCCGTTCAGTGGTCGAAGGTTCAAAGATTGAGCACCACTTACTCGTCATCCTCCAAGCAATGTCCTACTCTTCAACGAAGAGGCGCTTGGCTGGACTCCCTCCTCGTATTGCATTGGACTTGGGGTTCATTATACCGGCTGCTTAGCGAACTTTTCAGCGCGGATTGGCAGCTTCCCCCCTTGAAATTTCAGATTCTTGCTAGAGTTGCGTCGCTAGGAACGAAAGTCCTCTTCGCCCCAAGCACGACGTAACCAACTTGACTCGCTGGAGGATGTGCTCATCTGTAGCAAGACAGGAACGCTGCTGATAAAGCGCTGCTCCTTCGAAGCTAGGAGCTTTTAACGACAGCTTCCTTTTCAATGTAAAGCCCCTGTTTTGCCTAGTTACCTTCCTTGCAGGTTTTCCACCATTATCTGTCTTCTAATTTTCTCTTTCTTTGTCTGATTCTGACGAAATACTTACAATCGCGGCAGAGGACGCCCATTTCATCGTCCGGAAACGGCAGCAGGTTACGTCTTCTCCACTCTCGTCGTTCTCGTTCCGGCTCAAATTTGCGCACTGTACTTTTCACTTGCAGCCGTTCGGAAGCGGGGCCAACTCGAAGAATAAGGGTGAGATCTTCCGGGTGTGGAGTCTGAAGCATACCAAGGAGGTAAGGGAGGTTGGCTGTTGAAATCCAGGACTCCATTATCTTGCTTTAGCCAGCGCCGAGAGCAGCCTGTGGTTCAGCGCTGGGCTCCATGTTACAAAATTTGCTAGATAGTCAACAGGCCTTGATAAGCCGGTAACCGTTTACGGAGAGAGAATATTCCAGTACCTCGATCTTCTTCCATTGAGTTCAGTTTGCTGCGCTTGGATTGCCAACCGCAGCCGTCAAAACCCCCAAGACCGTGCACCTAATGAAGCTAGTAGCACGCAATCCCTTATCAGCGTGAAGCCCAAGGCACGGGGTACATTCTTCTAAGTTGAAGCCACGACTCTTCTCTAAGAACTTGAAGTGCATGTTTTGAGTGCTGGTTTGAAGAAACGCGGCAGTCTCATAACTCTCAGCTTCTGGAACCATTTTCTTTAGCGTACGTCATGAAAGCCAATCTGAAGGATCGCTCGCTTCGGCGGAGGCCGCAGTCCTCCTCTTCACCGACTTGCGCAACGCGCCAGACTCAAACCGAGAAGATTGCTGCAAAGTCTCTGAAAGTTGGGAACTTACAAACTTGCCACTAGTAAGTGAAATCCTCAAAAGCTATGGTTTGCCCCAGGTGATGAAGGCCGAGGCGCAGGGTTTTCCTGTAGACGCGGAGGCCACGGTTCCTCTGTCAACGATCTGGGCGACACGGCACGATCTCGAGGCTCTTGAACTAATAACGGCTTAAAACTTATATCCTCAAAACTCGTATTTCGTCAGGTGATGAAGGGCAAGGCGCAAGGTATTCTTGTGAACGCGGAGGCCACAGTTCCGCTTCTCAACGATCTGGGCGACAAGCCGCATTCACCGGAGCATGGGGTCTGCAAGATATTGTGCAGGAAAGCTCTTCATTTGTAAGTGTTTCCTGCAGGCGATGAAGGCCAAAGCGCAAAGGATCCCCGTAAGCGCAGAGGCCCCAGTTTTTCTCCTCAACGATACGGGCGACAAGCCGCATCTCAGAGGCCCGTTTCTGCCAAACCCTCTCCGTAGAAGCTCTAAGCTTCAGAGTGTTTCCCTGCAGGTAACGAGGGCCAAAGCGCAAGGGATCCCCGTAAACGCAGAGGTCACAGTTCCTCTCCTCAACGATACGGGCGACAAGCCGCACTCGGACATTTACAACACGGAGTTCACGCAGCAGCTCAAGTCGGGCATCTTCTGGAGCATGACAGCTGTCACCGCGTTCCTGGTGCTACGTGTCAATTTCTACATCGCCACGATCTTCGACCAGCTGCTGTTCACGGCCAAGATGCAGGCGCCGCGCAGCGCGCTCGTCATGGCAAACTCGTATACTGGTGAGGAATTGAGGTTTCCACAATCAGGCTTTGAAAGAGGTATTTCCGCTGCGTAGCAGGCTTGCGGCGACAGACAAAGACGGGTTGTGACCTGTGTGTCGCTAAGTATGTCTTGTGGCATTTGCGGGCGACAGCGAAGGTGAAGTTTTGGGAGTTCGGTCGCCGTGTACCACAATGCGCCCTTTCAAGACTCCTCAATTGTGACCGCTTTTTGCGCTTGCGTGCGCTTTGTATGGACATTTACATTGCCAGACTCAGTGTGATTGGCTGCTCTGTGATGCCTGTTTGCAGTCGTCCCACAGTTGATCAGCTCATAACCGTATCCTGTGCGCTCAATCAGGTTGTCCCTCTGACGGGAGGCATAACCTTCCGTAACCGGTGAGATTTAGCTTTGAGAATCGATTGGCCCTACGTTAACCCTCCTGAACCCCTGTCTGCTACCCCTTCTAACCTCGTTATGAGGCTTTCTAACCGTTTCCCTTCTCCTGGGCGCAGCCTTGTTCAACTACGTACTGCCCTTCGGCGGCGTCCTCATGGTTCCGTTTGTGGGTTGGTCGCTAACCGACCTGGGTTTGGGGCCATCGTTCTTCCTCATCGCCATCCTGAATGAGACCTTCTCCATCGTGTCAACCCTCAACTGGATCCCCATCAAGTATCAGGTGAGCTTTGCACTGCTCCTTTCGACTTCGATATTATCTCGTAACTTTCCATCTGCATGTGACCTCATTTCCCTGTGATCAGTTGCACGGTCGGTACGAATTACGAAATTCAGCGCGATGAGTCCAACCCCGCACAAGCTTCTGCTCGATGACGACACTCGTCAGCTAGAGATTTACCCTTCCAGATCTTTCAAGTTGCCGAGTAGCCCCTGTTTCCTTAAAAACTTCCCCGTATCTTGTTTCATCTGCATTTGTTCCAGCAGATTTTAGTCGAAGTTCCAATAAGGACGTCGCGGTGATTACGAAAGGCTCACGTGGATTTCAGCGACCTCGGGGCACCGATACAGGCTTTGATGTCGCTGCCGTCGGACCGACATGCTTCGTCCTGGCGACCAAAGCGTCGCATCAGAGCTTCTGCCTTATAAAAGCTGAGAGTCGAAGAACGCCATCGACAGTACGAAGCGTTTGTTCTGGTTAGGTCATTGCTCTTAGAATTGCCCGAAACTTCTCCGCGAAGAACGGCACAAATATTCAGGTCAATATCCAGCCCCTACCCTTAATTCTTAACCCAGGCTCCAGCCCCCAGGTGTTCTGCAGGAGGTTCGCTCTGTCCTTAGAGGGAGACCCTTGCCCACAGCCAGCACATCGAACCTTAACCACTCCAAAATTTCGCGCGCATGATAAGCTCGCTTCATGCGATTCACAACGCACTAACACCTCCTCTTTTTATACCGCCAGATCATCGCATTCGTCGCCTACTCCGCGAACCGTCCGTACCTCTTCGGCGCCATGGCCGCGTACCTCGGACGCCTCTTCGGTTTCCGCAACTTCGGCAAACTTTTCGGCATCGCCCGGTTGGCGGGCGCCATAAGCACATCGCTAATCAGCACCCTAACCGAACTCGCGAAGCACAAGTTTGGGGGCGACTACTTCTGGATTAACGTCGGGTTTGATGTGGCCGGGTTGTTGCTGTTTATATTCCCGTTTTATCTGGTTCACTACGTCTTTTACGGGTTTGCGATTCGCCCAAAAGACGTACCCCACGACGAGGACGAGGATGGCGAGCCGAGTACCGTTTTGGCATAGGCCGCCCGTGGATCTGTATCATACCTACAAACTGCGTCAAAGAGGGGCGCAAAAGCGAAGGTCGGTCTACCTAGTATATAAACCCCTTCTACCTTTCCGTCCCACTGCCGCGGCTTTATAGTGTCTGTCGAGTTTGTGCCAAAGTCGGGTGCGGCCATATGAAACGTCGAACTTGACACGGCTCATGATTGAGTAAGTTGTCGGTCAAAACATAAAGTATATTAATATTAAAGATAATATTCAGCGGGACGCTGCCAGGGCTTGGTCAGATCAACGATCGAGTGCGTTGCTATAATGAACTTTTGGTCAGTAGTAGACGTGTGTGTTTTTGAACGGTATTTCTGTTGAATAGCACGTGGCTTGTTAGGGGTAAGGACAAGTGTTGAGTCAAGTGAACTAAAGCAACCAAATGACTTTATGTCTAGGCTCTGCTTACAATTTACTGTTGAGCTTGAAATTCAATTTTGTACCGCACTGTATGTATTCGATTTTGTACCGCACTGTATGACGGCTTGTTGATGTTCGTACTTGATTCACTCTGGCCGGGCCGTGCTTGCCAGCTTAGTATACCATGATGCTGCATATATGTGCCTGTAACGTCGCCCGGCCAGGCCCGCCGTTTTGATCTATATACCTCGTAAAGCGCGGCCGCCGCGCCCATGGCGGCAGAACGTACATTCACGTCTCCAGAATTGGGCATCACTAGTCCGACGACGCGCAGCTCGCAGGTCCGACGTCCCGGAAAGGAATAAAACCTGTGAGTGGCCAGTTTCTAATTAAAGCCTGTGGCCTGTGCATGTTGCACTATGCATGATGGACTTACGCAATCATGGGATCGGATTCCATTTATGTACCTCTTGCACCGGAAAGCCACTCAATGGATCTCAGTGTATTGAATGTACAGCTAGCCTGGACGGTCACCGTTACGTTGAAGGTCGAGCTACAGCCGCGCAGCGTTGGGCAGGGCGCCATCGAAGCTAGTGCCCTGTCCGCGAGTGTATGAACCATCTCGCTGCATCCAATCGTAGGGTAATTGGGCTAATGGGCTAATGAGTGAATTGAGGGGTCGGCCACGGCGGCCCGTCATGCAAAGGAACGGGAGAGTTGACGGTAAATACTGAAACGGATGTAACATGTCCCGAGAGCTGGGCACACGCGTGCCTGCACATGGGGGCTTTCAGAGAGGTGACGGTCGAGGCCTCCTAAACTCGATTCGAATAAATCTCAAAACTCCTTATAATAACGAGGTAAAACTTAGCTAGAGGGCCTGGAAGACTGTATGGACGGATAGGGCTAGAAAGAAAATAGTTTTGAACATTATCAATCAAACAGTACCGGCATAAATCCACCATAAATTAAGAATACTTTGTTTTTCCAGAGTCCCAGTGTTCAACTCACTGAACCAGGATTCATCCTCCCTTCAGAGTCGGCTCGGAGCACATGACGTGACCAAGCTGGCAGGATTATAAAAACGTAGTCCAGGCTAGCAACAATTTCGAATGCATATAAACGCAGACATAGAAATCAATTGCATGAGATTACGAAGACGTTCCAGCAACTATTTGGACGAACAAGCTGCAAGAGTAGAATTCAACTAATGATTTAATATCAGGACATTGAACATGCCTTAGACAGAACTGATACGTGCATGCAAAAGTATGTCCTTTGATAGGATCAGCTCTTTTGGATTTGAATCATCCGGACCATCCAGGCTGAAAACTAACTCTCGTCAAAACAGATCTCCTTTTCTATTTTTAAAATCACGGCCCGACGACATGTGTCCCGTGGCCAATCAACACGCTAAGAGAACCTCTTGCTGTTAAAGTTCCGGGGAAGGACTAGCAATTGGATAGAATTTATCAAGCGAACATGGAGACATAAGGGAATCAAAGCAATCGTGCAAAAAGGTCTACAGCTGAAAGAAGATTGAAAGACGCACCGATCCCTCAAGGTAATTCGTGTCTACAGCTTCATTATAATCTGCTTGATGGCTTGCCAGCTTGCATGAGCGTTGATGAGAATTACGTTTCGCATACTACCCGGCAGGGGAGGAAACGTGTACTAGTAGCGAGTCATGGCCTACTTACTAGATTACTAGTAACGAGTAGCCTTTAAGACGTGTACTCGTTTTCTGCGATGCCGGTCAGCGTCACTTGGAAGCCTGGTCAACAAGTCGTAGAAGAGCACGTAAAGCCAGTGCACCCCTCTCTTCTGTTGAAATCCATTAGCAGATTCTGTGAAATTGAGTAGTTTCACTGTCGAAGCCTAGTGCGGGCCCGCTTTCAACAGCCCCGCTCATTGTTTCATTGAAAGAGCTCCTAGGCAATTAATGACAATTCCGCTTTCCAAGTTCGATCTATTTACATAATCACGTGAACGGACTGAAAATATCCTACATCGTACAAAGCTGCCAACCGGACCCAATAATGTACGGCTGCCATTACTAGGTCTTAGACGTTTGCCAAGCTGTGTCATGTATTCAGTACCGCCATTACTTTGTTCAATGAAGCAAAGGAGCGGTTGAGACCTACTCTACTAGCCAACCGGGGATATGCCAAGACGATGTTCCATTTCTGCGAAGGTCCACCTCGAAACGCGTCTACTACGTTGCAGCGTGCCGGTGTCGACCCGGTGCCTGCAACTGATGATTTCGTCTGAAACGTCTAATAAGTACCTTGAGGGTGCTACCGGCACCAAACGCTGCTGCCAAGAACCGGAACGTGACCTGAACTTCTTCAGCGAAATTGCATGTTTCCAAGTTCAGCATGTTAGCTGATTCCGTCCAGATTGTCGGAGATGCATGTCTGAGAGTACGTACGTGGTGCGGCGGAATTCCGCCCAATGGGGCGCCCAATTGGCCCACCGGGGGCCCACCTTGTGGGGCCAACTATCCCATTTATGCGTCAGGCGCTGCGTCCGGTCTCCGCTGACAGCTCGGAAAATGGAACGAATGCGACCGAAGTGATGCTTTCTTACTTTCCTCCAAGTTGGATAGCATCACCTGGGGAGCACCTGGGCGGCCATCGATCCGGGCCGCGGCGGGGAAGGTGAACCGTCGCCCTAGGCCGGCGGCCGGCAGAAGCGTGCGTCCGCGTAGTACCGTACGTACCGAAGTCTGACAGAGGCCGAACCACCGCGATACGCTATTTTGTTGCCGTATCCCGCCCGGCGATCCCAGGTCCGGACAGTGCGGAGTCTGCGGACCGTCTGTCAGGGTGTCAGGGTTCGGCGGCTTATTCAACAGTGTCAACACCATCGGACGGTGCCGACTCGGAGGTGTGACTAGTAACTTCAATGTGAGTACGGAACTCCGAGTCAGTACGGCGTAAACGGGGCCCCCCGGGGGCCGCCGGGGCCCCCCCTCCACGCCCGGCCAATGAGTGGCCCCGGGAAGATTTTAGAACCTCCAGGCCCTGGGGCCCAGCGCCATGGACTACTACCGACGTGGCTTGCGCCCCCCCAGGGGCGCACGGGGGGCGCACGCAAGATCGACGGAAGCTTCCGACCGGAGCTTCTCGGGCGAACGTCGCCAAATCCCGGCCGGCCCGATTTTGCCCGGAAACCCCGGCCCCTCTGAGGACTATAAATTGACTGGATCCCATCAAGATCCGGAAAGTACAAGACTGGGCACTGTGCAATGTGCACTATGCACTGTGCACTGCAGTGTGGAGCGTGGCTTTTGAGTCTGAAGAGTCAAAGTCACGTACCTAGTAGTAGCAGGCTAGCTAGCAGCCCTAGCTAATACCGTACGGTAGTCTATAGTGTCATTCGCCTGACCCGCCCAGTACTAAAAGCACTACGCCTAGTACTTTTTATACTTTTGGACTGGGAATCAGCCTGAGGAACTCTTGAAAAAAGGCTTACGTGGCTGATATTTTGGTCCAGAAGTGGTGAGAAGTGGACGATATTGCTGATATCAACTGTCGTACGTCGGCTTGGACGTACCACTCTGACGGGCCCCATCAGAAGACAGTCAACGGATTGCATTGGGAAAGGTGATTCAAGCAAAGCTGTGGCCGCCTGTACAAGATTCGCGCAGCTAAGGTCGGCGCTGAATTACAAATGAACGTTGCAAATGTTGGTGGACAGCTGTCATGGGCATCAGCATGGGCGGCGCCATTGCTCAGCTACACGACTTAGGTGCTTCCCATTCGGTTTCCTTATCGTATGAGGGAAGCTACACTAGTGCCAAACCTGTTTTTTTGGTTCTGAGGTGGCTCACAGAATGCTGACACCGGCCAGGGGCGCTAGAATGCATTCTGTTCTAGCTCCCTCCCAATGTTTCTGAATTGCTTACTTGTAATGTACGTCTATCCAGAGAGCAATCTGCCAGCACACAAGTCAAGTCAATTGCAAATGCTGGGGGGACTCGGTGAGAGTCCCGGCTGGCCCGTCCGTTCCTCTTCAGGCCCACTGACTTCAAGTAAGCAGACACCCCTGGGCAGCACAATGTGCTAAGAATTGAGCCCCTTAATCATGTCGTAGCTGAAATCCACCAAGTCTGCGAAATCAGTGAGAGTCCCTGCTGGCCTTTCGTTCCTCTTCTGACCCACTAAGGAAGCTACGAACGCCTCTGAACAGCACAATGTGCTGAGGATTGGAGCCCTTTCATTATGTCGTAGCTGGATTCCACCACTCCTTCAAATGGCTAGCTACCAGGAGGCGCGCTGCATTACACCAGAGCAGCGAAGCCCCTTGGATGTGTCGGGGCATTTCCTTTTGGCTTGGGGCCCGCGAGAGTCTGACGCAACGGCGCTCGAATTCATTCGGACCGCGGCTGAAGCTGGCGACCCCGAGGGGCAATTCCAACTGGGACATTGCTACTACTGTGGTTGTGGGGGGGCAGCTGAAGACCGGGAAACGGCGGTGACTCTTCTCCAGCAGGCTGCACAGCGGGGATACTCTCCCGCTGAAGTGAGCCTGGGGGTTTGCTACCAGACCGGAGGGGGGGTCCCGAGAGACTTATGCGAAGCCGTGCGGCTGTTTGATAGTGCAGCAAAGAAAGGCGATGCTGCGGGGCAAGTCGCGCTGGGGGGGTGTTACTTTCACGGCAGCGGTGTCGAACAAGATGAGGCGCACGCGGCGCAGCTGTTTCAGAGGGCGGCCGACGAGGGGGATCCCTCGGCGCAGGCGTGCCTCGGGTCTTGCTATCAACTGGGAAGGGGCGTGCAGCGCAACCTGCAAAAGGCGCTCTGTCTATACCGCGCGGCGGTGCAACAGGGAAGCGCTGCCGCACAGGTGGGGGCAAATCTGCCTTGTGAGGTTAGCTGATGGGTTGAGTGGGTTAGGCGTTTCAGCTCAGGGGTCACTTTCTCCCCCTCTCTCTAGTCACCCTTACTCCTCTCTATGCCCCTTCTCTCTCTTCGTTTCCCTTTCTCTATCTTCCTGATTCTTCATAGTGTTTCCTTGATTTGTTTCGAGCGCTGCTCAGCCCCGCACATGGCCTCAATCAACCTCAAGCCAACACCAGCTCCTGTTGCATAGGAAAGGAAGGAATGCTTGTTGAAATGTGTTTATTACAGAAGCATAACGTCAGGGCTTGACTAACATCAACTTCTGGTTTGCAGAGCATGAATCACATGCTGTCTTCCTCCAGATTCCATCAAGTGCATGCGCTGTTTGAACCTCGCACCAGTTGTGCTTTCGAGCGCAGGCCTGCTGACACAGTCCACTACCCCGCAGGTGAATCTTGGGCTGTGCTATCAAAGGGGCCTCGGGACGCCCAAGGACCTCTCGCGCGCGGCTGCATTATTCGAGGACGCCGCAAAGCAGGGCCACCCCGCGGCGCTCGTCAATCTGGGGGTGTGCCTTTTGCTCGGGCGGGGGCAGACAAATGACCCCCCCAGAGCGGTCGAGTTGTTCCGGGGGGCCGCAGGGAAGGGCTATGCATTGGGTCTGTTCAATCTGGGGTTGTGTTACTCGCGGGGGTTAGGCGTGGAAAAGGATATGAGGATTGCGGCGGAGTTGTACAGGCAGGCTGCGGAGAGGGATCATCCGGGCGCGCAGCTTAGCTTGGGGGTGTGCTTCCACCGGGGAGAGGGGGTCGAGAAAGACGTGGTGCGCGCAGCCATGCTCTATGCTGCAGCGGCAGCTCACGGGCAGGCAACCGCACAGGTGAGGGAGCGCGGAAATAAGTCAATCTTGCAATTTGTCTTGGGAAATTGTGATATATTTGCTGAATCGAGCTGATGCTCTGTGTTGAGTAGGTGCAAATCCGTCTAAACTAGCTCAGAGACTAACCAGACCTACGCAGAACGTCAAAGATTGTGAGCTAAATCATAGTACTCCTTTTGATGCTTTTGATACTACATCTGCCAAGTCAGAGCTTGATGTAGTCAATCTGATGGAGACACAATCGACTCGCAATTCTTGAAAGGCCTGCTACGAGCAGATTGCCCTTTCTTACGGATCAGTTTGCCACCGTTTCCCACTTGAGGACTGGCTTCCATAGCCGTACTCTGATCACCAGTGAGGTCGCCAAAGCACGTCTTCGAGGACATTGAGATGAATGTGAACGGACAATCAACTATTTGAATCACGTCGAGAGTCGACGTGTTTCAGCCCAATATCGCTATACCGTACGAGTTAGACTCCGAGTTTGCTAGGGATCAATCCATTCTTTTTCCCCGTAAACTCAGTCGCACGTCCTTTTCTTCGCGACCTTTGCCTACCCAAGACTCTCAGATAATCCCCTTGGTGTCTTCTCAAGACGGACAATCTGCTGGAAGTCTGTTGAGACTCGTCGTCAGCTTCAGGCCACGACACTAAGAAGGTGCGACTTCTGATCAGGGATTGCCATACTCATCAATTCCTTAAAAGACGAGAGTCGGAAACAGGAGGCCAGAAGGGGACAACTAGTACTGAGACGGAGCCAGAGTGCAACCGCAAAGAGGCGACAAGGAACGGGCAGTGCGACTCTTCTGGTCGCCACAAGTCGGGTTGATTGATGGCAGCAGTACTTGACACAACGCAGCCTGGCCATCTAGGTAGCGGGTCCATTCACGTGTGCTATGCTCGCTTGATATCGGGTACAATCTGCAGGAATCGTAACACACCACTTGCTTATCATAATTTCGTGCGCAGGTCAGCCTCGGGCTCTGCTTTCAGCGCGGGGACGGCGTCGCGCAAAACCTGGGGCGCCGAAATGTACCGCCAGGCCGCGGAGCAAAATCACCCGACCGCGCTTCTGGGCCTGGGGCTCTGCTACCAAAGCGGGCGGGGCGTCGGCCAAGACTACGGCCAGGCAATCCAGTTCTATGAGCGGGCGGCGGACCGCGGCAGCGCGGCCGCGCTCGTCAATTTGGGGCACTGCGTGTTCGCGGGGTTTGGCGTCACCCGGGACCCCGCGCGCGCAGTCGACCTTTTCCGGCATGCGGCCGAATTGGGCGAGTCCGCCGGTCAGGCGAGCCTGGGTGAGTGTTACTTGAACGGGTGGGGCGTGGACCGGAACCCGGCGCTCGGGATCCGGTTGCTCGAGTCCGCGTCCGCAAAGGGGAGCGCCGCAGCGCAGGCCGCGCTCGGGGGTTGCTACAGGGACGGGTCCGGGGTCGAGAAGAAACTAGAGCGGGCTGCGGAATTGTACCGCCTCGCGGCCGAGCAAGGTAACGGGGAGGGGCAGGCGGGGCTCGGGTGGTGCTACTCCCGAGGCGCGGGAGTCGACTGGTGCTGCCAAACTGCGGTGGAGTGGTTTGCGCGCGCGGCCGACCAGGGGCACGCGCTGGCGCTCGCGCGTTTGGGTGAATGCCATGCGCGCGGGGAGGGGGTCGAGCGGGACCTCGTCAAGGCCGCCGAGCTGTACCGGGAAGCGAGCGACCGGGGCTGTGCGCGCGCGCAGGTGAAACTGGGGGACTGCTACGTGATGGGGGTCGGGGTGGAGAGGGACGTCGAGCGGGGGGTGGCGTTTTACCAGGCGGCGGCCAGCGCGGGGGAGCCGGGCGGTGTAGCTTGCCTCGGGCTGTGTTATTATTACGGGGTGGGAGTCGACCGGAATGTTGAGGAGGCGACGCGGCTGTTCCGGATGGCGGCGGACACGCGCGATTCGACGGCGATTGATTGTTTCGATGATGCCCGGACTGGCGTTGTGAGCGACGTCGAATGGGCGCAACGATTGTATAGGCAGATTGCGAGCAGCAGCGCGGCGCCATTTGCCGCGGGAGTGGACTCAAACAGTCCAGAGGAAAATACATTTTAAATCTGGTTGGTTCTGATTGGAAAGCAAAAGCGTGTACAGTACCTGTAGAGTCATGTGTTTGTCCCATTTGAGCGTACGTAGCCTGACAAGGTCTTCCAAGTACATGGCAGAGCGCCTAATAAAGTTTCCCAGAAAAGGGCAGGCGCGCTTGCGTCCCAATGACGCAAGCTCCGGATCCACGAAACGCATTTTTCCGGAGGCAAGGTCTGAAAGTCATCGCAGGATGAGCTCTAGACGGTCAGAACAAGCGGTCAATTCAATGGTCAGAACGCTCCGTCCTATTGGATCGAACGGTCCAACAGATTCAATTCACTGCAATAGAAGCTGCATGTGGATTTAAAGCTAGCCGCATCAATCAGAGAAAGTTTGCATGCCAGCCCGGCCAGGATTTCACGCTGTCCGATCGTCGGGAATGGTCCACTGAGTCTCCCTCATTATGTGAGCTGCCAGAATGTCTTGTACTGTACGTACATGAGACCGGACGACAAGCAGAGCATCATTTCTAGACTAGTAGGGTTCTAGCTTCTCATCCGACTCCCCGTTGAATGTTGGTTTGTACGCTTTGAACTTCCGAATCAGTTGAAAGATACGGTTATGCATGATATCACATGCACGGTATTACAAGGCACTTTCGCACTCAACCAGGACCCTCAACCAGGGCCCAACCGAGGTCTTCCAGGCGCCAACCAGACCCGGCCTGGTTGACGGGCCTCAACCGAGGTCTGGTTGACCATCAACCGGGCAGGGCCTGGTTGAGAGCTCTTAGCCAGGACTAGTTGACGTCAACCATGATCGGTTGATCGTCAACCGGGGCAGGTCTGGTTGACGGATTCTTCAACCAGAGCACGGTTGACCGTCAACCGGGGCAAGCCCGGTTGAGGGTCAACCAGACAACGGTTAACGCGTGGTTGACGGCATGTGTAACGGCGCTAGCTTTCCGAGCCCCTCGCGGGGATTGTTAGAAA